AATTTTTTTGCATGCACATATTTATTCTTTGCTATTCTTTGTACGAACATGTCCGTGTAAATTTTTTTCTGCGTTTCTAAACTACTGGATCAGTCCATTTGCCTTCTACGAAAGGGGTGACACAATCATTTCGCGCCAAGTGTCACATGTAAATTATCTTTGCGCCTTTTTCTTGGGTTGTTCTATTGAATGGGTGTGATAACTTCTATGGAAATAAATAAGGTTTATTCCTTTAACATGATTCTTAAGCTCCAGATTTTTATTAACAGTAAATTTTATCTCATTTTTTAAGAGAACACATTGTATATGGACAGGCAACACTAAAGCAATGGATTTGCTGATAATTCTTACTATTTATTCCATAAGTGGACTAGTCTAATCATAAACAAACTCCCTCCACCCAGTAAATGGGACATCCCTTCTTGATTCTGTTTTCCACCTAGCCTTTCTTTCAACATTACATTTATTAATAATGTACGTTACAAGGTAAGGTTTTTTAAAAAAAAATCTTAAAAAGTCAGCGAGTAGCATATTATTTCAAGCTTTGTTATGAACAAGGGTTTCCTTTTAATACAATGACAAGAGTGTAGGTCAGTACCCGTAAAGTAAAGAATCGGCAAAATGAAGAAGACATCATGATCTGTCCTGGTTTTCATTTCATAAAAAAGCAAGTTATTTTAATTATGAGAAAGGTCCTGAAATCGATTGAAAAGAAAAACTAACAATTTCAAAACTGTATATAAAGATGTATAAGCTCATTTATAATACATGTATATGGTAAGACCATCATCGCGTGAGTTTTGTCCGGGGGGGGGGGGGGTATTAGTATCTTGTTTTGCGCTAGCTATAAAGTGTACAGGTTATTTACTTTGATTTCTAGAGTAGCATTGAAGCATTTTTGTCTCAAACACTTCAAGACAAGTTTCCCAGTTAAAACTGTTCATAATTTACTTCGTCGTCGAGAACGACGGAAAACAGACCAGTCTATAAATAGAGGCCGTCTCATCAATCTATCACTGACCATGAAGAAGTGCGCCATCTAGTAAGAGAGTACATGTAATATGAATTTCTTTAAAAAGAATCATCTAACTATTTTCCCAGAATTATCAGTGGCGGATCCAGGAATTTCATAACGGGAGGGCGCAGTAGAAGGCAGGGGGTCTGGGGGCTGTATTGAAACCCCAGTGGGTCCAGAGCAAAGCTCTGATGGGGGTTCGGGGGCGAAGCTCCCGGAAGCTGACGAATTCTTACAAATAAGAGGCGTTGTTTCCTTGATTTTAGGATAATGAACATATAAGTTCTACATACAAAAAATTCAAACGGGGGGGGGGGGGGGGGGGCACGCCCGGCGCGCCTGTGATGGATCCGCCTTTGATTATAATCTACGCTAACGCACTTCAGTTTCATCCCAACGTAACTAGTCAGCCCGTGGGCTAACTAATAAATGCCCAAATAGTGGCATGTCTTAGATATTCGTTAATCTGTAGTATTTGGTTATGAAATTTGAGAAAGTCAACTGTACATCTTGTATAATGAAGTATCGCAACTATGTCGCTCCTTGATAACGGAAACGTTTAGCACCTCTCCTGCATATACGTTCCATAGATATTGATTGATTAGTCAGGCAAGCTTTTTGAAAAGCTATTACTTGTAAATTAATAAATTTTGCAAATAAACTCCGAAACGGGAGCACCAGATCACTAACTCCTCTATGAGTACACTAGCTAGTTACAATATGATGTCCGTAAACTTTGTTCAGATTTCACTTGCATAGTAAGTATTGTACATTAAATTAAAAGTTTACTTTCATTTTCTATAAACAGCCATGAAATAGCAAAAACGTGAGTACGGTGCCGGTTCTGGTTGGCGGATCTAAGTTACTGACAATTTTTAATGAAACTGACAACAAGCAATCGTTTATTTATTTCATAAAACGTATTCACTGAATTATTCAATCAAAACTTGATTTAAGTGATAGAAAAGAAATAGGTTGTGATAACCGATTAAAAAGGAAAATGTGCAAATTGTTTTCGTCATTCAGTAATCTTAATATTCACGGAAACTTCTAGAACATCATTTAGCATCGAGCCCAACGTTAAAACGAAAAACGAGGCGATTATGGCTGCATGAACATAAAAAAGCTTTTGTGTGAATGGTCATTGAAATAATGGTAAATCACAGATAACACTATAAGTTGTGAATATATTTTTATTACATTTTCAACAGTGAAATACTGTAATTTATTTACTGAATAAAAGTGATATTCTGACACAGTACTAGTGTGAAAGGATCTCACAGTGTGAGAATATCAGAAGTGCGGCAAAACTTACGATTTTCCTTCCCTTCACGAAGAGTGTTTTAAAAAAGAAAATCCCCGGCCTGTTAAAAATTACGGAAGCGTATTGCTGCCAATTGAAAATATTTTTTTTAATCGTACGTACGAGATAATATGTTGTACGTACGTGATACTAAGCCGTACGCACGAGATATTTTAAAAGTCGTAAGTACGAGATACTAAGTCATACATACGAGATAATATGTCGTACTTACGAGATACTAAATCGTTTTTAGGAGATAATAAGTCGTACATACAAGATAATGTCGTACGTACGAGATAATATGTAGTTATCAAGAATTGTTGAAAGATAGCATGATGCATAAAAAGTACACAAGTCAAATAAGCAAAAATAAACAATTTTTAGATAAAAAATGCGATTTTTAAAAATTGTATTCATTAAATACAGACAAATTCCTCTGCAGGATTCGAACTAGGGATTTTATATAGTTTATTTTATGTTTATCTGTTAAACTATTAGTTTGTTACAATTCACAAATTATAGAATAGGAGGGATAACAATTTTATGCAATAAAGTATATTGACCTTGACATGTGACCTTGCCTATTTTTATAGCCTTGTTAATTTCGGGCTTAAAATGGTATTATCAAGAGTTAAGGGCTATTTAGGATATCGTCTAGAAACACTGTTTAAATGTAGAGAGAAATTATAAATTACTTTAATAACGACAAGTTGCGAGTGGTTAATGTTTCTGACTCGTCAGTTAGTCCGTCAGTCCTCTTTATTTATTTATCTTTTATTTTATTTTTTTATTAGCACAACTTTACTTAAACCGCTGCATAGAAATTCATGAAACTTTGTAGGTAATTAGGACACAATGTATAGATGTGCATATTACCAAGAAATTCTAATTTCTTTATATTTTTCTGGGAATTTCGGCCCTTTTGATCTTAAAATTTTGGTCATATATTGAATATAGATATGAACAGTTTGTAAGCGCAACTCCTCTTAAGAGGGCTGGGGGGGAGGGGGGATCATGGCCATTTTTAGACTATATTGCTCTCCTTTAATAGAAGAAGAAGAGCTCCATATAAAGATAAAGAAAAATGATAAAATTTAAAAGCTAAAATATATGAAATTTTTCTCTATCAAATAATAGTTGACAGCTTATTTATTTGATAAAGAAAAATTTCATATATTTTAGACTTGTGACCCTGATTTAAGTCAATTGAAATCTTAATAGCATGCTTTCTGTTACGGCCCCAGATCTTCAATCTAATCATATACGTAAGACCTGTTAGAAAAAAAGTTATCTTCGTTTAATAGATTTATATTCTTCTTAAAATAAAATTTTGACGATATTCTGTCCCTCATATCACTGATTAGTTCTGCGATTTCTTTTTGGTTGAATTGTTAGGAAACTTTTCCGAGTTTAGATGTATATGATCAACTACATGTCAATCACGCATTTTTTTTATATTATTTGTTTGTTTGTTTGTTTGTTTGTTTATTTGTTTTTGGGGTTTTTTTTGGGGGGGGGGATGAGACTCCTGTATCGAGTAAGAAAGAGTGAATAATTCTTGTCTTCAATTAAACAAAGTATGCTTACACTGTGGAATAGTTCCAGTTGATTGGTTTTATTTTTAGAGAATAATATTTATGATCTGCTTTCTCGTAAATGTCGTTTATCTCATAAGGAAAAAAATACATTTATGGTAGAAAATTATAGTGAAATACACAAACCTGTTTTTATAAAAGTAAACGTATGCCACCAGGTGATTCGATTCGAAACAGGCCACTATAAAAATTTTGAATGTCAATCTCAAACCGTCCAAGCTTTTCTAAGTAAAACGACATTTGGCATAAATATAAACCACGATTACAGAAATATGATTTTGCATTTTTCGGTTCATTAATTTGATACATTTACAATTTTTAAACAGAAAAAGCCTCAAAATGATGTATCTGAAAGATAATTCTACAGAAAATTGATGTCTTCTGCAACTCTTTAAGAAATGCACAAGTTCATGACGTCACAATTAGAATTTACAATGTACAGGAGTTCATAATTATGAGAAAAACAATTTGTTTGATCTTACTGCATGGGATTTCAACAATTCATTAAGCATTAGTTTTAATTTCTTAATTTTCATATTTTAGGGGGAAAATATATATAGGGCCAGATTTGTATAGAAACCGTACCTTGTTCTTTCGATGAACGACGAGATGTGTTAAACAAGTTATGATGAAACCTTGTAACACTTAATGAAAGATTCCAAGATAATTAAAATATATCCGTGAACAAATTATGGATTGGCACTCCGGACCGAAATTATCTAATACCGAGTCACCTTGCTACCTGCTATCAAATATCACGAGATCTGGTGACTTACGAGATTTCTGCATTCCGTTTTGTTTACCATGTTAACAAGGTGCTAAAACTAACAGACGTCTTATTAACTCAATTTTTATTGAAATCTTTGGTAAGTTTTACATAAGTATATCATAGATATCAATGTCGTTTATCAAATTTATGCAAAGCAATACATATACTTCTCGAAGTTAAGAGAATTCCAATTTTATGATAGCGCGAATTTCCTTAAATTCGTTACCGGGTAGCATTAAAGTTTTATGGAAATAGAAATCTGTTAAAGCATAATATGCTTTCATATTCAATTTTACATTAATTTTTATTATAGCTGGGCTTCATCATGTCTTTTGGATTCAATACAAACACAAGATCTAAAGAGGATATTTCCTTTAGACTTAAGCAACAGTAAGTGGGAACTAGTGACATAAAATAGCATTTCATTTTCTCTGATGTAGACCTTATTTCAGTTTCCATAGAATTAATGAATGTAAAATTAAAAAAATATAACCAATTTACTATAATGTTCATTATTCTTGAAGGGGTCATCAATTTTACAGCTGTCATGCATAAATAACACTAATTAAATTAATATTTTTTTTATAGAACCCTAAAATAATTGATATGCAATTCAATAATTGAAGAAGTTATTTCTTCTAAGTTGTTTCTGTACACTTGAAATTTTTGTAATACATAGATCCCGTTTTCAGTAAGTACATATATATGTATAGTTATTCAGGAAATCTGTCCGTAGATGCCATCTTGATTTTCAGAACACTTCATAGTTATGCAGTTATTCAACAAGTGGTTGGATCCATATATGAATGATAGCTGGATTCTGTGTCTTGTGCATGTGTTTCTTCCTTTTGTACTGCTATGCACTTTGTATGATATTATCAGATTGTTCACAATGGTGTACATCTTCTGTAAAAGTTAAAACAATAAAATCATTAGCATTATAATAAGTATACTAGCATTGCATGCTGTGGTATGATTGACGAGATGATATACATTCTGTTACATGCATGGAAATGGGTAATTAAAGTCATTTTTGATTTACAATTTGAATTGCATCTGGGTTTTGTTTGATTTTTTTCACACTTTGTTTTCTGATAAGCCTGTTTTCCAAATATATGTGAATGGGTTAAGTTGTTTTTAAACATAGACAAAAATATGTTGTAAGAATGGTTGAACTCTTCATAATAGTGTCACTGTAGATATATCAGTTACTTATTATACAAAATAAATTAGGAAATACATTCATTTACATTTATGGAGTTGTAACAATATTACATTATTCTTAGACAAATTTGCTCTCTCTCTCTGAATGCTTATTTTGAAAGACATAAATGGAAAAATTAGGAATTTAGGTATTCAATTGTACTGCACATTTAAACTGAATTAAAACTAAAGAAATGTCACTTACAAAGCAAAATTGAACTTGACTGAGATTGTGTTATATTTAATGCAAAATATATGCTGTATGTAATGCTCCGACAAATCAGTGTTTTATGTTGACTTATATTATTAAACATTTTTTCTTTCTAAGCAATGTCAAACGTGCACGTGAAGAGACTCAGAAACTGGAAACAGAGAGTAGGAAAATGGAAGAGAGGCTGGCGGAACTCCGACTGGCGATGAACAAGGAGAAGGAGGAGAGAGAGTAAGAGAACCACTGTAGCACCATTATAACAATACAGCTGTATTATAGCAGTACCACTAAAACACCATGATACCATAACAATGCAGTTGTATTACAGCAATTAAAATTTTGTATATTACCACTGTATATCATTTAGTTATTAAAATAACATATAATTACCAACATAGTACAACATCATAAAATCCATCTGTTCATATTTTATTTAAGTTTATTTTATCTTATCTATTCATTTATTGTTTTGTTAGTGTAAGGTTTTTTCACTCACCAGTTTACAGTATAGGGGACAGTAATTTAAAATTTTACCCATAATGATGTAAAAGCTGAATGGACATAATTATATAAACTTGGTGAGAAATACTAGGTATTATTAATCTAATTTTTTTTCAGAAGACAAGGTGGGGGTTACTGGTCCAGAGGTCAAACAGGGAACCTGAACTCATATGCCACAGATGTCCTAAACAAACCTTCCTCTTCTTCCAAGGTAGATCCTGGTCCCCTGTAATCTCTGTTCTTCCACTGACTAGTGCCAGTATTTGTTTGTCTTTAGATATTCACAGTTTTTTTTCTCAATATAGCACAAGTTAGTTCAGGTCCTCAAGAACTTTAGCATTCTTCATTTACTTATGATCAATCATATGAACTTGGTCCCTGTGTACTTTCTTCTAAAATTTGATTTGAGCCACCATTTAATATAGTTTTCAATTTTCCCTGAATATTTTTTCACTTGTACAAGAAAAACAAGATGAAGTATAGAAGTTTAAATCTTCATTGCTTTTGGGTTGAATGTAATTAGCAGCATATGTCCACCTTGAGGAAAAGTACCTTTATATTTTCCTTTTTTTTCCAGAGTTCTGGTAAAAAGAAAGTTAAAGTCCTAAAAGACACTCCACTTGGTAATTATATGATTTATTTGAAACTTTGTACTTCCTATGATAATGGACATGCCAAATCCTGAGTAAATTTTATTTTTTTGTTCACAGACGTCCCAGACAGGCCAAGTCAACCAGGAACAATGGCCTACATTGCCAAACAAGACGTATCCTCAACACCACGACAAAAGGTCAAAGGTCCAAAGTGTGGGCAGTGTGAGGAGAAAAAAGCCGCAGTGGTATGAAAAAAATATTCCCTATTAAAATGATGTATTGAACAGAACAATGATTTATTTTACTGTACTATGTATTAATAATTAAATACAATTTCACAGTATCCTGGTATCATATTTTAGAGATATTTTCATTGTAATATTTTCAGTCGTGTGTCCAGTGCTCGGAGCTGTATTGTCCTGGTTGTTTCGCAGCATTCCATTTGAAAGGAGCCCTGAAAAAGCATAGGTCTATACCAGTGTCTGTAAGTACATTTATCTTGAAACTTAAGTATACTACATGAACTATAAACCAATCAATAATTCAATATATATTATTACAGTTTCTGAAAAAAATCCAATTTATTGTATATTTGTAGGCAACAGGCCCAAGGCAGTGTATGTCTCCAAGACCTACCCCTCCAATTACCAATGGCAATGGGTATTTCTTTTTTTTTTCCTTAGTTTTCTTTTTCTTTTGAAGTGGGGGGGGGGGGGGGTGCTTATCATTGGTTTGTATTGCTTTTTTTTTAAAGTACATGTACAAAAATAAATTTTCTCTCTTTCCAGAGATTTTGACAGTCACAATCATTCCTCTGAAAATTTTGACAGTTACCCCTCAGAAAATGCGATCCACCCCGCACACTCCAGCATCAACAGAGTACGGGTGAGTGTATGCATGATGTTTATATTCATAAATGCAGCAGCAGATATGTTACTAACTTTTGTTTGAAGTAAGTGTTATTAAGTGATCAGCATAAAAAATATGTAATGGATATATGCCGAATACTGTTCTATATGTAAAATTATCAGACTGTTTGAGGCCCGTTAGGGCCGAAAACAGTCTGATAATTTTACATACAGAATTGTATGAGGCATATATCTTACTTAAAACATTGCCATTTAAATGTCCAAAAGTTACCTGGAGTCCAATAATTATACAATAGGAGTTCAGGCATCAATAGTTTTCTACCTGAAACCATCTCATAAGTAGACAAAAGAAAAGAGAAAGTTTTTTTTTTCTTCAGACAGTAAAATCAGTGAGTGAACTCTTTTGTTTCATTCATTCAATGGCAGTCATTTGGCTTAGCAGGAACTATGGACAGTGGTCAGGTGATGAAGGAATTTTTTATGATTCGGAATATTTTTTTTTTATTAAGTGTTTGACATTGATACAGATACAGTGTTGGATGATATCTTCAATATGCATTTAAAGTAAAAATGCGGATTTTTATCTAAAATTTTGATTGGAGGATATAATGAACATCTTGGGTTTTAAAAGTGCCGTCATTGGCGAACAAACCTCGTTAAATGAAGAGATTCGCAGACTGGTTCTTTACCAGAAATGGATTTAAATTGGCTTATTCACAGTGCTGTTTCGAAAACGCTTTGCAAAAAACCGAATGGAAAGTGTTACTTTTGAGGAAGGTTAAAACTCCAGTTTCTTCTTGGATTTGCTATTTTAACAACTTAATTTCCTCGCGTTCACTTTCCCTGAATTTTTTCCCTAACTTTTTTTGGGGGTTTCTGGACAAATTAAACCTTGATTTCACTCTAGTTGTTGTTTTTTAACTACTGTCCGATTTTGTTATCACTGCCGTCCGATAATATATTATTGGACTGCTAATTATTATTATCGGACGGCTACAGGTAAATTTTTAGACTGTTAGAACAAAGGCATGACGTCACAGCAATGTTTTAAGTGCAGTTAAAATAACCTTTATATATCAAATTTGATAAGAAGAAATACAAAATTCAAGAAATTCATGATGGACCTTTTGTCAGGAAAGCTTGAAAAAAAAAAAGCTGTGCATAGTATTTTTCATACATCTATTTTAAAAAAATTGTAGTTCAATGACCAAGGGAGGAACAGTCCGGAGGGGGCTAGTGGATCTTTTGATGGTCCCTCCCTGTTTGATGGGGATTACAACGAGGCTGAGAGTGCAGCTTCATTTCAGGCGGCCCTTGCTGCATGGAGGACTGGAAAATCTGAGGGCGAGGAACCAGCTAAAGAGTCAACCACCAGACAACCTCAAGTTCTCAAAGTGGAGACTCCACGTAAGTCATAGTACACTACCAGATAACCTTAAGTTCTCACAATGGAAACTCCACATAAGTCATAGTCAAACATCAGACAACCTCAAATTCTCAAAGTGGAAACTCCACTTAAGTCATAGTGAAACACCAGAAAACCTCAAGTTCTTAAATTTGAAACTCCACGTAAGTCATAGTACACTACTAGACAACCTCAAGTTCTTAAAGTGGAAATTCCACATAAGTCATTATCAAACACCAGACAACTTCAAGTTCTCAAAGTGGAAAATAGGGGTTGATTACATTAAAAACTTTCCCTGCAGGTTTAAAGGAAATTACTGAACTTTCAAAGAATAGCACTCAATAAGAACTCCACTGTTAACAAAAATGATAGATATTTTGTTTAATCTAGGTCAACCAGTTCCAATGGGAGTTGACAGTGGTACGGAAACCAAAAAACCTCCCCCTGTGGAAATAAAGTTTTCCTCCAACCTTACTTATGCTGAACGACTTCTCCTTAAGAAACATAGACAGACAGACATTGAAAAGACAGACACCCCTAGGGTCAGTTTGCCTGCAACTCCTCGACTAAATTTCCCTTCCATGCCAGACGACAATCATAGTGAAGTACAGATGCCCTTTACTCCTCGCAGCCAGCAGACTCCTCGCATTGAGGCTTATCCTCAGAGGAGCAAAACTGAGGATGAGGATCAGGAAGAGGACATGGAGGGTATGTGTGTTACATAAATTCTGGTAGCTTGTAAATAAGTCAATAAGATTCGAAAAGTTAAAGTACTGTAAACCAACTATTATTCAACTTTTATTCGCAATTGTTAGTTTAAAATCTACTAGTATCTGCGATGACTAATTTTTGTGACTGAGGAATTATTCTTCACAAATATAAAATGAAATAAACACTTCACAGCATGAAATAATATATGAAATATAAGTAAAAGAAGGTCACAAAACTCGTGAATATTTCTCACACACAAATTGGTGTACAGCATTAGAATTTTTTCTCTTTGTTTCAGATGAATTAGAAGAAAGAGTTAATTTTAAAGCCCTGTACGAGCTGTCTAAAGCCTCCTCCAACACCAGTGTAGGGAAATCTCGCCATGATGAGGACAACATTTCTATCATTGAACTGGATACTGTAATCGTAAGCTCAAACTTCACATCAGTTCCTAAACATGATGATCAGAATAAGAAATCAATGATTATCTCATACAGTGTTTTCTCTTGAGCAAAAGATTTTAATTCAGGCACAGAATCATAAATACATGTATAAACTTAGTGCCTGCACACAGGAATTTGCTATGTACTGTTCATGTCATACCAATGTTTGTGGACTTTATGGGTCATCCTTACTCATGAATTTACATTCTCATCAATGACAACTCTGTCAGTGTATCAGTTCAGTGAATTTTCTGTGTCTTCCAGTTACCCATGGAATTACGTCCCCACAATCCAATAGAATTTTAAGTTACCCACAAACATTGACCCACCACAAATTAAGATGATTTCACAATATCTGCTTAAGTCTCTGCAAAAACATAATTGACATGTATAAGTGTATTCTATCTTTAACATTTATGCTCAAAACTTTCATATATTAGTATTATTTTCATAAAACCTCATACAGTATGTGATGAAACTGTTATTAAACTAAATACATGTTCATAGAAATTTGATGCAAGAAGTAACTGTTTGTGTGTACAATAATTTTCCTTCCCATTTAAAGTACCATAGTGAACCATAGTGAACTCGAACTTTCTCCCATTGTAGATACATGTATTAATCCATCAATGAGATTTTTCCCCTGGATTTGCATGATAAGCAATCCATTAAAATGTGATTAAAATATTTAAAATGCATAATATCTATCAAATTGTCTGAATGGAAAAGTTACTGCTTTAAATATAATTTTTCCTATTTTAAAGGGGTAGGAGGATTCAGAAATACTGATTAATATATATTCTTTTCATAAATAACAGTTTTTTTTACTGTATACATGTACAAGATTATTTTTGCTCCTTGTTATTTTCATCCTATTGCCATTGCGAATGATTTCACACAGATTTGAATTCGCCCAGACCATTGTGTTAAAAGGGAAATAACTCTGTCTCTGTTGAATTTGACCACTGATGACTGGAGTGTAAATTTTTCTGCATTCAGTATGCATCAGATTTTTAAGTTTATTCTCTGTCATATATTATTTCTTCCTTCTATTTACAGACTAATCCTACAATTGAGGAAACCACAGAGTTCGTAGTTCAGGAGGTCAGTGATTTGGAGGCCTGGACAGTCAAAGAAAGGTTCGTTTTATAAAGATTTTCAATTGTTATCTGAACTTGAAAATTGATACAAGTTTTACACAAAATGTAAAAGAGATTTTTTTTTAATCTTCATAAGGTAATTTAAAAAAAGATAAAAAAGGAAATTAAGAAAGTTCATTTCTAAAATTGAAAATTCATAGAAGTTTTCACATACTTCATCATTTTCCCCTGTGATTGACATGCATGAACTTGAGCCTCCTCCCCCTAACACACACACAAAGAGAGTTGCTTGGACATATACATGTATCATTATATCCATGCTAGTGTTTATTTTCACCATTCCTGCAGATACTGAGCTGAAATTTGATGTTTGTATGTATAATGTTTAAGATAAATCTTAATGGTCTTTTCTGAACTGAATTATCTCAGTTGAAATGACAGGTCTTTAATGCGTATTTCATGCAATACACACTTTTGATGAAAATAAAAGGATATATATCCAGTGTAAGTTGCATCTTTTCAACAACAGATTATCTTTTGCAGTGAGAACAATTTTATAGAAACCCAGAGAAGCAGCAAGCCACCAAAGTCTTCAAAACGCAGAGCAGAATCTAGAACAGAGAATAGCATTATTACCTCACCCGAAAACATGTCAGCCAAACCACCAATCAGAACTGAAGATAGGCTGGGGTCAGGAAAGGTCAAGGACAGCATTCAAGACCAAACGAGGACTGAGAGTAGGATGAAGTCTGGAAAGGTGCGACCTTTCTCTGCCAAATCTAGACCACCATCAAGTAGAGCAAAGAGCCGACAAGATTCTCAGAGACCCGGATCACGGACAAGAAGTAGAGCAGGATCGAGGATGGAAGGGTGAGTGTTACGATTCTTTTCAGTGATTTGATCAATATGAATGTGTTCTTAATAACATTTTCTGACATTGGGAGATGCTTGTTTGGTATTTTAATTCACAAAAAATTTAAAGGCTATATAGACATCTGTGAATTTTAGTAAGTGAAAGCATGTTATGTATTTGATTTTTAAATGAATTTGTATGCCATTATGTTTATCCAAAATTACAGTAATATTCATAGAAAATAACCATTTACAGAGAAGGGTGCTTGACAAAAGCCCCCAGTGAAGCCCTGAGTATGGTAGCTCAGATGTCTGCAGAGGTCAAAGTTCAACGGAGCGTACCATTGGAAGAGCTGTTTATGATTGGTGTAACCCCAGTACAGCAAGACAGGGTCATGACCCCATCCAGGGCTAAGAGTGCCAAGGATGATAGAATGAAAGTTAGCAACCAATGTGAGTAAGATGGAGGTTTTAAATTTTTAAAAAATGAAAAGCTGTTGTCATAGTCGCATCACGCCCCACACAGATATTTTGTCTGAAGATGCCTTTACCTTGTGTTTGCTTCCAACAGGATAAAAGCTTTCAAAACTAATTTGGCAGTACAACTTATTTATTGATAAAAAAAATTTCAATGATCGTGTAGGATAAATATGTCCTTTAATTTCCTCAAGAAGAGAGTGATAGTTTACAAAATTCTACAAACAATATCAAAGAGCTTTGCAGAATTTTGTCAATATAACATGTACTGTATTTATCAAATTTTTGTAAGGATATAAGAATTTATTATTTTTTTTTTTTACTGTACTAATTAAATACTACTGACACTCCATACAATAAAATTTAATGATTTTTTTCCTTTATCTAGTGTACCAGATGGCCCCTCGCTCCTGGAGACCAGACAGTAGTCTTGCAGAAAATGCAACAGACGCACAAGTAGAACCAGTGGAGGACCCATTGGCTGTTCCCATGGAAACTGATGCCATTGATATGGTCATGGATGCTAACAGTTACCATAGCAACACTGATGGTGTGGATGCTGAAACACCTACACCAAGGTTTCCTTTGTTTTTACACAATTTTGGGAAAATACAAATTTGTTAATGATATGGATTTGACAAAAATATATGAAAAAAATGGTTAAAACAAAACCAAAAAAAAAAGACTTGATAATTGTGAAGACCTAGCATGAATACTTAGCAATAAAAAGACAAACATCAGTCCCCATGAGGAAAGAAAGTGGATTTTTTTAGTCTCAATGAACAGATCAAAAAATATGAAAAAGGACATTTTGGATCACTGTTTGTTAAATGTTTCTGATTTCTGATACAAGTGTACCATTCCCTGAGCATTTCAAATTCAAATACATGTACTTATTTGGTGTTTCAGAGCTCCTAGTCGAAGTGATTCTCTGCTGAGAGATTCCACACTACCAGATTTCAACTTCAGTCACCCAACAGCAAAACAAAGATCACCAGAACCCCCACGAGAGAAAAGCTTTAGACAACCCAGCCAACATTCAAAGAGCCGATCCTCCCATCAGACCCTCACCCCCAGAATAGGGACCCCAGGGGCCAAACCATCAGATAACCTAGAACCTACTGATTTACAATCCTCCACAACTTTTGGAAGTTGTCCACATAGCAGAGGTGTGGATCAAATAGGGGCGAGATCGGTCAGTAGATCTGGTACAGGAATAACTCCAAGATCTGCGAGGGCATCATCACGGTTTGGAGGTCAAACCCCCAGAGCTGACGGATTAGAGAGACCAGTGTCCAGAGCTATAGGTAGGTATCACAGCTACAAAAGTATCAAACTTCAGTTACAATCAAACTTAAACCAGCTAAAGATTGATTATGAAAAAATAGGCAGACTATTTTTAAGGCATTGAGCTTCTCCAGACTCTATTTAGTTCTTATAGGCAGAGCGTCATTTTCCTAATTTTCTTCTGATACTTTTATAACTATTATTGAAATAACCTTCACGTATTTCTTTTTTAAAAGTTGTTGATGGGGAAGATTTGTCATCTTATGATGCAGTTGGGGACCAGGAAAACAGAAACATGGAAGACCAGGAGAGTTTGAATAAATTGGAGTGGGAGCTGGCCTCAGAGTCAGGCAGGATCACAGGTACTGTGGTGAACAATTTAAATTGGGGGGGGGGGGGGGGATTATTGGTACTGTCTGAAATACTCATATTGTAACAGAGGGTAACAGGAGTTACACAGTCAGTACTTAGGGGGCAATCAGAATTGGGGCTGTAGGAGGAACAAAGGTTTTGTGGGAAATGTGTGCATTGTTAAAGGGGTACAAGTGATTCAGTCAGGAAGGAGCATGTGCACAGGAGAAAATAATGCATTTTGGATGAAGTTTGGAAGGATTCAATAAACTGAACTCACACACAGGTACATGCATATCGTGGGAAGGAGTATCAGGCAGAGAATCTAATACTGTATACAGTTGGAGTTTTTTTTAGCAATAAAAAAGTATTGGTATTATATCCTTTCTAACTCAAAAATTACTACATATATACTATGAAAACTTCCCAAAAAAATGTATTGCAACATTTATTTATATTGTTACACATTTTGCGACAGCTGATGGCCAGATATCTCGTATGAGTATACTGCCAGACACGGATGACGAGGGAAGCACAGGAAGTAGTCGATCCTTTAGTAGGATGAGTCAGCAGGATCAGGGATACGACATCAACTCGAGACTCAGGTCAGGATTACCATCGAGCCTTGTATTATTCTCACTTTATTGATAGACCTTCAATATTCTATGATTGTAGTTTATGAAGTGTAAGGTGATAGGTGTTAGAAACATGGGAACCCAGTAAGCAAAATAATGATTTCACCACTTGGTCAAATTCAAATATGCAAGACATTATTGACAGAGAGTTTAATTTCATATAAGTGTTACAAACTTAAATAAAAAATTTTACTTCAATGATCATGCAGGGTTCTGTGTTAGTGTATGAATTAGACAAATCAATTTAAGTAAAAAGCTCAAATTTTTGTCCCCACAAAATTTTATTCCATACTGACACTCATTTGTTAACTTGATTATGGTTCCATTTGCAAAACTTGAACATTGCTCCATTCTTCTCTGTAGGGAAGATGAACTACTAGACGATGAGGAACAAAGAGAAAGCGATGAAGAAAATGAGGTCAAAGCTCTTCATTAGAGCCCCTGATTTGTTGAAAATGTGTGGAACAATTTTTTCGAAAACAATTTCTTTCGAGACCAAGATCAGAGATTGTGAACAGTGCTAATGTGTACTCTTTCTCAGTGCATTATGGCTCACTTTTCAGTCAGTGGTGTTATGTTTTAAACTGAAAACACAATATTCAAATGTTTTTGATTCCTGGCAATATTATTGTCTGCTATTTATATCTTCAGTACAATCTGTCAGATCACATGAAAAATAATTAGGGGATTTTTGAAAGAAAAAAAAATATTTCAAAGTTTAACTTTTACATTGTAAGATGAAGTGCTTGCAAATGATGAGATACATTGATAAAAAATATATCACATATATGTATTACTAAAATGTTATAATTCAAAACTTTGATTTTAATGTCAATGCACATTTTGCCAGTTTTGTAGGTTTTAGATGAAATATCCCAGTTGTGTTCTAATTTGTAAGTTTAATGATTGTTAGTTTTTTAATTTGTAAATTAATACCAATATGTAATTTACTGTCCATTTATTTATTTTCAGTTAATATGTGTCAGTTATTAATTGTTAATATACAAAAAAGTATAAATAAACAATTGATAGCTTTAACAAAGATACATATGTGTGGATTTTTTTGTCATTGTGCATCAACCCAGTTTTGAGAGGTTATGGTCACAATTCTTTGTAATGCATCCTTGAAACTTAAATCAAGGTCATCTGACAAATCCAGATGTATTAATAGATCAGACAGAGTGACAGTGTCAATCAGCGAATTGGGCGGAACTGTAGGTGGGGCCAATGTCGTTTTGATAGAGGAAGTGTCACACAGTTCATCCCCTTGGATGACATCCAGAACTAAACATACATCACTTAGCTGGTCTTCTGGGAATCCAAAATTTCTTAAAATTTCATTGAATTTGGTTCGGTAATCTGGGTCTTGTATTTGGTTCCACACATCTTGTATTGTTGGAGTTGGACTGAAGTGATTTGTGATTTTGACGTGAACAAATTGGAAAAATGTCTTAATGTGGTCCTTCAGTAGCTTTGAATATTCGGATGAGGTGTCCAATAAGAAGTTTTGCAAAATAACTTCACTCTGTTCCATCTTGTACTAAAAAAGATAAGTCTTTGATTAAATATAACCAAGTCTGCCAATACATATTTTCAGTATAAAATTGGGGTTCAAAGTATTATACATATATGTATTGATATATAAATTGATATATAGATCTAATGTTTGCCACATAGCAAAAATGCTAAATGCTACTAATTGTAAAAATTGTACATGTATTAAAGAAAATTATTTATTTATTAATTTATTACCTATTTTCTTCTGCTTTAAACAGGTTGATTTTTATACCATCATAAAAGGGCTCATAACCTTTTCTTCGAAGGGGGGGGGGGGGGGGGGTAGAAATCATCATGTTCATCTGTTAAGTGAGGGCTTGCTACTGGTGTTCTTAACAGATTGCTTAACTGAGTTGAACAAATGGTTTCTTATAATCATACTGTGTGTGATACAATTGTTGATATTAGTCAAGGTCATTTGAACAAGACCAAGGTCACATTTTTAGCTCACCTCAACGAAGTCGAGATGAGCTTATACTATACCCCCAGCATTGGCGTCGGCGTCCTGGTTAAAGTTTTAAGAGCAAGTCCATTCTCAAGTAACTATAAGGCCAAAAAAAAAATAGTCTTGTTTCCTGCTACTCGACCTACCCTATTTTTTTGGCATCTGACCCTAAAGTTTTTTTTTACGTTTTGGAAGAAAAAAAAATCGTGAATTTCTGGAATATCATTGTTCTGTCACTGTAATTGGTTTTTGTGTTAACACAAAACAAGCATTTCATGAAATTCTTGTTTTAAATATCGACTTTCACATAATACCACTTGAGTTGTGCATAAAAAGACATGAAATTTAATTTTAAAAGACAATATTGACCTGTGACATGTTTAATTTGATCTTGTATTAGTTCATATCCAAAAATGCTGTCCGAAAAAAATAAAATAAAAATATAAAATAAAATAATTTTCCTACCTACGTACCCTATTTTTTTCAGGCTGGTAGCAGGAAAAAAGACTATTATTTTTTTGGCTTAAGCCCTACCTGGAACAAACCTGCATGGATGATGCATCTAGGGATGGAGTGCACTACCACACTTGCTCCGGATGCTGGATCTGACCTAGATTTTCCAGATGAGTGACCAGGTTAAAGTTTTTGAAGCAGGTCCACAACCAAGGATCTATAAGCCCTACCTGGACCAAACTTGCATGGATGATGCATCTAGGGATGGGCACTACCGCACTTGCTTTGGATGCTGGATCTGATCTCCATTTTCCAGATGAGTGACCAGGTTAAAGTTTTTGGAGCAGGTCCATTCCCAAGTAACTATAAGCCCTACCTGGACCAAACTTGCATGGATGATGCATCTAGGGATGTACACTAACTAACCTGCTTCAGATTCTGGTTTTGACCCAGATTTTCCACATGAGTGAATTTTAGCCATATTTTAACCAAATTAGCAAGGATGATGTTGTATCTAGTGATGGACACTTCCAGACATGCTTTGGATTCTGAATCTGACCTACATTTTCCAGATGAGTGACCAGGGTAATGTTTTTGGAGTAGGCCTAGCTATATAAAATTTAGGCCTGTTATGATTAAACTTGCATAGATGGTGTATCTAAGGATGAAAACTTCCAGACTTACTTTGGATGTTGGAACTGACCAAAATTTCCTTGATTATAGTAAACAGATTATAAGTTTTTTGAACAGGTCTATTTCAAAGTAACTATAAGTCCTACTTAAACCAAACTTGCATGGATATTGATCTTGGGATGTACACTAACTAGAAAAATAATATGATGTGAGATTTGCCTTACTTTTAGATAACATTCATCGAGGTGAGCTTAGTAACCTTTGATTATGTTTCAATAAAAGTATTTGTCTGGTCATAATATTGAAATGCAAAGATTGTAGAAGCTTATAAATGTTCTATGTCCATAGGACATTGCTTATTACTGTAGATCACTATATTTTCGTGACACTTTATTTTCGCGAGATAGTTATTTGGTATTTATAAGCGAGACAAAATTTTCGCAAGCTATTTTTTGTTGTTGTATATAATCCTTAACATACAAATATACGCTAGAATAAAATTTTCGAGAGCAGACAAACTTGCGTAATTATGCGAAAATAAAGTCCTCGCAAATAAAAAAGTGATTTACAGTATTCTAAAAAAGGTGAATAAATTGGGGGGGGGTTTTGCGGGGGGGGGGGTAATTAAGTTAATAAGGTTCATGTATATGGGCCGTTTGACTGTGTCCCACACCGTTCGTTTCCTAAAATCACTATCCTACCTTAAGTAGTTTTTACCTTACCTTAGTTTTTCATGGCAAATAATTACACGTAATATATACTTTTGGATATTTTTTTTTTCTATTTAATTTCCCTTTTCATGCGAGGCACAGACACTTTTGAAATTCACACTTTATTTAGTATTCTAAATCATGTCAGCTTAAAAAAATTAGGCCTAAGCCTACTTACTTTCAACATGCACTCTTCCACCATTTGTTCCAAAGCATAAGCCCTCTCTAAAAGAATGGTATAAATATCATCCATGATAACAACACGTTTCTCCAATTCAATTATTTGCTCCAGTATCTCCTGGATATTGATGGCATTCATATTCATTTCTCGTCTTCCTGTTTTGCGCCACCATTTTGCCTGTCATAAAATTATGACGCAATATTTCGGCGTCACAATGATAAAACGTCACAGATGTATCAGGGTTTTTTTTTCGTATCATGCATCGATCTCTGAAAATCGAGATATTTTGGAAGATTAGGGGAAGTAAATACATATTTATTTACATATATATGTAACTCAGGTTCCCTGACATTCATGTAATTGAAATCAAACGCTGACTTATTCAACATCAATAGATTTGAGGAAATCGACCTTTTTGCACTCAACGAATTGAAATTGATTTTTGTATTTCATTCTCATAAATTTTAGATATATTAGCACTTTTAAAATTGTCGATTTTAAAATTTGGACCAAGGTCGATCGAAATTAAACTTTTAAAATTAACAAGAAATTGTAAACTCTAATGCATCTTATTTGCAAATAAAACATTTTTTAAAAATTTTCTCGGAAAAAATGCAAAAAAATTCCAATAAAATTAATAGGAGCTAATATTGGTCTTTCAATGCTGAAACCATATTTTAAAAAAAGATGTCATCATTGGTGGATTTAAGGGGGGGGCACCCGGCGCCCCCCCCCCCAAAAAAATTTTCCAAGTTAGCGTAAATCATAGTTTCGTCGATAAAATGACATAATTGTAATAAAATAATTTTAAAAAATGAATAAAACTTTGATGTAGCATCCCTTCTTAATATTTATAGTTATGCGCCTTTTCAATATATAAACAGATATTGACAAAAAGTTATCAGTTGTGATCATGCAGATGCAATATTATGATAACACCTCAGTGCGTATATTAAAGAAATCTTTATTATAGACGACGAAAGACGAGTAGCAGATCTATTATAGGATTTTTACTTTTGTAATATGCTGTAGCACGTTCATAGAGAGGAAACGTATAGTAAAAACATGCATGTTTGTAACAAAATCCAGCTGCTTGACTCTAGATCTGTTAAAAGTATTGTATGAATCAGTTGTTTATGTAAAAACAAACCAACCCAAAATCAAACAAACAGAACAAAAATAGAGTTTACGAACTCGACAAATACACAATGAACCAAGTCACGTCAAATGCACAGACACTAACAGGCACGCACTATCGGGAGGGTGTGAAAGGGGGGGTGTAGCGGAACTGGTCCCCACTTTTTTCTGAAAATGTTTAGCTATTAAATAGGAAAATGTCATAAACAGCTACAGTGTAGTTTCCCACCCTCCACTTTAATTTTGTTGCAGTCTGGTCAAATTCTTCGACGATAACGAAATATTTAAAACCTACACCCCCCCCCCCCACCTCAAAATGTTTATTTTTTGCTTTTCGTTTTTTTTTTTCTGGAATTTTTTTTTTGCCCTTCTCCCCTTCAATTGAGATTTTGCATATTCGTAAAAATGATTGAAGGTGAATGAAATAGGAACTGTCAGCATAGATCGACTCACAAGTCAAAAGACAAACAGATGGAGAGAATACGGTTTCAATGGTAAGGAGCTTTATATATTAAGATTGCAGTGGTGAAGCATAAAAATGCTCCGTCACTACAAGTCATGCTTTCATTTGGATGCAGCTTTTTTTCTGTACCAGTAGCTAGCTGCTAATGTGTTTGGAACTAGTATACTGCCAATGTCACTCCCTGGACCAAACTTGTAGTCATAATGTATCAAGAAATGAACAGGTATACTACAGTAATCCTGCCTCAAATGGGATTTGACGGATGTAAAACTAAAACAGATCTGATGAAAACTGACAATATCGGTAGTGGATTCAGTACTCACATAATGCTGGATTAAAGTAAGGGGGGGGGGGGGGGAGGGGGTTAGTTGCTTGGGGAAAGGACCTGCTCCATAAACTTGTACAAAGGTTGCTGACACCAAGTTTATAGCAGAAAATAATTTCAACTTTGTTGAGCCAAGGTAATGAGGAAATATTAATGAAGAGTGGACCAAGCAGTTGACCTGGAACTACACCCCCCCCCCCCTTTATAATTTTCAGGGTTGAATTTAAACTGGTATGGTCAAATTAGCTATAAATAACTTTGGATCCCCTCATTTTAGAAAAGTACCCCTCCAAAGATTTCGCATGTACAGCATGAAATAAAGACGTTTTTTCTGTGATAGCCACCAACATTAATATATCAAAGGATTTTCATGGATGACAATTTTTATTTCACTTTTCAGAAATATTTCCAGCTAACATCCCCCAACACAAACCCCTCTTATTATATGAAAGGATATTCATGGTTGAAAATTTCGCTTTTATTTTACTTTTTAGAAATATTTCAAAGTGTGAAAGTTTACTAATTGAAATGCATCTCCAACCCCCGACAATTCCCGAAATCTTCTGAAATTTAACAATAAATGGAATCATTGAATTAATTTCAGCTGTCTGCTGAAATTATCAGTGTTTCACGGTACTCTAATCACTACATATCCCTTTAGCAATGACGCTCCCTGTCGTGTCATCAAGTTTCTTAGCAATCCATCATAAACAATACTGAAGGACCCAAAATGAACAAGTGTGATTGTAGCTATGCCACTCAATAAAACAGCTATCATAATGTACATGTATCTATAATCATCAAAAGGGACAAACAGTAAAAAAAAATCCTGGGATTTTTTCCAACAACTTCAATACAGTGGTGTAATACTGTGTACAGGATAATTTTGCCCCCATTTTATTTTCACTCCCCTTCCCCTTGTCACAAGCAGGTGGATTTAAAACAGCTCAAATTCAAGGAAGGTAGTATTATCTCTAACAAAATTGTTTCTTGATGAATTTAACAGGTGGCAAAAATTGTTTGCAAATGTGAAAGGGCAAAAAATAACAAATATACTGGGCACTGTACTTAGGTTATATCAAGTCACTTACCATGAATATGGTAAATAATGTACATTCCGATGTTAAAATTCTGAAGAAATGCAGAAAATGAAATATATGGAGATAACGAACAGTATTCAAGCTCAAAAGTCCATTAATCAATACAAAATAGGAGCAGAGCAAACACGGACCTCCAAACATCAGAGGTGGGATCAGGTGCCATGGAGGAGTGAGCATCCCCTGCCGACCGGTCACACCCGCCGTGTGCTCCTTGTCATGATCGGGAAATAACGGAAAAATCCGTCGACAATTCAGTGTGTAAATAATGGCCTAACAATTAGTGTGAAAAATGTCAGTCAGCATTTGATTCAATGATAAATTGTATTTGCTGACAAGGTCATTGTATCGACCATGGAACTTACGAAATGATGACTTTAAACGAGACAGCTGATATAATTGTTTCATCAACTTATTTGTCAATAATTTACCTCGTTTTAGAAATTGTACATACGTAGAGCATGCTCTTGCGTATCGAATCAACTGAGAGATATATACCCCGTATGCAGGTGATGAAGGTATATTGCTGCATAAGTAAAGGAAGTTGACGATTGAAAAGTTGAAGTCATCACGTTTATCATAAAGCTTGGTTGTTAGATTACCATTAACGTCTTTTTCAAATAAAATATCCAAATATGAAACACATGTGTCAGACTCTGTGGTATCTTTTATCTCAAGTTCACAAGGATATATCGTATCGACATGAGAATGGAAATAGCCATTGTTAATTGACAATAAAAACAAACAAAAAATAAACAAAAAACAAAAAAATAAAACAAGTAAATTCAGTTTGAATTTTATTCCACACCATATGGTGCATTAGTACCAAATATTTGGCACTATAACATCAAATAAAAACCCATAACAATAAACACAAAGCACTATTGGTACACCCCCTACACAGTAGCACTTAGTTACACCAATAGCAGATGATGTCACCCATAAAGTATACCACATCCATTCACAACAAATTAGTTCATCCAAGTTCCTCATTTCAGAAATGATATTGTATTAAATAGCACTAACATGCACCTTTTTCATCACCAGACAAGAAAGCTTAAGTATATCAACCAGTCACATTGCTTTTTACATTATTAATCTATTCACCAATCTCATCACATTTTACACATGATCAGGAATGTCAATGTGAACACATATGATTGGCTCACTCTGTCACATGATTACAGAGTGATGTCCCTGTACTAGCTCATCATATCCAGAAAATGTGTTGAGTTTGTGGGACTCTGTCCATTGGGAGCTTTCAAGGAATCATTCACATCTCTTCTGAACAGGGATAGATTCTGTGTAAATCTAAAATGAATCATTCAGATTTTTAAAGTGACAATGGTTATGGGCTCAAGTGTTTAAACTACATGTACATATTGACTTAAACTAAACTTTAAAAAATTTTCAAAATCAATTAGATACTTATTTCTTTCCATAAAAGAATCATGTTGCACATTTTACTCAAACATTAATCAATATATATTTTTTTACGTAATGTCAATATTACGTTAATCAATATATATATTTTTTACATAATGTAATCCTTACTTATCTCTATTCTTTGTGTGCAATGACCTTTCAATTCCACTCATCAGATTTTCAAAACACTGCATCATTGTCTGTTGTTTATCTGGAGGTTGACTAGCAATTATGCTGTCCCTCAACTTGTTGAAATACTGAAATAAAATATTATACCTGATAAAATCACAGCTCCAGAAGATGAGTAGCAAACTGCATGACAAGCATGCTGTAAAAAGTGGAATCAAATTGTGGAGTGGGTGAGTTGGGGTGAGGGGGTGGGGGTTAAACTTATGCCATGTGAACATGGTGAAAGAACTTGTAAATGCATCTCCAATATGCAAGTTCCCTTCTTTTGCACTTCATGAAAATGACATCCAAAAATACCAGGACTACTTCTTGGAACTGCACCAAGCAAAATGGAGACAAGAGGCCCATGGGCCACATCGCTCACCTGAGTAACTTTGGCCATGCTGTTCTTTACCAGATTTCCCCCTTGTAATACCTATTGTGGCTCCGCCCTACCCCCGGGGGTCATGATTTTTAACAATTTAAAATCTACACTATCCCAGGATGCTTCCACATAAGTTTCAGTTTTTCTGGCCCAGTTGTTCTTGAGAAGAGGATTTTTAAAGATTTTTCTTACATATTTCAATGTAAAACTTGGATTCTCTATTGTGGTCCCGCCCTACCCCCAGGGATCATGATTTTTACAATTTAGCATCTACACTACCCCAGGATGCTTCCATATAAGTTTCAGTTTTTCTGGCCCAGTTGTTCTTGAGAAGAAGATTTTTAAAGATTTTTCTTACATATTTCAATGTAAAACTTGGATTCCCTATTGTGGCCCCGCCCTACCCCCGGGGGTCATGATTTGAACAATTTAGCATCTACACTATCCCAGGATGCTTCCACATAAGTTTCAGCATTTCTTGCCCAGTGGTTCGTGAGAAGAAGATTTTTAAAGATTTTTCTTATATATTTCAATATAAAACCTGGATTCCCTATTGTGGCCCCACCCTACCCCAGGGGGTCATGATTTTAACAATTTAAATTTTACACTATCCCAGGATGCTTCCACATAAGTTTCAGCTTTTTTGGCCCAGTGGTTCTTGATAAGAAGATTTTTTATTTTTGTCTTTTCTTGATTATATCCCCTTGTAAGGGGACTTGGCCCTTTATTTTAACAATTTGAACTCCCCTTCACCCAAGGATACTTTGTTTCAAGTTTGGTTAAAAGTGGCCCAGTGGTTCTTGAGAAGTTGAAAATGTGAAAAGTTTACAGACGGACGGACGGACAGACAGACGGACGACGGACAACGGGTGCTTTCAGCTCAGGTGAGCTAAAAAAGCAAACTTGTTGCTATTTTCAAATTATCTAAGTAAATCAATGACTTTCAGCAGGGAAAGAAAAATTGTATTAGTCTTATGAATAACAAGCATTTCTTCTTCATTGGCTGCAATTTTAATCCTTACAGTTTATACAAGTATTTTGGTCTTTCACTACGAGTGTATAAAGAAACATGAAATTCTTTCCTCTGCAACACACACACAAACATACAATATCCCTAAGAAAGCTAAACCTATTACTGTAAAATCACATATTTTCCTGGGGTCAAATTTTTGAGGTCTGAGGAAAAAAAAAATTGGTATTTGGGGATTTGATTTCATGGTTGGAGAACGTTTAGTAGTAATGCATATGAAATTTTACATTTTGTGGTGGTCTTAAATTCGTGCTACTCTCCATACCTCAAAAACAATGAAAATTAAACCCCATCAAAATTAGTGATTTCACAGGAAGTCCTCCAGCCAATACGTTATATTTCCACTATGAAAGAGTTATACTTCTTAGTGCGCTCTTTTGTGAAAAAGTCGGAAAATGTACAAATCTCGCGGGATTTCAGGGACAAACGTAACGTAAACATGTAAACAATATGTTGAATGTCGATGAACAAATCCTAAGAAAATGCAAATGAAATATTTTATTGTTGTGGACTTTATATACATCAAGAGTAGGAATGACAACGATATCAATTTATATCTATTGGTGATCGTATGTATCTATTTATCGTATGGTACATCTAAATACAATACACATGCCTAGGAAATGTCGTATTTTTTATTAATGAATGATAAATGTAGGGTTCTCGCTCTCTTACATATGTCTTTTAGTTCTTCTATTCTTTAATTGGAATGACAAATACATTTAACATTAAAATTGGATTGAGATTGGCATGTTTTGTATTATCCGCAACGCCATGCTGTCCCTATCAAACGACCAAACGCGCCTCTAATTTTGAAGAGTTCACTAATGGAAATAAAACGTATTGGAAAATGAAGGCTACAGTAGCAATGAGCTCAACAGATTTCAAGTGAAGGAAAATGTACTCACCTCTTCGTTGAGCAAAATCAGACCTAACAAAGGCCGTGACATTGACCACTGATTTCGACAATCTTCAAACATGATAATGTTAAGTACAGTGGACAGCATCTGTAATATTGAGTAAAATACAGGTATGCCAATCAAAATTACTTCTGAAAACTAGAAATATGTCCATAGGACATGAATGCCCCGCCAAGGGTATATTAGTAATGCAACATTTTAACACAAATTGAGAAAAGTGAGGTCAAGGTCAAAGGAAAGGTCAAGGTCAAAAAATATTGCTGCAGTTGAATAGCTTACATCAGTATGTATCAGCATATGACGTTTGATTCAGAAACTAATTTAAGAAAAGTGAGGTCAAGATCAAAGGAAAGGTCAAGATCAAAAAATGTTGATGTAGTTGAAAAGGTTACATCAGTATGTATTAGCATATGAAGTTTGATGAAAATATTATGAATGGTTTCTTTAAAACTGAGCTAAACACTAATTTAAGAAAAGTGAGGTCAAGGTCAAAGGAAAGGTCAAGGTAAAAAAAAATTGATGCAGTTGAATAGCTCTCATCAGTATGTATCAGCATATGAAGTTTGACACTAATTTAAGAAAAGGTCAAGGTCAAAAAATGTTGATGCAGTTGAAAAGGTTACATCAGTATGTATTAGCATATGAAGTTTGATGAAAATATTATGAATGGTTTCTTTAAAACTGAGCTAAACACTAATTTAAGAAAAGTGAGGTCAAGGTCAAAGGAAAGGTCAAGGTCAAAAAATATTGATGCAGTTGAATAGTTCTCATCAGTATGTATCAGCATATGAAGTTTGACACTAATTTAAGAAAAGTGAGGTCAAGGTCAAAGGAAAAGTCAAGGTCAAAAAATGTTGATGCAGTTGAATAGCTCTCATCAGTATGTATCAGCATATGAAGTTTGATAACACTATCTTGAATGGTATCTTTAAAACTGAGCTAAAAACTTATTTAAGAAAAGTGAGGTCAAGGTCAAAGGAAAGGTCAAGGTAAAAAATATTGATGCAGTTGAATAGCTCTCATCAGTATGTATCAGCATATGAAGTTTGTTAAAAATATCTTGAATGGTCTCATTAAAACAGAGCTAAACATTAATTTAAGAAAATGAGGTCAAGGTCAAAATAAAGGTCAAGGTCAAAAAAATGTTGATGCAATTGAATAGCTTACATCAGTATGTATCAACATATGAAGTTTGATTACACTATCTTGAATGGTATCTTTAAAACTGAGCTAAACACTAATTTAAGAAAAGTGAGGTCAAGGTCAAAGGAAAGGTCAAGGTCAAAAAATGTTGATGCAGTTGCATAGCCCTCATCAATATCTATCAGCATATGAAGTTTGATAAAAATATCTTGGATAGTTTCTTTGAAACTGAGCTTTGAACAGAGCTAAACACAAAGTGTGACGGAAGGACAGAAGGACGGAAGGACGGAAGACGGACATGACAAACACTATATGCCCCGGCCATATTCATGGCGGGGCATAACAAAATGATAGCTATTACAGAGTCGATTTGTAAATAGCTCCCCCCTCCCCCAAAAAAATCCTCGTTTAAAATAGTACATACATGTACATGTATATGCACAAAAAAAGTATTCCCAAAGTTGCAGTAACTAATATGTACAGTTTACATTCTTCAGTGACTCATGTCTACAGTAATTCCTAACCATGTGTTAATGTCTCTTTACAGCACATAAACTCATGTTTACAGTTAAGTGCCTTTTTACAGCCCTGTTACCTGTTGAAGGATTTCAGGATGAAGTTCTAGGATTCGGAGAAAAGCCTCGTTTTGCTGCATGTGATTTCGTTTCTTCTTTTTGATTGTGAGGTTCTTAAACAAGTAAGTGATGACAGTATCCAGTGTAGCACAGCACCCAGTACACACCATTGTATCTACACAAAATAATGTTAACAAAATTCATTGCTATGAATATGACACATACTGTAAAATCACATATTTTTATGGGGTCAGATTTTCAAGGTTTGAGGAAAAAATATGGGTTTGTGGGGATTTGATTTCATGGAAGAAGACTTGTTTGCGTAGTTATATAAATGGAATTTTACAATTTGTGTTGAAGATGAATTTGTGGATCTCTTCATACTCCCCCCCCCCCCCCCCCCCCCAAAAAAAACGACCTCCATGAAAATTAGTAATTTCATAGTAATATTTATTACTCATAGATCATGCTAGGAGAAAGTTTGCATCAGCTGTTTAAAGAAAGATAAATTTCCCAAAACACCTTTCAGGTTCGAGATAATGAGGTTTAACTGTATTTCTATGCACTTAGCACAACTGAACTTTGCTTAATAAACAATCATCATTCAAATATTTTTGTACCAACACAATTCAGCATTTCAAAAATTAACACTGTAAATTATATGTCACTTTCAATACTCAATAAAAATACATGTTTCACAAACAGCCACCCTGTAACCATTGATTATTAAAACAATTTCTTCCAAACAAAGCTTTAGGACATGACAATAAATAATAAACAGGTATATTTAAAATGATTTTCAGAGTGCACGGTACACATTCTAAAATTAACCAAGCAAAAGAGAGGGTATACATTTTCACTTTTAAACAATACATGTATTTTGAAGTCTGTGACATCTTACCTCGAACAGAGCTCCATTTGCTAACTATTAATACAATGGAGAGTTTATTCTTAATCTGAGGGATAAAAATATTGAGAAATTTTTCCACAGATCTAACCCCATTCCATTTTATCAATTGAAAGGTCATTTCTGACACAGCAAAACTTTACAATCCTTGCAAACTCAAAATTTCAGCTATACTGCAAAGTAAAATTTAAAATGTCAGTTACCCCCACCCACCCTTTGCACCTGATTGCAAGTATTTTTCATAATTTTTTAATACAATGGTTCTACTTAACCATAACACATTCATTGTTCGACTCTAAAAAATTTCTTGAAAAAGCAAATACATGTACATGTATACAGGTATATCAACAATAGCTAAACATAAATTATTTCTCTCTATACAGATATCAATTTTTTGTTAATGTCTTTACCTAATGCTGTTAGGCCCTCAGATATCGTGGCCAGGATGTAGAGAAAGACTTGTGGTTCTAAACTGCTGATAAATGCCATATGATCATTGGCCAGACACTCTAGAAGTCCATAATAATTCTGACTCAGTTTAGGGTAGTCCTGTCAAAGATCAACAAATTGTCACTGCTTTTATGACTTGTCATAAAAACAAGTACTGTGGAATCATTATACTGCGAGGGTTCAGTGTTAAAATGTCAGTAACATTTACATGGGGATTTGATGCATTTCGTGGCACTTTAATAAAAAGAATATTCAATGACCATATACATTGAAAAACTATTGTTTATGGGGATGTAAATTTCTGGGTAAGACAGTCTCTATTGGACCCCATGAAAAATGATGATTCCATAGTACATTTTGAAATTCAAATACTGTAAATGTACTATTTTCCACGGTGTCATAATTCCACGGAATCACAATTTGTTCAATCCATGGGTAGAAAATTATGCTGAATTCTTGGATTGTCATTCTATGTCTTAGATACTTTAAGTACGCGGTGACAAATTTCCGTGGACAAAGTGGAAAATTTGTGACCACGTACATAGCGTTAATTAATACAACACATAAAAATGTATGTCTACACTTTACACTACATGTACTCTGACTCTGCACACCAATTTTTCCACTCTCTCCATATTATATTCTGCATCCACAGACTCACCATTAGATCCCTCTGTGTGACTGACAGTAGTAACTTCACAAACATGCCAAAGGCTTTGTCGAGGGCGTTATCACCATAGAGACGGAAAACACCAAAGTTGACATAGTTACCACAGAGTGCTGCCTTCAGCATAGAGAAACACACTGATATACCTTTTAATGTAAAGGACAGTTAAGGAGTTACACAGCCAGTACAATAGCCGTTTTCTTTCTTAAAAAATTGGATAGATACATGTACATACCCTGTACATGAACAAACCCTGTCTATCTGAATAGTCAAATGTCTCTTGGCAAGAGGCCCACCATTCCAAATAATTCATAGTAAAGTTGAGATTCATTTACATAAGCATTAACTAGTGCACAAACTTATTACCCCTGCTCATTTTCTGATTAATTGTTCCTTCAGAATTAGCCCCACAAGTCTCGTTACTTTTATTACATTTTTTTTTTTTTGCAAATACATGTATCATCCAGACAAACAAAGGGGGACAACTAAAATCTGTCCAAATTTGTTAATTATGCTTCATTTCATCAATACTTTGAAATACTGACTTTTCAACTTTTATGTTATATTTAGAGTACGAGTTTCTTACTGTATCGGAGATACAGGGCGGGGCTTAAGGCGAGAGCGATAGCAATTTAAATAATTATAATTATGAGATGCATTATATAATGTGTTTTCCCAAAATTTAATTTATTTTGATTGCGTAGGTTTTTTTCATTTCTATTTAGCTCTTGCAGAATTTTTTTTTAAACCTAAGCTACGAATTTGGTGCAAAACATTTTGATACATAAGAATCATATATGGGAAATTGTATTTGAAGCAAAAATGTTTCGGGGAGCTTGTATTCTGAGAGAAATGTCCGACAATGTCATTGACCGGTCGTCATACATGTGTATACAAAATTCTTGGCTCCGAATTAAAATAAACAGATGTAAGAAAGGGGGCATATTACCTTCATGTTTGAAACAAAATGTAGAGAAACAAAGGCAGATCCAGCACTCACTCACGCACGTCGGTACACACCCCCCCCATTCTATTTTTTTTCTTTTTTTTTGTCTTTCGAAAATTATGTTTGCTAAATTTGTATATACTTTTAATTTATCAACACGAAATGATCACGCACATATAGTGTCTGGCCTGCTTATGAATCTACCAACCACGAAACTCCCGATTTTCTAGTTTGGACATTTTTTTTCGAAGAAAACCATTTGTGTACTGCCCCCACTCCCTCCTTTCTAAAATTTTCGAATCAGCCACTGGTAACTTTACGTTGTAAAATTCGATTCTAAATTCATTTCAGATTTTGAATAAATACTAACAGCGCTATCTTGCGATTTGATTGATTCTTATTTCTATATTATTTAAGATACGGATTCTGTTCCGTCATCGCTAAAAATAAATCGTACTGTATCGTTGATATTTTTCAGATACAGTACAGTTTCTGCTCATTTGCATAAGAAACGCCCACTAAAAGTGTTCTGTATCGCAGATCGCAGTTATTGTACGGCTGACTTCAAAGGAAAACTCGCCGGGTCATGTCACAATACTTATTAAATCGCAACTTCTCTAGTAAAATCACAAGGCATCAAAATCAAATTAATCATAATCAAGTTAAAAACAGATTTCCTTCAACATGAATTTCATCTACAATTCCCCCCCCCCCCCCCCCCCCCCCCCCCCCCGATAAATGACTGATAAAAAGGATATTTCATTGTGTACACCTGATCTTTAGGAACTTCTCCTAGTGTTAATAATCTTGACCCTGAAAAAAAAGAAGAAAATGAAACATTCAAAATCATCAAAAATATAAACTTGAAATGTAACTACGAGGCTTAAATTTGCAGCCAATCACTTAATTTCTACTGTTTTTGAATTAGATTATTTCAAGCATAACATTCAGGAAGACAGAGTAACAAACATAAAACAGGAGGCGGAACCAACCATAGCTGTCAATCATTTTGCTGACCTCCCTAAAAAGGAGGTACCCATTTGGAGAGGAGACATCAAACAGCAGCCTCTGGGAGCGACTCTGGGCTAGCTCTGCCATCAGTTTAAGCACTGGGGTGGTGACAGCTGGGTCATGGTACCACACCTCTATGGCTCGGTGTAGGATGGGGGTATAGGAGGGGTATCTGAACCATTAAGTTAAACTTTTTTCATAATTCCTTTTAAACAATATTTATACAGATCATATAAACAATAACCTGCTGTATGTATAATTGTATAATACACAAATGGAATGCATGTTATTTTTTATTTACTAAATCTTCTTGCTAAATCAAAGATAAAGAACCTCTGTACTGCTTTATAAGACTCAATTCACTTTATGCAACAGCCAATTTATGTCTGGGATACTTTATCTATTCAATGATACATATATATGTACAACATACTTTCAAGTATGTTTGTATAGGCATTTTAACATCCCACCCCACCCCATATAAGATGGGAACATCTTATGTATACAGAAGCACTTTTTTTATGATGTACAAAGTACATTTAGTGCATGTTTATGTGATCATTGTAACACAATGAAAGTATATTCAAATAAGCTGAGAAGGATACATCCAATCAAAGAACATCATATAACTGGTCTTTGTATTAAAAGCAAAAGCCACTCCCCTCAAGTCTCTGGCTAATCCAACGACAGCTCTCTGTTTCAAAAAAAAAAATAAATCAACTAAAGTTATAAAGCTTTAACCATTATGATTTACCTTTTACAACATAGAATTTAATCCACTGAACATAATCAGTTGCAATTCTTGTCAACAGAAAAGTGATATAACACAAGATTTTTGAACACATTTATAAAATGTTAGAAAAACAACATAGATGTACATGTTATTGACCCTTAAACTTTGTGTACTGACCTTTGCTTCATCTTCCTTTTGAGGTGTGTCCATATTTGTCAACATTGTTCCCACGGACTCAAAGGCAGCTTTCAATTGAAGGGAAAAAATTATCAAATTGAAAACATGTATTGATCAATTTTGATGTCTTGCAATGCTGTTAAGGGTAGAACTAATAATTTATTTATTAAAGTCTGATAATGCTGTAAAAGATGACAGATTTCTAATAGCAAGTAAAATGTTCTTCCACAATATTAATTTCAATATACATAGAAAATTTTGATGGAACAAAGCCATGAGAGTAAAATATGATGGTATGTAACCTTATTATTTTCTTTGTAAAATTTACATGAAGAAATATTCCGCAGGTGCCCCTGCATGACAACCAACCTTTCAATATTATTACTATAAGTTCTTAGTTACAGCACAGACATACATGTTAAAGGAATCATAAATTCTTCAAACTTGTCCTCATCATCCTCGCGGAGATCCACCATTAAGAGTCGAGCTAACGCTGTGTAAAACGTGGTCCGACATCGCATATCAGCAAAGGAACGATTGTTCATGTTCAAACCAAGGAATGGAAAATGCTCATTCTGAAAAAATTATAATACCAATCAAAATTATACATTAACAGAAACAGGAAGAATTTGATTTATTTTGCTTAATTTTTACTTCTAAAGAATTTTCTTTTAAAAAAGATTCTCAAGAATATATTCCTGAATATGATTCTTCTGCTCCTAGTACATGATAATCTACACCTTTGACTTCTACATGCACTTACACGTAAATGCATATGCTGTATGAAGATGATCATTTGTCAGATCTAATAATTCATGACAATATTAACTTGAAATCTTCTGTATACCATAAAACATTGTAACTGGATTTTAAAGAGACATCTTTTACTCACTGTATGATTACTTAACACAAACTGTACAGCGTCTAACTTGACCAGTTTTCGGACAGAACTGTACCCTACAGACAAATCATTCAACAACTGTAAAGTCTTCCAGGTTATTTGTTCACTTCTGGCCCAATACTTTAGGTTTGTAATTCTGTAAAGTAGATCAAAATTCAGATCTTCAGTCAAATGTGGATATACATGTACATGTTTATTTAGATGTCTGTTAAAATTAAAAATTATTGTGGAATCATCTTTGTACATGAGGGGGTGGGGGGGTGGGGTGGAGGAAATGTTCGAGGATTTTGTGGGTTACCCTTACCCATGAATTAACATCCCCATGAATGATTATTTTCTCAGCGTATTAATTCATTTTATCTTCTGTATAAACAAGATACCCATGAAATTAGGTCCCTGCAACCAAGTAAAATTTTGCTTGCCCACAAACTTTTACCCAAACAAATCAAAATGATTCCACAGTATACAAATTTTATATTCCCTCTCTTCATTTTCAACAGTAATTAATTAAAACTGAGGGAAACAACATCACTGACAGAAACTGCATCTTAAATTTATTTTGTATCAAAGTTCAAAACAAAATATACTTACATTTTACCAATAAAAACACTTAGTACCATAGATTCATCATTTAATCCTAACACCTCTGATAAACGACGATAAACCTACAAAGCAAACTGCAATTAAAGACATTCACACTCTAACAATGTTTTGTTTGTATTTAAAAGTTTAATTCATTTCTCAACCTTTAAAACTCCTTATCCTAAACTACATGTAACCATGTTCTTTTTTTGAAATGCAATATACACTGTAAACCAACTTTTATTCGCATGAGAGAAATATCCGCGAGTTTTGTGACCTACTTTAAGTAGCGAATATTAATCGCCGCAAACCAATTATTTTGCTTTGTATTTTTAGAGAATGCTTCCTCAGTCGCGAAAATTGTCACAGATTGATTTCAAACTGACGAAATGGGAATAAAAGATGATGCAATAATAGGTGGTTTACAGTACATGTATATATATATATATATATATTTCATACAAATGTGTGCATTACAAAAAGTTTTTCATATCATTAACAATGTTGTAAAATGCTTTCATCTTACCTTAGACATTTTAGGAACTTGGTCCCCGACATATATTTTTCTAAATTGTTCAAAAAAACTTAAGATGGCAAGGTCTAATTTTTCACATGCGCACTGAGATATCCTGGAGTCCACTAAATTCATTAACTGTAGTACCCTGCAAAAGAAACATAATTCTTTTCTTACAAGTGTCAGAATACAGAAGAATTACATCTCAAGCTTAATTTATGCTCATTTTTTCACACAGAAATGACTCAATATATTAAACATAGGTAATCAGAGATTACAGAGCTCACCTCAACGAATGTTGTCTTTAAGTAAGGCAAAGTCCCACACTAAACTAATAATCTAGGAGTGTGCATCCCTAGATGCAACATTTATGCAATTTTGATCTGATAGGGCTTGCAGTTACTTGGGAATAGACTTATCTGAAAACTTAAAACTAGTCACTCATCCAGAAAATGTAAGTCAAATCCAGCATCCGAAGCAAGTTTTGAGATTGTTCGTCCCTTGATGCATCATCCATGCAAGTTTGGTTCAGATAGGCCTTATAGTTACTTGGAAATGAGATCTACTCCAAAAACTTTAACCTGGTCACTCATCCAGAAAATTTAAGTCAAATCCAGCATCCGAAGCAAGTCCAGTAGTGTGCATCCTTAAATGTATCATCCATGCATGTTCGGTCAATATAGGGTTTATAGATACTTGGAAATGACATCTGCTCCAAAAACTTTAACCTGGTCACTCATCCAGAAAATATAGGTCAGATTCAGCATCCGAAGCAAGTCCAGTAGTGTGCATCCTTAGATGTATCATCCATGCAAGTTTGGTCAATATAGGGCTTATAGTTACTTGGAAATGAGATCTGCTCCATAAACCTTAACCTGATCACTCATCCAGAAAATATAGGTCAGATCCAGCATCCGAAGCAAGTCCAATAGTGTGCATCCTTAGATGTATCATCCATGCAAGTTTGGTCAATATAGGGTTTATAGATACTTGGAAATGACATCTACTCCAAAAACTTTAACCTGGTCACTCATCCAGAAAATATAGGTCAGATTCAGCATCCGAAGCAAGTCCAGTAGTGTGCATCCTTAGATGTATCATCCATGCAAGTTTGGTCAGTATAGGGCTTATAGTTACTTGGAAATGAGATCTGCTCCAAAAACCTTAACCTGGTCACTCATCCGGAAAATATATGTCAGATCCAGCATCCGAAGCAAGTCCAGTAGTGTGCATCCTTAGATGTATCATCCATGCAAGTTTGGTCAATATAGGGCTTATAGTTACTTGGAAATGAGACCTGCTCCAAAAACTTTAACCTGCTCCAAAAACATTAACCTGGTCATTCTTTAGCTGAAATTGCAGCATCTGAAACCTTGACTGGTACAATAAAACACACTAGAAGCATCCTCCATGCATCTCTGACTAATATAGGCCATAGAAGTACCGTATTTGGCTGAATATAATACGCACTTTTTTCCCAAAATAATTTTCTGTGAGAAAGGGGTGCGTATTTTACACCACAATGGGATTTTGATAGGTTTTTCTTTCATGTGAAACACGGCTATCATACGCACATACCGTAGTATTACCTAGAGACTTATGCAATTTCTTGCTGTTTATCGCCGTATTTATAACTTCGGAAAGTTATTGTTGGAATGTAGGCTTGTTAAAAATGTTATATTTATAACGTTTTGATAGTTAAATTAAATTTAAAAGCAAGTTCAAATTAATTTGAGCTGCATGTTCATCGTCTCCGTGTAGGCCGCCATTAACGATGTTATTTATAGATGTTCACACATTCCTTTGCCACGTGCTTCCGTAATCATCGTACACATGTACCTAATCTGTCAGACACCGGTCAAAAAAGTAATAAGTCATTTTTTAATGAAATACAATAAAATAAAATTTATTTTAGGTTTTAAATAACTCAGTGAAAATTCATTTCAACATAAACACCCCTCTATACGTCCCAATGAATGGAAGCCAATGCTGTGAACACGTGCGCTTGTCACCTGATAATTACCCCTCAACACTCCTCCTTGCAATTAAATTGTTTACCAACTCCAAAGCATTGTTTTTACAGTTAGAGCACTGATTATTTACTGTCCTTATTAATGGCTTTGATTATTTTCTATGTTAAAAATCGGGGGTTGGTTTATGATCTTTCGTATGTGATTACGACACATTAAACAGTTAAACGCTTGTTAAATGAAATTTTACTTTATCTTATATCAGCCTCGTGTTAAAATGATTGAGAGTTAAAAAAAGGAAATATGACAAGAAAATGGGGGACATGGTCTACACCGATCCTCCGGAAGCTCTGCCATATGCTGCCACTCTGGTTGTCCACGAAGTTTACGAAACTTAAGAGTTATCATTTACCCGTGCTCTGTAGAAAATATAAGATATCCACGAAGATTACCTCGATGTATGAAGACATATATCCCACCTTTGTACATCATTTTTCACAGCTTTGGAGATGTGTTAACTTTACACGCTTGTTAAATTTTGATTTTCTTTTTATAACATCAGCTATTTATTTAATTAATTAATTTCAAATTCAAAAGAGGAAAATCGTAGTCTATGAATACTTTTATGTTGCAATATCGCTTGCCCTGTTAAATTTACGTAATTTTCAACATGATTACCTTAAACTAAAAATAAATATGACAACTGTTAAACTTGCAACAATATCTCGTGCTTTGTTGAAATAAAATTATTTCTACAAAGAATAGTATACGGCGACGTATAATTTCAATATCACCGTATGCTAAAAAAATTAATAATAAACTCTGTTAATACTTTAATGCAACATTATCTCGTGCTTTGTTAAAAATAAATAATTTCTCCAGATTGCCGCGATATGGAAAGTCAAGATTACGAAATAAAAACGCATTTGAATAAAATATCGTGTTCTGTAAATTTTCGGCACTTTATCTTCGCGCCGATTTTCATAGCAAATTACCGCGATTTTCAGAAGTTCAGAACACCGCTTGGTAAAATTTTCTGCTGCGTATAATACAACCGAACTGCGTTTTTTCCCCCAGTTTCAGGCTCAAAAAGGGGGGTGCGTATTTTACACCAATGCGTATTATATTCGGCCAAATACGGTACTTGAAAAGAAAACTGCTCCAAAAACCTTAACCTGGGACGCTGACGCCGACACCGACGCCGATGCCGAGGGTATTACATAAGCTCCCCCAACTTCGTTGAGGTGAGCTAAAAATCCAAGAATACAATACATTTCTCATTCAACAAACAGGTTAGTAAAAAATGCCCCTAGTTGTCCCCATCTACATGTACATGTGTATTATAATTACAGTCAAACCTCATTATCTTGAACTCGGTGGGACCAAGAAACAAGAGGCCCATGGGCCACATTGCTCACCTGAGCACATTGGTTAGGCAAAAGCACAAATCAGTTCAGTATTGAAAAGATTGGGGGGGGGGGGGGGGGCTTGAATTTTAAATTACCTTCCATGTCAATTTAACAAATGGCTATGTTGTACTTGAAAAGCTTTAAAAAAAAAATTTCCCATATATTCCTTTGTAAAAATTTGATCCCCCATTGTGGCTCCTCCCTATCCCATGGGTCATCATTTGAACAAACTTGAATCTAGACTATCTGAGGATGTTTCAATATCAATATGACTAAACATAGCTTTTCTGTTCTTGAGAATATTTTTTTCTATATGTTCTTATGTAAAACTTTCGATCCCCCATTGGGTCCCATCCTACCCCCGCAAAGACGGATCCAGGGCCAGCGCGCTGGGCATGTTCCCCCCTTTTGAATTTTTTTCATGTAGATTGAACTTATATGTTCATTATCCTAAAATCAAGGAAAAAAACATCTCTTCTTTGTAAAAATTTGTCAGCTTCCCAGATCCCTACCAAGGCCTTGCTCTAGACCCACTGGGGGCTTCAATGCAGCCCCCAGACCCACTGCATCTAACCCCCCCCCCCCCCCCCGTTACGAATTTCCTGGATCCGCTACTGCCCCGGGGGTCATCATTTGAACAAAATTGAATTTACACTACCTGAGGATGCTTCCATATCAAAATGACTAAACATGATTTTCAGTTCTTGAGAAGAAGATATTTTCCTATATGTTCCTATGTAAAATTTTCAATCCCCCATTGGGCCCCACCCTACCCCTGGAGGTCATGATTTGAACAAAATTGAATTTACACTATCTGAGGATGCTTCCATATCAAAATGACTTATCATGGCTTTGCAGTTCTTCAGAAGAAGATATTTTCCTATATATTTCTATTTAAGACTTTGATCCTCCATTGTGGCCCCACCCTACCCCCCGGGGGTCATGATTTGAACAAGCTTGAATCTACATTACCTGACGATGCTTCCAAATAAATATGACTCATCAAGGCTTTGCTGTTCTTGAGAAGAAGATTTTTAAAGATTTTTCCTATATATTGCTATGTAAAACTTTGATCCTCCATTGTGGCCCGGCCCTACCCCCGGAGGTCATGATTTGAACAAACTTGAATCTACACTACCTGAGGATGCTTCCATATAAATATGACTCATCATAGCTTTGCTGTTCTTGAGAAGAAGATTTTTAAAGATTTTTCCTATATATTGCTATGTAAAACTTTGATCCTCCATTGTGGCCCGGCCCTACCCCCGGAGGTCATGATTTGAACAAACTTGAATCTACACTACCTGAGGATGCTTCCATATAAATATGACTCATCATGGCTTTGCTGTTCTTGAGAAGAAGATTTTTAAAGATACTTCCTATATATTGCTATGTAAAACTTTGATCCTCCATTGTGGCCCGGCCCTACCCCCGGGGGTCATGATTTGAACAAACTTGAATCTACACTATCTGACGATGCTTCCATATAAATATGACTCATCATGGCTTTGCTGTTCTTGAGAAGAAGATTTTTAAAGGTTTTTCCTATATATTTCTATGTAAAACTTTGATCCTCCATTGTGGCCCCGCCCTATCCCCGGGGGTCATGGTTTGAACAAACTTGAATCTACACTACCTGAGGATGCTTCCACATGAGTTTCATCTTTCCTGGCCCTGTGGTTCTTGAGAAGAAGATTTTTAAAAGATGCTATTTATTTTTCACCAATTCTCTATTATCTCCCCTTGAAAGAGGGCGTGGCCCTTCATTTGAACAAACTTGAATCCCCTTCACCAATGGATGCTTTGTGGCAAGTTTGGTTGAAATTGGCCCAGTGGTTGTGGAGAAGAAGATGAAATTGTGAAAAGTTTACAACGACGCCGACGACAACGCCAACGACAGACAACGGACAAATTTCGATCAGAAAAGCTCAATTAAGCCTTCGGCTCAGGTGAGCTAAAAACTTCATGATATCAAGGCATTTAAGATACTGAGGTTAAAATACACAAAGAAAAAGTAGTTGAGACTTCCAGCTGACTATGAGATATCCATGGTATTGGAGATATCAAAGTTCAGCTATATATGTGTCTTATATTTATATCATCATTATATGTACTCAAACTTCACTAGTTATTCCTGTGAGACTGCGTTTTGATGAGTTATCTCCCCTTACCTACAAGCTAGCTCCCCATCCATTGCATCATGTTCATCAGTACTGGCAAATGAAATCCGTCCACCTATCACAGCTCCGATTATGTACACTAACCAAGATAAACGACCTACAAAGGAAAGTAAAAAACCTCTGTTCATCTATTTCAAACTGAAAAGTGTAGATGAAATACATACCTGTGAATTAAGAAATCACAAAATGTATCACTGTTTTGATGAAAATTGACTGGGTTTTGCAGAAAAACACTCCCATACATGTAAATGTAAATCTACCATATGACCTGTAGAACTGTTCAAAAAGGCTCAGCATTAAACAAAAAAAAAAAAAAGAAAAGAAAAACAGCACACCTGGAACAATGACTTTAGACATCACCAAGGTGATGACCTGACCTTTTCTGTACTCCCTGATTAGTGATTATACATTTCCATGGTAATGACCTTACCTTTTTGTACTTTTTGTACCTCCTGATTACACACCCCCATGGTGATGACCCTTACCTTCTTGTACGGTGATATCTACTTGGGTTCCTGAGGATATAGCCTCTTGGTATCTCTGTGCTGCCTCATCAAATAATTGAACAAGAAGACCACAAGTCTTCTCATATTCACACCTCCCAATGGTGGAGAGCTACAGAGAAATGTTTCTATCATTTAAAATGTTAAATCTGTGATTCCATACAACCTTTCTGAAATTACTGTGCATGTATCTAATGAAACCCAGCCATTTTCCAAAAATTCTCTAATGAATTACATCTATCACTCCTCATTAGCTAACCTGATCAAGCTGTTGTGTTATCATCCCCTGGTCCTCTAAAGGATCTTCTAATCCATCTCTAAAACAGTTGTACAGTGTCACTCAATTCCATATAAAGCACAACATCTGACTTTTATAAATTGTTAAATCAGACAAATTTTCCATGGAATATTAATGAGTTGGGTATATAATCAAACTCAACCTAAAGCTTTACATTTTGCATCTTTATATATATTTTCCAACCAACATAATGTAAATAGGTGTATGTACAACACCTGAACACCCAACTGAAAAGTGACAAACTATAGCCTTGAAATACCTACATATACATGTAAATATAAAGCATACATGTATGGAGTAAACACTTTCAACATTTACAACAGGTATATATTTCAGATCGAAAGTTTCAAATTTACAAAGCTAAACTTACTTGATAACCACAGTGACTGACTCGAGCCGAGACATGGTGTAAGCTTTGAAGATTTCTGGTGTGTAGGTCTCTAGTAAGTGTGGCTCGTTGGCCTTTACATATGGCATAGAGGCCACCATCTTCTGCCATAGACTCAGCAGATAGTGAACACTGTTGGGAGCAAACTGCCACATTTGCTACAAGATGAAGAATACCATCATTAAAACTGCAGTTACTTACAACTTTACAAAATGGTTCTTTCACGTCATTGACTGCATAAAGTACAGTGAAATTCAAAAACTAGGTATATGCATAGGTAAATGAACTTAATATTCACTCATCAACATTAGATAAGTCTAATGGTTCTTTCACATCATTACTAAGTACAGAGTATTTCAAAAACAAGGTAAGTGATTTGGTTTCTACCACCTGTAACATACATGTATATATATCTCTAGTTTTCAGATCCCCTGACAAGGCAAATTCATCTTTGTTCTCACAGTGTGCAAGATATGATAAGGGTGAAATTCATATATAATTTCTAAATGAGGTCATTGTGACCTACTTTTAAACCATGGGCAAAAACATTACACAAACTCCTTACCCTGAGACTTGTGACTGTAAACTCTGCAATACGCTTGATCAGCTCTTGATAATTATCCACCTTGACAAGTTCTCCCAATTGGTAATTTGTCTTAAGTCTCGCCAACAGTCGACAAAATTCATGATAGTTGCTTGGATCTGATAAACCCTAGAAAACATCAAATAAGAAATTATAATTATAAAGTCAATTTTTAAAATACATACAATCATAGAATAAATATATATGTACAGTCAAACCTTGTTATCTCGAACTTCACAGGACCAAGAAAATAGTTCGAGATAACCAAGGATTCGAGTTATCCAGGGTAAAATATTTGAGAAATAAGCAGTTGGGACTTCAGAATCACTTTGACATATCCATGGTATTCGAGATATCCATGTTTGAGATACCAAAGTTTAACTGTATGTTTTGAAAGCCTAAAAGCAACAGTGGCTGACATAAAATGCATGTATATCAAATTCTCTCTTCCTGATCAATTTCTTTTTTCATACACATTATTCTCTACGATACTCAAAATTAGAATACAAAATAAAAACGAACATTTCTTACTAATCAGAAATTATACCTGTAGAGGAGTTAAAGTCTTTGTAGAATGTTATAAAAAATTAACTCTGGAATTACCATCTAAAACATTACTCAATCTATGTACATAAAGACTTTATATTATCATACAGATATGGTAAACGTTAGCAAATATTGGTCCAATTCCAGCTTTGTTACAAGAACCTGTAATTTTGTGCCATACCTGTGGACTCTCTAGAATGGTGCGGACACCCCTCACCAATTCATTGAGAAATTTGGCACGTTCTGTATTGTTGAACAATGACCGTCTAACGGATGCAATTTGTACAAGACATGATAAGGCCTAAAGGACAGAGAATAAAAAACAACCATAAGACAGTGTGAAGTACATGTACATGTATCTAGTCTACAAATGATTCAGCCACAACAAAAAATTATAATTCCTAGATAACTTACTGTAACACTAGGAATGAAAAATATCAAATATTTACACTCCAAAGATAATTCCAGAATAATTACTTTGTTCAGAAGACTATTTTTCATACAATCATTAAAACATTATGTAACATGTCAAATTAAAGTTGAACTGGCCACAATTTCAAGTTTGATTTTTGAACTTACGCAAAGAAACCCATGAATCGTAATCAAAACTTTCAAACTAGCAAGGAGAAATTGATAAATAAATATGTCACCATTACTGGAATCTTACCATTGAAGAAAGAGATGGAGGAAGATTGGAATACAGACTGAAGAATAACTCCATGGTGGCCCCATCCAAGAAAGCTAAAAAGACAGACATTCAGACATTTTACTCCCACCTTGATCTACCTTATGTGGCTCAGTAATTTATCAAGCTAGACTGGTTGGTTTAACATATTTAAAGCTAATTAAAATCCTGGTATAGTAAAATGATGTACACTTTTTCAGAGACACTTTACCAAAATCATGACCTACACTGTGTGTACCACCTAAATGTGAGGTGTGATCCATCCAGGGGAACACTATATCTTTTCTCTACCTAACATGGTTTATAAAACCTTACAATGCTACTATGAAATCTACAGTATCTTTCGAGAAAGAACAAAGCATACGATTCTTATTTTTTTGGTTTATAAAATGTAATACTTCATTAAAAGTTACAATCAATAATTTAATTCTTCTTTAATTTAAATTCTTACCAGATCTCCAGCCTGTGGGTATTTGAACTGTACAAAGGTCATCAGCTGTCTCGTCTGTTGAGGTGCCGATAAAGTCAAAGGTCAAACAGTTGTGAGCCAAGCGTAATGCATGTGAAATCAATCCATGCTAAAAGACAACAAAATATTAAATCATACATAGCCAACATACATAGGTTTTCTGAACATTGAATAAAGTGTAAAGTAACAAAGGGACCATTTTATACATTTGAAGTAATTAAGAGTCCTGCCACGTAAAAATGAATCAAATGTCAGCATTACCTGCGAATCGTCAGAGAAGTCCATACTCTTTATATTCCCAGCTGCTGTCTGTAACAGTTCACAAGATAACTGGAATATTTCAAACAGCTGTAGATCTCGGAATGACGAGGCAATTTTTCTGTGTTTGGTCAAGGACCTGCTGGAATCTGCCTGAAAACAAGGGAAAAACAATCTAAAACAGTCTGTGTTACTAATTTTTTTCTTCAGTTTAATTTTTTTTGTAAGATAATTATTTATTCCTAAAATGACAATTCGGACATGAATTTATCAGTAAAGTCTTCTATTCCCTAGAAATGGACATCCATTAAACATTTCAATTACCCTTCTTTCTGCACCAATAATTTTACATAATGCTATAAATAAAGTTAGCATTTACCCCCACCCACCCCTTCATATCGTCTTAACTAAACAGTGGAAAAAAGAGTGAATATTGTCTAGGTGATGGGTTTTTTTTTTTTATTAAAATTAATGAAAGTGTGATTTTAATACTATAGCATGAAAAAGAATGGATTATTTTGATTAATGAAAAAAACAAATCTTCTAGAAAGACTGAAATTTTACATAATCCCCATGTTACAGAAATGTGTTTGCTAGCCAAACAGCAGCACTCCCTAAAATCAAGTTATTACAACTTAAAAAAAATAAATTCAATATGTACACTTAAAATGCTTTAACTTACCAAGTAAATTGAACATTGTATTTAAACAAACCTTTGTAATAAAATGAGTTTGAACCAAAATTTAAAACTGAGCATTATGTAAAATTATCAGTCCAATAGAACTACAGGTATCATCACTCCTTGTAACATAAGCACATGTAATGTGAACTGTATTCTTGAGACATTTTGACAGAGAGCACTCTTTTACAATGTAATTCTTTTGCTTTCTTTGTACAGTTGAACTTCAATATCTCAAACACTGATATCTCAAATACCATGGATATATCGAAGTGAATTGGAGGCCCCAAACCATTTATTGTTTAAGATATCTTGAAGTCTTGGATATGTCATAACTATTTTACTTGGTTCCATCAAGTTTGAGATAATGAAGTTCGACCATATTTCAATTTTCAACATGTTTTTTCCAAAAATAATTGATCCAACAATAAACAAGTTCTCATGACTTTTATTTGTAATATTAAGACATAAAATAATGCTAAATGAAAGAGACACACACACACATTCACCCCATATTACCTCACTGTCATCATCGTCCTGCAGAGAATCAAAACCTCTCACAATTTGTGATCAAACACTTTCACAGAATCAGATCCCTAGATACTTTTATCAAGGTGTTACTAATACTCATATTGTTTTTTTCAAAATTGTGTTTGGAAATCAAACTAAAAAATAAATCTCTAAGTCATGCTAATGTACAATGTAGAATTTCTGTATTAATAACTTTTCCCTAGAACATTTTCTCCTGTCAATAAATGAATAATTATACACTGTGTATATATTTTTAATCCTCTCTGCACAGTTGACCCGTGACTTGTGACCCTTACCTCACTGACTTGGTTCATTTCACACACCAGTTGAGATAGAAGTTGGACCCCTATCATCACATGTTGAGTAGATCCACTCTGTAAAATCAAACATCTTCACTGCTATGATCTACCATAACTCTGTTACATATACTATAAGAAGTCGACTCAAACAATCTACCACCTAGTATTTGTTGAAGGCCTACATTGTGGGAAAAAGTGGAAGTAAATAGTTTTATGTATGGTCACACTTTACCTCTTTATCACATTCCATTTTCCATATTTTAAGCCAGGCATTCTCGAAAATAATGCTTTAAATTTGTAAAATCAAAACATTTATAATCAGTTCCCCCTTCTTCGAGTGAATAAGCAAACATGACATGGCTTTGATTGTTTGATTGAAGGTGAGATATTTAGAGGGAATGAGTCAGCTATTGAACCAGTGTTAAGATTTAGACTTCTCATAAAGCAATTGTGTTTGTATGGTCACAAATACTAAAATCTCAAAATTTTCTGTGAAGATTTTGTAGACTTTAAATCATATAATACAGCATTACAACAAGACAAAACTACATTTATTTTATACGCACAATTTTTTAAACAGATTCTAAACATTCACTTTTTAAGATGATTTCAAATCATACCTGTATGAACTTGGTCACGTCTGTGATGACATTACGAAAAACATAATCTTTGTCTTGAATGTCAAACCACCCAAGCTTTGTGATACGAGCAAAGAGCTGAAATCAATGTAGAACAAAATATAATTCAAGAAATACAAGGCTGAACAAGACATACAGGACAAACCTACGAAAATCTGAAATGAATAATCAGGGTTAAAATCATTTAGTTGACATAAAAGAGGACTCACTAAAAACAAAGTCTTGGCTAAAAAAAAAAGAAGATTAGAGTCAATATTTACTTGTGTACAAGAATTAACTGCAAGGATTATAGCCGACAACTGTCATAGTATACAAGTCACTGAATGTATGGCATCCTTGTTTTAAATCAGTGATCATGATGTCATATCTCAGAAAGTACAAAACAAACATACTAAACTTTTGTACAATGTATATTACACTGTAGCTCCTAAATAGGACAAAGATATGTATACAAGTACAGACGTATGTATTTGTCTTCATACATAATCAAGTTATACAACTATGATGGAAAACTAACCTGTACAAGGGCTTGTAAAACATAGTGCACTAACTTTGGACGTGATGCCAGATACCCCAAAACATAATTCCCTGAAAACAAAAAATCACAAAAAGTTATTTCAATATGTACATGATGTACAACTCTATAACATCATAGACTATTTTTTAGATGAAATGTCAAGTTTCTAAAGTAGCCTTTTTCAATTTTGGACTTGCTTCCATGAAATTTAATTGATTATTATGCAGTTGGGCAATTAAATGAAAATGGCATTTGAGGTTAAGCAGAATGTAGTTCATAAAAATAAATTCAGGTAACAGGGCTGTATTCAAGGTCATAGCAGGCCAGCTAGTTTAGCTGTATGAATGAATGCTTGGTATCCCTATGTAGCTGCTACATGTATGTAGCAATAATTATATTGTTCAAAAATGTAGCTTTATGTAGACCTACATAGCCCAAACAATCTTGAATGCAGCCCTGGTTTCAAGCAACACAAAAACATAGCTCTCTGGCAAGATTCATTTTCTCGTTGGAATAAGTACGGATGACTCACTCAAATTAAGCATCTAATAGATGATCTATGTTTCCATAATACTGTAAATGTACGATTTTCCATGGGGTTATAATTTGCAGAATCACAATTTCTGTGCAATCTTCAGGTAGAAAATTACACGGATTTCTTTGATTGCCATAATATGCCTTAAATGTAGTTCAAGTACGCTGGGACAATTTGTGACCACATACATAATGTAAAATAATACCACACGGGAAAAAGTACTTCTACAGTATAGAGAGGATATGCTGTTTTCTGACATTTTTCAGTTTTACATTTTTTTTTGGAATGAGAGAAATACATCTATAATCTGTGAACAATGTCCCATCTTGTCCGAACAGAAGTGATATCTTACAATACTGTTACACAAGTTTCTTCAGGATTTACGATCACAGGCACTTGTTTCTGTAATAAATGTTGCCGTTCAGGGGTTTTCTCCCTTATGCAACTTGTGGGTCTCCCAAGTCTGTATATTGGACAAAAGAACTCTAAGTCAGGATTAAAATGTATAAAAATTTATTATTGCTTGTTGTATTTAATTTGCATAATCTCTTTGAACGATTGTCCCTATTTCTTGCTCCCGTAGAAATATTATTTCTCTCCCAATTAGAAATGGGAATAAAATATTTTCAAATGGGAGAATTAAGTTTTAGGGAATTATAAATAAATTTACAAAAAAAGTATAAAAGTATTTCCCAAAATACTGGGAGTCCCTTCACAATACAATTTATAGTTATGGGAGAGTTATTTCACCTCCCAATAATTTTCTCCCACAGAACAATATAATTATTAAAAGTAAAAATAAAATATTAGCCCAAAGTTCATCAGCTCCCATAAATGAATTATTTTTCAATATGAGTTATCCATTGACTTTCACTCCCAGATATTCTGGAGATGTGAGCTGTAAAAGTCAACTTACAAACTGACTAGTCGATCGATCTGCGCTGGCTTATATAGGCATCGGGCTCAATTGTCGTGACGTCACGACAAAGTGAAAATACCCGCCATCTTTGTTATATGCAAAGAAGCTTTGATATGCTGCCATGCCGATCGGATCGACGAAAGGAATCACGCACCTTAGGGCGCGGATAATATACTGTTTGGTATATTTGGGACTTGTGCTGATGAACTTCGTAAACATAAACAAAAGCAATCGTAAACAGTTAAAGCGTGACTTGGGAATGTAAGATGTCGAGGAATTTCGGGGTAACGCTAATTACCGACCTCGTCTCAATGATGAACATGGTAACTATACAATTGATGATGAAATAAACATACAATTAATAAAACATATTATTCGTCGTTTTATATTCCAATATGTTACAGGGAGTATTGTTTAATTTGTACTGTGTATTTCCACAGAAGTGTTTCCCATAGTAGTGGGAATAAATAGGGAACCGTAACATAAATTCTAGACCCATAGTACAATAATAACACAAGGTATCCAACTCTGTATTACACGGAGTACCCCCTCCCACAGAATCGTACTCATTTACAAATTCAGAGGACATGCACTGGCAAACTGTTTATACCTATGTCTTCTACAATAATTTATCTACACAACCATATATGACATGCGTGTCTTTATTTTCTTTTATCCCCGTAAACAGCATCAAAACTCTGCTCGCCAAGTGGAAAAGTCAAACTCAACCATGAAATGGTATGTGCTAATCCCAGGCAAAGATTTTGATTGGCTAAAATTCTGTTTTTAAAATTACATCATAAAAATGTTGTAGTGCTTTAATGGAAAATGAGAGGTAAACAAATTTCATTTATTCACTGCAATACTTAAACACTGGAATTGAATTTTTAAACTCACTCATTTTTTTGATTTTGCTCTCTGCCCGGGATTAGCACATACAATTTCATGGTTGAGTTTGACTTGTGTTATTATTACACTATGGGTCAAAAATTTATTACAGAAACAAGTGCCTGTGTTTATGATGTAGATTTTTGGAAACATCTACTTACGAATATCAATCCTTTGTTCTAGAGGGAGGGTAACATTGGGCCGGGACACCAGTTTTGTCAAAGTTGTTGCTGCAAGAAGTTGTGCATATGGGGACTGAAAAAAACCCAGCATATTCAAAATTCTAGTTACCATGGTTACTGCATCAAATGATGTATGCAACAGTTTTGTACCAATGCTAGTCAAGGGATACAACCTTGGACATATTTTGTTATCAAATAGAAAATTACTTTCAATATATAAAATTCCATTGAATGCAATGTTTCCTTACATTTCCTCTCTCCAAAAGAAGTTGACATTTGCTCAAACAGTCTGGAGCATTGGCAAAGGATACTAGAGCCTTCTCTGCCTCTGTGCGGAGATTTGCATCAGCTGTCTCATAAAGCTGTTTACATAGCAGTTCAAGCTGTAACAGCTCCTGTTAATACAATGTGTAAGAGTGATATAATCATTATTAAATTTCATAACTTCAAATGTCAAAAAAAAAAAACAAAAACTGTTGAAGTTGGTTGATTATTAGTACTAAAGCTTAAACACAATAACAGAGATTGTTTCATCATGTTTTTTTTTCTCCATTCATAATTTAGCAGTTAAGTAAAGTAAAGTAAGATAATTAACCAAAAATAATTTGGAGCAGAAAAACAGACAAAGTGCCGCTTGTCACTGCGAGCTCTAACGACAACGCCTGTGCAAAGAGAAAATTCGGACTAATGCACATTCATTCAACGATGTCTGACATCAGTGGATGGGACTATGAAATGTAATGCTTCGTGTATTTTAATTCTATTAGATAGCATTTTTTTATCTATATTTCCCTATTTAATTCGTTGGGTATCCCAGGGACATTAACAACATTTGGAAATGTTGGATAATTTATGCATAACAGACTTCATCCTTATGCAAATTATTAGGGCTGGGACGATATATCGAGATATCGATTCAATGTGAGGATGATACGCATATCGATACGTATGAAGAAATATCGCAAAAAAATTCTGACTTATGTTTTTCTTTGTTTACTTCACATTTTGGGTTAAATATATATAAATATGCTAAATATTATATGAAATACATAATAATTAACACTACTTGTGTAAAATTATCTTCTTTTACAACAGGTACAACTTCTTTGAATAAATTATTCTTATTTGTGGAGAAATGTTTTGTTCATTTCAATACAAAAAAAGACATTTTATAACCAAGTCAACATATCGTGATACATATCGTATTGTGGCTCAAATATCGTGATACATATCGATATAGAAAAAGTTGTATCGTCCCAGCCCTACAAATTATCCCACGTTTCCAATTGTCATTAATATCCTGGCATACCCAACAATCTAGACAGGTCACAATTCCTTAAATCACTTTCAGCCTTGCTCCATTGTATGTTGCTTTCACACCCTTGCTTCTTCACATTATCGCCTGTGGTCTAGGTTCTTCAGCCTTAGAGAAAGGACGCTAGTTACCATTGTAACGGGATTAATAGTTCTGTAACAGGGTTACAAATGAACATACTTGAAAGTCGGGGCTAATTTCTTGCCATATATTTAGAACTTTTAGTTTATTATTTATAGGTCAATGGCAATATCTTCTTATTCGTAATGTGAAATGTTGCCTGATTCAGCAAGAGTTAACCATGAAAGCCAGCTATATTATGTTAAATCATACGAAGTGTGTAAATACAGGTCTGATAACCGGACATCAGCCCTGAACAGGAGAGTAATGGCAATTTGTTTTGGAAATGGGGGTTCCAAAAATATCAACGAAGATCATTCATTTCAGTGTTCATAAAGGTATAATGTTTTCAGCAAAAAACAACTCTTTGGTGCTAAAAATCGCGATCTTTTACTTTTACGTCAAAATGACATCCACAGTTCAAATGCATAGACACTTTTTCAAATGAATTTGCGCAAGGCTTACCTGTTCTTCCGCCATTTTTGTTTTCCCCTCTCAAATTTTTTCAACGTGCTAAGCATGCGCAAGGAAAAAAACACTCGGATAAATTTGGAAATTATTGCCTGAATCACTATACAGGACAACGTTAGAAAAAAGACATGGCCGTAGGAACCGGGGGGGGGCACGGGGGGGGCCGTGCCCCCCCCAATAATTTTGCCGATATATAGATTACTATAGTAAACATAGATACTATCAGCTTGTGCCCCCTCAATAAAACCGCCTGATGACCTTTTTTTCTTTTTTTCTTTTTTCTTTTTTTTTTTTCTTTTTTTTTTTTTTTTTTGCTTGTCAAAAAATTTTTGGTAGTGCCCCCTCAACTGTCAACTGAAAAATGTTTGGCTGTGCCCCCCCCCAAACTGAAATTGCTTCCTACGGGCCTGAAAGAGAACAACTTTTGAGAGAAAAAAAAAAAAAAGAAAGTCAACCTACAATACATGTTCATGACTTTTTTTTTTTTTTTACTTTATATATGTCTGAATTATTCAGATTTACATTTTTAAACCTAAAACTTCATGATGTGCAACTTGTGATTAAAACTTTCAAAGTTGACTTAGGTCAAGATCTAGTAAATGAGTTTTGATCGTCTTTTTGAAGCTAGATCCATTATGACATCATAATTGATTTTAACTTAATTTTCCCGTACTTTATGGCTGTAATAGAATAATGTAAAAAATGAAGCATTTTCATGGAATTCAATTTTAAATCATGTCAAAAGTAACTCCGATTCCTATATTCAATTTAATATCATTTTAAAGTAGAGGTCATGAAGATACGAAAAACCATTTTCTGAGAGATTGTGGGCAATATTGATACACTTCCTTCTCAAATTTGAAAAATCTGTAGGCACCTTTCATTTACTAGATCTTGACCTTAAACAGCCTTTTTTCTCCGTTTAAGCAACGATTTCTTCATGAATTTTGACCTAAAAGTTCTTCAAAATGGAAAATCCCCCCCCCCAATATCTAGATAAATATGAAAATTCAGCAGTTGGCAGTAAGCAGTTGGCTGTCGTATATGGAATTATATAAAGTTTATATATGGAATTCCATATACGACAGCCAACTGCTTACTGCCAACTGCTCACTGCTTACTGCCAGCTGTCACACATATTTGAATGAATTTTCATATTTATCTAGATATTGGGGGGGGGGGGGGGATTTTCAATTTTATTAAGAAATAATTAATCTTGGAAAAATGGAAAAAATCTCATTATTTTAAATTATATATTTTTCCAGACCCCCTCCTTTCCATCTATGCTCGAAATTCAGCCCATCCCCAGAAGTTTTTTTTTAATGTTTTTTTTTTTTAACTAGCACTACTTGCGTGTTCATTGAAATTAGTAATCTGTGACATATTTTGCTTTCTAACAGCAAATAAAGGGTTACATTTTCGAACTGTTATTTTATTTTTTATTTTATATTGTTTATTATTTAGTCTTTTATTTTCTATTAATATCAAGAGTAATATATAAAGACCAGCGTTAATTTCGCTTTGGTTCAGGCTAAAACCATGGAACTTGAACTGATGAGGATTATGGATACCCCCCCCCCCCTTAATTAAAAAAAAAATCGTAGATCCTATAATTTTTCAAAAATATGAGATTTCCGCTCCAATCACATGCACATTTCGTTCAAGCTGACTGTACTTTTTCTTACGTTTATAGATTTATTGATCTACTATAATAAACTTTTGTGTGTGAACCAGGTTCTTGTTTTTAAGATTTTGAAACAATATTGCGTGCATTCGACTGACTTTAAACGTATTCTTTTCCGTTTTAATCCGAAACAAAAACTATTGCCAAATCTAGAAATCAAGCTTTTGACGGACTCTCACTTAGGAAAGGTAACATTTTTCCCATTATACAGTTAAAGAAGAGACAAATAGTTGTAAAAGAAGTTAACATATATACTCTTCAGATTAAACTTGTATTTGAAATAGATTTAAGGAAACAAATCTGGAGAATTCCGTCTTTACCATTTCGAATTTCCTCTAATGTTTATTATGGAAACCATGTATACTGTTACTGATTTTAAAAGTTTAAAAAAACTTAATTTGTGAAATTTTTGTATCCTTTTTAAGCACTGACAGCAAGCCCTGTTTATAAACATGATTCAGTTTAGTTATGAGTTTTTTAAGAAGACAAAATGAAATTGACATTTATAAGAAATTATTTTCATTATCCAGGGACCATATACTAAGTATATAGCATATAGTGTAATATCTATACCTTTAATAGTTCATTCAGATTTAATGTTTCCCACGCATAGGAATATACTCTATTAGCAGAATGTTATATGTTTAATACTAAGTCAGTAATTATTGATGTTGACAGCCTCAGCCACGTGGCTTGTGAAATTGCTTAGTTATGTAGTTTAGAATTAAAGCATTAAATTGAACAGACGTGTATGGCACGCCAATTTCACAAAAATTAGCGAAACTTAGTTTCACAGTTGATAAACTAGGTTTATCGACTGTAAACTATAGTTTACAAACCGTGAACTATAGTTAACGATTCGGTAACTATAGTTTTCATCTGTAAAACTATATTTAACGGTTGTTAACTATAGTTTACGAATGCTAATCTAAGTTTATCTGTCTGTAATTAAACGTTAACAATAGATTTTGTTGATAAACATAGATTCACATCTGTAAACTATAATTTACAATCGTGAACTATAGTTAAGAGTTGTTAATCATAGTTTCACAAATCGTGAAACTATATTTATCAGATAAACTATGTTTTACATTCGTTAACCATAGATTTCTGTTGTAAACTATAGTTAACTGTCATTTATACTCACAAACTATATTTAACAGACGTAAACTATACTTATCGATCGTAAACTATAGTTTTGAGAGCTAAACTATGATTCACATTTGCCTATCATAGTTTATCATAATAAACTATAATTCACACTCGTAAACTATAGTTTTTAAGAGTTGTTAAATATAGTTTATGAATCTAAACACCTGTTAACTGTTAACGAGTTTTCAATTCGAAATTTCCCGGCACCAATCGCGAGAAGCAATAATGGAGTATATCAGTGCGGAGAATATTAAGGACATGTGTTGGGCATTATCTAAAGCAAAGACTGAGTTATATATAATCAATATTACTTTCTCTATTTAAACAGGATTAATTGTATTTGTTTTAAAATGTCGTGCATATATACATTTCCTATGGGGAAATTTTTAGAAATATGATAAAATTTTAATTTTTTAAAAGACAGAATATTACGAGATTTTTGCTCAAGGAGAGGAGGGTGAAGCGCGTTTTACAATGTGCCAAGCATTTATCCCCCACATCTCATCACCAAAACAAAGAAACTGAAAGAGAGGAAGTGCAGTGGCGGATATAGATAGGGTTGTGGGGGTTTCAACGTCCTCCTTTGAATTTAAGAGAGAGAGAATGAGAGAGGAGTCCCAAATATTTGTTGTGTTTGTTCCGTGAAAGGCCACTTTTATTTATGTATGAACATGATGAAGAAAATTCGGTTGTTGAAAAATAAATTCCGCGCCTGCAATGTTACATGTACTGTGTTATGTCTTTATTTACAGATGAATATAAGATATACATGTATTTTATTAATGACAGATCACGTATTTCGGTCTCTATTTTTCTCTTTTAAATAAAAAAAATAAAATTTTAATAATTTTCCAGTCATTTTTCTTTTTATTTCCAACTAGATTTGCTTTAAAATAATAGAACATTTACTTATAACGCCAACAAGAAATATACATGCATATATATTTAACAGCAATTGTCGTTACATAGCCGAAAATCTTATAATGCTGAAACTAGGATTAGCCGATCTATAATTTACAAAAAAAAAAAAACTATTGTTAACTATAGTTTTGATCGTAAACTATGGTTTAGAGTCGTGAAATCTAGTTTCACAGAAAATTGTGCATCTCCGATACAAAATAAGAGATTCTGTTCCTAAACTGTGTTTTTCAAGTGTAAAACTATGTTAATCGCATTTTTGTGAATTTGGCGCTTTGTATGTCTGTAAAGTATACTTTACAAAGCCTAAACTATAATTTACATTTGTTAAGTATAGTTTAGAGTTGTAAATCATAGTTTACAAATCGTGAAACTATATTTATCAGATAAACTATATTTTGCAGTAGCAAATGATTGTTTTCCGTGTTAATTATAGTTTACGCTTGTGAAACATAGATTATCATGTAAACTATAGTTTACATATGTGAAATATAGATTATCATCGTTAACTATAGTTTACGGTCTGTAAACTATAGTTTACAGTCGATAAACCTAGTTTATCAACTGTGAAACTATGATTAGCTTTTTTGTGAATTTGGCGTGCCATAGACGTGTTTTCATTATGAGTGTCTAGAGCACAATAATCTTGGACAGTACAAATAGGTCCCTGCATTGTCCCATTGGATTTAAATAGGCTTAAAGGTTGATTTTTTTTATAGTTTTTCTGGTTGATGTTTAAAGCCTAGTTTTATTTTTAAAATAGCTGAAAAGCGTCAATTAGGGTTTTCCAGTTAGGGGTTATATTATGTAGGAATCAATAGAAATGCTCCATTAACTTAAACCTGACCTCTCATCTGTAAAATATGGGTTATATGCAGCACCTGAAGCAAGACCAGTACTCTTAGGATTTCAGGAATCACCATCATACAGACTGTCATTTGAGAATCAGTGGAGGTGTCTGTCTATGAATTGTGGCGGTCAGACGGGTTCGATCGCTGGTGCCCAGATAGCTCAGTTGGTAGAGCACCTGTAGGCCTTTCAACTAATTTTTCAAGTTATACATATGATAAAAAACAATTGATAGACATTTGTAGGTACATGAAATTCTCAAAAAAGATCATAACCTATACATACCTTTAATTAAATCATAGAAAAATTAATTATTAATATTTGATTTGTACGATGTGATATTTTAAGGACAAGTAACTCAAATGTAAAACATGACCAACAAAGTGCCGATTTTTGAGTTATCGTTTATAGGAATGACATATAGGCTGCTTCAGTTGGTATTGTTATGTACACAAAAGGGTTCCTTATATTCTTTGGTACACAAAAGGGTTGACCAAAACAAGAATGCCTTCACTCTATACCTGGAATAACGGGATCAATGAATGGGGAACGGACTATATTCAAGATTTTTAACTCTCCCTAACATTTGTTATGAAGAGGAAAATTTAATGCCATGTTTTTTGTTTGTGCATTGTTGTGCTTCATCTATAAAGATAAATATTTCTACAATTAAATGCAACAATGAAATATCTTATTCTTTTCACTAAGCACGAAGAAGAACAATCAAGTATAAAAATTTAATCAGGTCAAAATTAAGAAGGGGGATGGATTGCACTTTATATTTTTATTAAAAAATTCACTTATATATTATTGTGCAGTGTCGATAACTACATTATAATTAAGTTGAACATTTGAGCTAAATTTCAAAACCACTGGATTTCCCTGACAGTGAAGGGACACTTGGGAAATGCTAAAACTTGACATCCTTAAAAACAATTAGCTTCCTCGGACACGCTCTAAACAAGTTCCGGTAATGGGTTATCGTTCTTTTCATCGAACCCTAGCGGCAGTTGAAAGGCCTAGCACCTGACTGGAGATTCAGGGAGCCCAGGTTTAAATCCCGGTCTGGTGCATCAAATTTTTCTCCTCTCCCATTACAGTTGGTGCCATGCCATGCCCTGGAAGTGACACTGTGAAAGACCTGCCAGGGAAGAGCCTGGGTCGGTGTCTTTGGGGGCCGAAAACCTTTAACATTTTCTCTAGCTTGTGTAGCATATTGTAAAAAATCTAAATTTAAACTTTTTTTTTAAAGAAAACTAAACATGATTGTAGCAAACCACCAGACATACCAACTTTTCTATAATCACATAATTATCTAATACTGTCCATAATTCAATATAATATACAATTAAGGTTTATTATAATAGGATAGTTTAACCTGTTTATAATCAATTTATATAACTATGATTCAGTGTATTCAAAATTTCTTAATTCTTTCCAAATCAGATTGTTATTAATAAGGAAGTAAAGAATAGGGCTAATATGTCAGATCTGGGATGCTATAAAAATTTATTTATCATATAAAATGGATTGTACATGTAATTCATCTTAAAACATGACTGTACTCCTAGTAAGATTTTTGTAACTTGGAATTATTTTCTTGTCTTGTAGAACCAAAATGCCAGAAACAAAACAACAGATTAAAGAAGTCCTTCCCAAACAAGGACTCCTATACCAAGAAGACATGCCAACAGTGGTTTTGTGTAAGCCTAAAATTCTTCCTTTGAAGTCAGTGACACTAGAAAAATTGGAGCGTATGCAGCGTGAAGCGCAGGACACTGTTAAGCAACAAGAAGCGCAGCAGCAGCATGGGGACAAACAGGACTTTTTTAGTGATTATTCTTAGTTGAGGAACGACGTAGTGATTTTCTTAATGGGGACAAACAAGACTTCTTCAGTTATTATTCATAGTTGGGGGACATCTTGAATGGGACAAACAGGACTTTTTTTAATGTTTATTTGTAGTTGGAGAATGTCGAAGTGATTTTCTAATGGGAATGAGCAGGACTTCTACGGTGACTTTTCAGGATTCAAACGTGCTATAGTACGTGATTTTTTGCCTGAGAAATCTTTCAGAAATCTTGATGTTTTACATGTACGATACATAACAACAGTTTTATTCTGTTGACTTGTATATTCTAAATTTATGGGGGAAAATAGAATTAACAATTGTATTGTTTGATTTCAAGAACTCTGAATATGCTTGTCCATTTTTCTTTGTTTACAAAGCATCCTAAGTAAAATACATTATTGTTTCATTGGTATGCCTCTGTATAGATTCGTATTTTATGATGTTTATAATATATCTATGAGAAAAAAAATACATCCAAGCAATTATCAGTTTTGTCTTTGATTTGTTATACTTGTTGTTTACATTATCATTGAATTAAGTAGTACATTTATGTACATTGCATGACTTTGATCTACATGTACAAAGTATCCCTGATCTACAAGTACAAGGTATCCCTGGAGTACAGATACCTGAGGCCTGTTCAACAGAGCGAACATTCGTGAACATTTCTGTTGGAGGGATAAGGTATTTAGGCGAGTGCTCATGAACGTTTGCTCTGTTGAACAGGCCTCTGGCTTGCTTGTGGTTAATTTAATTTAATTTATGCATAAGGGGCGAAGCCAGTTATGTCTAAATTATCCCATGTTTCCAACTATCGTTTATGCATACCCAACAAACTAGACAGTGATTCCTTATATTTACATTTATATGTGAAATAAAATTGTAAATATAATTTTTTGAAAATGCTTTCTAATAGATTTTAAATATACATGTACAAGGCCTCATATGTTAATTTCAATAGTCCCCACCCACTGACGTCAGACACAAACACAGCTGCATGAGATTGACATGCATATGAGCTCCTGACCTTTCACGTGGTAAAATAAACATTCTGGTTGAATGATCAAGAAATCAACTCACCTAACTTTCAAAGAGTTATCACAGAGAAAACAAGCAAATTCAAAGAATTGTGGCCCCCCTCTTTCGGTGTCTTAGTGGATGGGATGCCATTATTTATGGCATATTGTAACTGTTTTGTTTGTGTGTCCTGTCTTGTCTGTGCATCAATACCTAAATTATTGAATTAATAATAGTTATGGCAAAGATTAAGCTTATATCTTCTCAAAACTATATCAAACTTCAACATCAAGGTCATGAGGTCAAATATCATAATACAATCCGAAAGGTCTTGACACAATTAATGCATATTTGAAAAAATATCAAAAACCAAAGTGTACAGTTGGAAAGGTCTTGACACAGGTAATGCACATGTCAAATGTAAATGTTGTATCTTCTCTCAATCAAAAGTTATCAGCAATGTTAACATTTTTTGAAAATTAGATCAAACATGAAGGTCATAGGTTAAAAAATCAAGTACATTTGGAAATGCTTGTCACAGGTAATACATGTGTCAAATCTGAATGCCCTATCTTTGCGCCTTCGAAAGTTAGCAAACTGATAAAATGTTTGAAAATTAGGTCAATCTTGAAGGTCAAGGTCATGGGGTCAAATATAGCATATTCGGAAGCATTTTGACACAGGTAATGCAATTGTCAAATATGAACACCCTATCATATGTCATTCAAAAGTAATCACCAAATTTAAAATTTTTTGAAAATTATGTCAAACATGAAGGTCAAGGGGTTTAAAATCATTTCATGCTTGGAAACATCTTGCCACAGGTAATGCACATGCCCAATATTAAAGCCCTATTTTTTCTCAAAAGTTATAAGCAATAATAAAATTTTTGAAAAGTAGGTCAAACTTCAAGGTCAAGGACATGGGTCAAAAACCATGATATATTTGGAAAGGTCTTGTCACAGGAGATGTACACATGTAATAGGAAAGCCCTATCTTTTCTCATTTAAATATTATGACCAATATAATGTTGAAATATTTGAAAAGTATGTCAAACTTCAAAGTCAAGGGATCAAAAATCATGTTGTATTTTAAAGGGTCTAGTAACAGGTAATGTACATGTCAGATATGAAAGCCCTACCTCTTCTCAATCAAAAGTTATAACCAAAGATAATTTTTTTGAAAAGTAGGTCAAACTTCAAGGTCAAGGTCTCGGGGTAAAAAATCATACTTTATTTGGAAACGTTTTGTCATAGGTAATATTACACATGTTTAATATGAAAGCCCTATCTCTTCCCATTCAAAAGTTATGACCTTTTTAAAGTAATGTTAACATTTTTGAAAAGTGGGTCAAACTTCAAGGTCACGGGGTCAAAAATTATAGTATATTTTGAAAGGTCTTGTCACAGGTAATATATATGTGAAATATAAAAAGCCCTATCTCTTCTCATTCAAAAGTTATGACAAAGGTTAAAGTTTTTGTGACAAACAGACTGACAGACAGACAAATGAGATTTAATGTCCCCTCGCTTTTGGGAAAGCGGGGGGCAACAATTAGAAATGGAAATATATGTATACATATCACCCTCGATTAATCACTAGATTTTTAGAACATCTTGGAAATATTGAATCCCAAATTATACATTTGGTTATGTAACTGTGAGATAAAAAAAATATGTGTGCTCCTTTAAAAGTTATTTTTGTACCCCGCTTTCATGACACATTTTGATCATTCGTCTGTCCGTCTGTTTGTCTGTCACAAATACTTTAACTTTGGTCATAACTTTTGATTGAGAAAAGATAGGGCTTGCATATTTCACACATACATTACCAGTGACAAGATCTTTCCAAATATACTATGATTTTGAATTTTGGCCTACTTTTCAAAATTTTAAAGATTACTTTTACCTTGGTCATAACTTTTGACTAAGAAAAGATAGGGCTTTCATATTTAACATGTACATTACCTTTGACAAGTTTTTTTTCCAAATATACTATGATTTTTAACCCTGTGACCTTGACCTTGAAGTTTGACCTACTTTAAAAAAATTAAAGATATTGGTTATAACTTTTAAATGAGAAAAGTGATAGGACTTTCACATTTTACATGTACATTACCTTTGACAAGTTTTTTTCCCCAAATATACTATGATTTTTAACCCTGTGACCTTGACCTTGAAGTTTGACCTACTTTAAAAAAATTAAGATATTGGTTATAACTTTTAAATGAGAAAAGTGATAGGACTTTCACATTTTACATGTACATTACCTTTGACAAGGTTTTTCCAAATATACCATGCTTTTTAACCCTGTGACCTTAACCTTGAAGCATGGTCTACTTTTCACAAATTATAATATTGGTTATAACTTTTAAATGAGAGAAGATAGAGTATTTATATTTGACATGTGTATTACCTATGACAAGATGTTTCTGAACATGCTACGATCTTTGACCCGTGACCTTGAGGTTTGACCTAATGTTCAAAAAATTAACACTGGTCATAACATTTGAATGACAGAAGATAGGGCATTCACAATCTAATTAAAATTAGATGTTCCGAATCCGCCACCGCTTCTCTGAGAAGCGGTAGCGGATTCGGAACATCTAATTTTAATTAGATTGGGGCATTCATATTTGACAAGTGCATTACCTGCATGTGACAAGAAGTTTCGAAATGTACTAAGATACTTGACCCTGTGACCTTGAGGTTTGACCTTATTTTCAAAAATTTATCTTTGGTGATAACATTTGAATGACAGAAGATAGGGCATTCATATTTGTCATGTCCATTACCTGTTTCAAGACCCTTCCAAATGTACTCTGGTTTTTGACCTCATGACCTTGACCTATAAGTTTAACCTACAGTCTTTGTTATATTTTTATAATGGTCAGAACTTTTGAATGAGAGAAGACATGGTTTTCATATTTTACCTATACATTACCTATGACAATACCTTCCAGAAAGGTATATCATTTTTTGATTTCATGACCTTGATCTAGAATTTTGAAGGACACACAGACAAGGCAGTTACAATATGCCATGAATAATATTATTGCATCCCAACCACTAAGACACCGTAAACGGGGGACCACAATTCTTTGAATTTGTTTGTTGATTTTTATGGCAAATTTCAATTCAAGGAATGCATAAAAAAAAGAAATTTTAAAGATTTTTTCTTTATGCCCCTGGCCCACCCTTCCTTTTTTCAATTAATAAAAAATTATACAATACAAATGAAAAATTATACAATACAAATGAAAAATTATACAATACAAATGAAAAATTATGCAATACAAATAAAAAATTATAGAATACAAATAAACATTACACAATACAAACGGAAAATTATACAATGCAAATGGAAAATTATAGAATATAAATGGAAAATTATACTAGACAAATGGAAAAGATCGAATATTGCAACGTTTTGACATGCCATAAGTCGGTGCCGAGATGATTTCTTCTTGCAAAACAAATTGACTGTTCAAGACGGCAAAAATTTCTTGATATTTATATTAAACTTTTCCTTTCTGCAATAGCTGCATGCAACCTCAATTCCCGCGCTAACAGATAAAGGAAAACATTAATTTTTTTTTCTTTAGAGATGTATAAATCATCATATATAGTAGGTTTAGTTACGTTAATATTTGATCATTGATATTGTGTGTCATTGATTGAACATATGTAGCACAACTACACAGGTGGGTAATAATTAACTGTAGTTTTCAAAAGAAATAAATGGGATAAAATGAAGCGGATGGTAAATATATATAAATGAATTGTATTAGGCCTAATATATTAGTTTGCATGCATATTTTCAGTGCACCTTAATGACGTACATTTTACAGGCTTGTAGGAAGTAATTTATCATACGTCAAATGCGAATTAATTAAGACTCTAATTAGAAATTATATTAATATGAGGTTAGAAATTTTCGTCTTGACGATTTAAAAAATTATTCTCAATGATTATTTTATCATTTTGTTTAGCATTATAAGACAATAAAATTTGAACAATTCTGCATGATGTGAAAAAATCATGGAAAGTGGGCTTAAAATTGACCTCACAATAAGTTTTTATGATTTACTGATAGGTCGGACCATAACAATGTCGGACTATAACAATGTCGGACCATAACAAACTAGGACTACCCAAAGTCGGACTATAAGGAAATCGGACTATAACAAACTCGGACCATAGGATTATTTTTACTAATTAATTAAGTTATATTTATTTCGAAGACTTTTTTATGATTTCCAAAGAGTATGAAGGTATACTGACCTTAAAAACGTTGAATTGTACTATAACGTACGCGTACGTTAGTAAGTGGACTGCATATGATAATTGATAAAAGGTTATGTTGCCCTATAGTATATTTCTTATGCGTTATACTGTTATATAGGCCTTATATTACTTACACAATGTTGTTCTCATTTTATTTTGTTAGGCCAGAGTTACATGTTTGTGTACCTGGTTATTCTCATCATTCTCATTAACCAGAATTGCCTCTGTATATTTCGTAGTGAAGCTGCAGCATAGTTTGTTGACTTGAACTATAGACCGTTTCACAATAACTGCGGTACTACTCTTTTGCAGGGCAAAAATATATATTTTTTGGTGAAATATGACGTAAAAATTTTATATAATTTATGCACTGATTGAAAAGGCAGTTTTAAAACCTTATTAAAGCCTCAAATTGTAATGAAGGAAAACTAACAAAAAAGTGTGTTTCAATCAATTTATTTTCATTGCAAACAAAGTTTGAAACCAAATAAATAAAGCAAGCACATTATATGGTCAACGTTTAACTGTATCAAATAATTGTCACTGGTGTAAATATCACACAGTCAACACTTGGGAGTCACGATCACAACACTATAGAACTATTCATTGTTCGTTAACACATATGTACACATGTCACATGGCACAATCACAAGCACAACACCAAAGAACTAGTCGTTGTTTGGGCCATATACACCACCACACTCCCGCAACAGTTGGGATGCTGTGAGCTCTCCGTTGGTATAACGGTCCCAAGCTTCGTGTAGCCGGCAAGTGAGGTCCTGGTACCTCCTACGTTGGCAACGGAGAATCTGTTCCTCTGACACAAGTCGGACAGTCAAGTCCACCAATCGCGCCTCACGCTGAAGAGCAGGCACAAGGATGTAGAAGGCGGCATTGGCTTTACCGATGTCTGCATTGATCCTGGTATGCCAACCTGAAATATGTAAATTAAAAAATAAATAAAAGAATACAGAAATCATATTCAAAGATATTTTTTATTACATGTATATGTTCTTAAGAATTTTTTAAATATCTTTTTTTAATGAGGCTGTTATCTTATATTATTACCATCACATAATTTAAGAGAAATATTTAGCTTACCTTCTACATCGTTGTTTGTCCTGACATTGGTCTGGAAGATACTCCAGTTCCTGGGCTGCCAAACCGCACTTCCAATCCAGTTGCTGTCCATGTATGCCACAAGCTGCTGCAGTTCCTGGGATGTTGCTCTGGCTGATAGTCGGTCAAAAGCGGGCTGAATGTCTGCAGATGGCAGAAAGGGCAGTGCCATCAAAGACCTGATGTACCTATATTCAGCACCACGTTTGGTATATGTCGTCCTCAGTCCTAATTCCTGCACTTTCCGCCACACTGCCTGGCCAAAGTGAAAAGCACATCCTTTGATAAGTGTGTTGGGGAATTCCTCGCGGATGGCTTTCCATGCACCTAAAAAATAATTCAATATAATTAATGAAAACAATCTTCTTCATAATTAAAAAAATCTTTTGCTATTTTAAGATATAAATTAAAATGTATTTAATATTAATAATTTTTCTCTATATTTCAATATTTTAAAATTCATAAGCTAAAAATTCTGATACCTTTCTCAAAGTCGACCACAAAGGTCTGCACCTGTGGTACACCAGGGATGATTTCCTTGAGCTTCTTGAATATCTGAAATTAAGATAAAAGTAGATTTATTCAAGATAAAAACTACCTTAGACAGTAATTATTTTAAACAAAATAAATTATTTATTTATGTTTAATCTAGAACGTTTTCTTTAAATATACAAACAATTTAGGAAAACTTACTGCAGCATAATCCCTGCTTTTCCTCCTAGACATGAGACAGAAGACAAGTGGAACTTGTTTGTAACTGTCTCCTCTGCACACAAATGCATGGATGGACCACAGCTGCTGGAATGGTCTGGCGAGGATCTTAAATGTACCATCACAGAACCACCTTCTAGCCTGCTGCAGGATCCTGAGCTGGTTTGGTGTGGAGAACACAAGGTGCCTCTCAGTATCCACATGTATGTCTCCAACAAGGAAGTCCTGGCACTGCAGGTAGTCTGTGTCAATCTGTTGAAATTGAAAGCAAATTGTAAGGGAATAAATCAGACAAGTGTGCTCAGAAATAAATTACGTAGAAACACATATAGTCATCAGTATACTCAAAATCTATCATATCAGATACTATCATATATTAAAAGATATTTACAATGAACTCCAAGTCCCTTGGCTCTGCTGGCCTCAGATCCTCACGGATTCTGTTGGCCAGCCTCTGCAAGTTGCGGACATTGGGTAGCTGGTGGTCATCTTCTTCAATCAAATCCAGCATGGCATCCTCTACGACTCTACGTGCTGGCTTGTGGATATCTTGAACACACTGTGATTTAACCTGCAATAAATAATTTTTCTTTAATACATTATGTACATTATGTATGAAATTTTTAAAATAAAAAAATCATTTGCTACTTATGTAACATATCTTTGTTGAATTAAAAAAGATATTAATTAACATGATTAATAAGTACACCTACCTCTTTCCAAACTTGCACTTTCTTTAAGGCTCCTTTATCTGCCTGGTGGATGTGGGCTCTTGAGTTGGCCTTGAAAGTGTCCCCCTTCTGTGAGATGGTTGCAGGGCAGTTAACTGTCTTTGACCTCTTTGAACACCTCCAATATGTGAAGTCACCTTTGGAAACCTGTATAATTTATTCAAAATATTTTACTTTGTTATTTGCTTAATGTTATATTAGCATTATATTATATTATATATTTATTATTATCATTACATTTTTATATTAAAATTGGTCAAATATGTATAGTTTACATATATTAATATTTATATTATAAGCAAATGACTCAATTAGTACCTTTTTAACGAACTCATAACCATCACTGCTGACTAGCTTTCTTTTCCCACGTTGTGACCCCTGATCCACTGCAAAAAGATAAAAAATAATTATACTGAAGTAAAACAAAATTTAAAGTTAATTTTACTTTATTATTATTATTATTATTATTATTCACTGTAAAAATCCTTTGGACGAGGCATGAATATTTGACAATGTTTTTTTTTTTTGTATATATAAAACTTACTTATTTCCAATGTGGTCCTAAGATATTACAAGTTGATTATATATGACTTAGACAGCATAGACAAAAATAAAATTGAACATCTTATATTTAAGTGAAAATACCTGATGGTCTCTTCCTCATTCCTTTTACAGATGGTGCAGGTGAAATTAATAGTAATTTCAGATCTTATCATGTCACGGTACTCTCGCTGGGATATCCCTAAAGAATAAGTTAAACTATATGAATAAAGGCGTAATTAATTATTTACAAATTAAGATGTGATATTTTAGATTGATAATATTATCTTTCAACTTGTCCACATCATATTGATAAACTTAGTTTTTGGACATATTTTATATTTACATATAATTATACCAAACAAATTTACATTTATAAGTTTAAGCATAATAATCAACAATTAACTTACATATTCATACTAAGACTGCATATTGAGAGAAAAATTTGGATACGATACAATAATAATTTTAATGAATAACCAGGGTTGTCCCAAAGACCCGGGGCCTGGGGAATTTTCCCACCTACATCAATGATGAAATTCCCCGGTTATTTCGGTATTCCCCCTAAACTCTCCAAACCCTGAATAATATTGATATACAGGCCATGGTAGTCAAACCATTATTTTCAATGTACAAAAAAAGGCAACATGCTTGCAATTGCAAATGTTTTAAATGAGTTGTGAGGTAACAAATTAATGGTTTTAAAACTGGGGGAAACTTTATAATTAAATACATTTTGTGACAGGGTGAATATATTTTACATTCTATTTTCACTGTGTTTATTTTCTATTTTAATGTAAATTTTATTATTCTATACTAAGATGTTTGTTGTATTGTATAATTATGGTATACTCATTGCATAAAATTGGTCAAATATGTTTAGTTTATCATTTTAATATTTAAAGTTCAAGTTTTTTATTTCTTTGCGTCATACGACACATCAGATTACCTATATTAATAACCAAACATATATACATATATACAATATTGTAAAATATTGTAAAATATAACAAAATGAGAGTGAGCATAATCAATAAATAGCAAGTAAACTATGTAGAAAGTGTTTTCTAACAGGCAATTGTAATTAAAAAATACTTAAAAATTTACAAATGTTTCATTCTTTAGTGGAAGCTTGATATTAATATTTTCCAAGGTTACAAAGTTCCTTTATATTTTGTACACTTAGAAGTTGAATTAATTTCCAAACACTGGATTTCTTATAATACTTTTTCGATAACATTCAATTAAAGAGCACATTTTACATAATCTTTTTTTTTCTAATTTAGATCATTAACATATCTACCAGTTTCAACATTTAGATTATGTGCAGATAATCTAATTCTAGCAATTTGTATTTGGTACATATAATTAATAGGTTTACGCAAGTAATATTGTATACCAAAATTATTTCAAAGGAGATATTTCTATATAAAAAAAAATCTATTTCATATTTAATGACTTATCACATAATTTTTTAATTCAGAAAAAAAAGCAAAGTAATACTTATAAGCCAATTTGAACAAATAGTTAAGATGCTTTTGGCAAAACAATTTTTAAAATATCCTGATTTTATTTTCAACGCATTTATAAGACACTCTGTGCTGTTCTATATGTATTTTTCACAATAATACAGTGTTTAAATTAAAGAAAAACTACAGAACATTCTAAAAAGTTTACATCTGCATATAAATATACATAAATAATTATTCCAAATTGAGTACAACAGAAAATAATATGTTTCATATGCTATACATGCATGTCTTTCCCTTCCATCAATATACTTGTATAGATATATATATATATATAACATATTTAGTCATAAATACACATTTTCAGGAATTCTAATCAATCAGATAATTAACTAATTATATTTATCGGTATTTTTTTTTTCAGTTTTTCAATTTAAATAATATATTACATAATATAACATATCTTCACTTACCTGTATCACAGATTCTGTGCTGCCAGCGATTGCAACCATCGCACAGTAGTGCATGTTGTCTTGCAGATACTTTTCTCGTACACGCAACACACCGGTCGCTGATGGAATCCATGGTCGAAATGATTGCATTTTAGTTGAAAACCCAAATTCCACGGAAGATCAAAGAACTTTTTTCATAATTAATATGCTCGTCATTAAAGTAGTTAAGTATCCGCCAGTCGGATGCATGCGGTAATTGTTTATCTAAGACTTATCCATGTTTTGACAATGACCCAATTAATTACGCTTATAACCTGTTTGAAGAAATATACCTATCATTGGATTCATTCATTTATTTATTCCGTTTATTTAATAAATATATATACGGTAGTCCGACTTTGTTATAGTCCGACTTCGTTATGGTCCGACTCTGTTATAGTCCGACATTGTTATGGTCCGTCTTATCTGTCAACGGTTTTTATAAAAATTGGTTTTTCAATGAAATATATAGTGTAAAAATGCTATATTAGACTCACTTATGGCCATATACTGTAGCTATGTTTTATACCGGCAAATTATGGGGGGGGGGGGACTCTCTATATAGGAGTAATAAACAAATGTCATTAGAATCTGCATCTCGGTCGTAATTAATATATTGTGATTTTTTAAACAAGAAATGTAGATCGAAGTGGTAATTAAGAGATCAAAAGTAAAGAAAGTTATTTAACAATCATTAAAAAGTGGGTGGGTCATCGTAGAATCACGGTCCTGTCCACAAGTACCTGTGTTTTCTTACTATTTTTTCCGCCAAAATGCTAATTTAATATTATAGTCTAAGTCCTATGCCTGGCACAATGTAGCTATAGTTATATTTCACACGTAAATTGTGATTGAAAGAAGTACAACGGGCACTTGTTAGTGATGGTCAAAATATTAAAAAACACTAATTAAACTTTAATTTCGGCTGCCTAGCGACCAGCACATATTCGGAAACAACCCCTAGCAACAATGCCGCCGATCAGCTGTTTTGAGTTAAGATAATTTCCCATAATGCACAGCGACTTTCTTCTTTGTTGTGAATGTGTCACAACTCGACATTTCTTTGTTTTGGGTTCGTGACTAATAACTGTGAATGTACCTCAGAAAAATGAACCAAGTTATTTTATAGTGATAGTCTGTTTTGTTAGTATTGTGTATCATTTGTTAGATTCATCCAGAAAAACATGGCCAGTGCGAAAAGTTCAGCGAAAGGGGAATTTCATGTCGGGGGAAAGTATCGACTTGTGAGAAAAATCGGGAGCGGATCTTTTGGGGACATTTATCTGGCTATGAATATAGCCAATGGAGAGGTTTGTACACTTTGAAGGCCTGAAATCAATTGAGATTACCATTAAGTTAAATATAGACGCTTTGTATTGTTTTGTTTTCCTTGTCCACATTTTTTCATTGTCTGTGTTATATGGTGGCGTTTGCAGGAAGTGGCCGTCAAACTAGAGTCCGTCAAGGCCAGACATCCCCAGCTGATTTACGAGAGCAAGCTATACAAAATTCTCCAGGGAGGTGTAGGCATCCCTCATATACGGTAAACACAACTAAAGTCTTTAGCAAAGAATATGTTCACTAAGTGGTGGATCTAAAATAGAAGGGGGCAGGGCATATGTTTACACATGTTACAATGTTTGAAATATGAATGCATTGTGACATCATATCCTCAAGTCAGTAACAAATAAGTAGATAAATAAACTTAAATACATGTACATTAAAACTTAGACTTTCCATTGATATTGTACTCGCATAGATCATGCATGCAAAATGTTTTTCAATAGAGTTACCTTTTATTCTAATAAATAAATAAATACATAAATAAATATGAATAAAGATAAAAAGGAATATTATAAGGAAATTATTATTTTATAAACATCTGGCTCCTTATCATGTAGGATATCTTTGATCAAGGAATTATTGTGAGGGATATCGTATGCCTTAATTATTAAAACGTACTCCATGCATGCAAACATTGCAAAATTAAAATCAAACACTGCTGTAGTCTGCATGTTTGACAAAGGGTTAACCAGTAATAAAACCCCAAGCTTTTCATAATTTTTGTTTATGTTTTCAATTGAGATAAGTTTTTTCCTTCAATATTTGTTTGCAAATTAATGTAAAATCTATTGAGAAGATAGACACTAGACGAAATTACACGTCAAGTAATAGTAAAGTGATGGAATTACGGTTAAAAAATCATATTGTTTGTAATAAAATTCAACTGAATAGTCCGAAGTCAAATTGAAAGGCAGGTTAAAGACTTGGGTGTAGGCATTGACACTTGTCAAAGTTCTTAAAATTGAGACAGCTGGGTGACCTTAATATATCTATAAACATTTATTAATCAAAATCATGTTTTGTGTTTTTGTTTTTAGATGGTGGGGAGTAGAGAGGGACTACAATGTGTTAGTGATGGATCTCCTAGGCCCAAGCATCGAGGATCTCTTTAACTTCTGTTCTCGGAAGTTTAGTATGAAGACAGTCTTAATGCTGGCTGACCAGGTGAGATGGTGAAAAGAGGCTGCTGCATAATCCGAACATAATACAGTAAAACACGCTTATAGCAGGCCTTTCAAAATATGCTGGTACCCGGTACTTTTACCCAGCTGAAATCATGGTTGTACCGGCCAGAGTATTTGATGGAGACAGATTCAATAACATATATTAAATTAAAATCCCTTCCACTAGGTACATCTTTTTTATAAAAGTGTTTCTAACCTTTTTGAAAGGCCTGCTTAAGTGAAGTGCCAAGGATGAACAATTTTTTGATTTGTTATTTAAAAATGTAATTAGTTATATCCATTAATATTGCAATAACAAAGGGGATTGAAAATCATTTTGCTGTAAGCATGAATTCATTATAAGCATGTTTGCTATATCCATGTTTTACTGTACAGGATATTGGTGAAAGATGGGCTATTGCTCAACTTTTATGAAATACAGTTGGATGTATTAGAGGGGTTACTGAATAATTTTGATGGAATAAAGTTGATTGGTTATGGAGGACTGCTGAACAATTTTAATGTAAACAGTTAAGCATGATATGGAGAAGGGCTTCTTCGCTAGCCAAGGATTTCTGATCCGCTACTCTCCTCACAAACCCTTGGCCTCTGGTACTATCAAAAGTCAGGATTTTTTTCTCGAGTTGTGATCATGGTGATTGGAGTCAATTCATATTTGATCAACTAGCGAATGCTTTTGTAAATGACAATATCTCTGTTTTGGATATATCTTCACTCTTTAGTCTTAGGAATGAAAAACACAGAAACACAAATAAACAACGATCCATTATGATATAACATGCTGTTCTATAAAAAGCTATGGTGTCATCCAACTTTAAGCAGATGTGCACATAAAGTCAGCAGGAATCTATATTGCAGATATAGATTTACACCCTGCATAACAAATAAACATCACTTGATACCTGCTTGTTATTTATTCTTTAAATACTTTTATTTTAAATACGCTTTTTATTTCTGTTGATGATGCAGTATGTCTGTGCAAATGTGGTAAGATTCGAGATCACGTACGTGACATAAACGATCCCAACTTTTGAAAGCACCATAGGCCAAGGGTTTATGAAAAGATTAGCGGATCGGAAACCCTTGGCTAGTGAAGATGAAACAAATGTACTGTAATACAGTTGATTTGTTATAGAGGAGCTTCTAGATATAAATAACTTGAATGTAATAGAGTTGAGTGTGACATAAAGAGGCTGCTGAACACTGAATGAAAAGTTGATTGGTTGTAGAAGGGTCATTGAACAACTTCAGTGTAATTCAGCTACATTTGACAACATTTATGGGATACAATTGATTGGTTGATTATAGAGTAAGTGCTAAATAACATGAATGAAATACAATTGATTGGTTCTAGAGGGGCTGCTTAACAATTTTTGTCATGTTTGTAGAATACAGTTTTTAGGTATGAAATTGCTGCCCAAAACTTTTATGGAATACAATTTATTAGGTATACTGTAGATCACTAAATTTATGTGATGCCTTATTTTCACAAGATTGATGTTTGGTATTCATAAACAAAACAAAATTTTCACGAATTTTGGTTATTGCACTTAATCTTTAATAGTAGAATTTTATGCAAGAATGAAATTTTCATGAGCAGATGGTCTGTGTAATAAGGTGAAAATAAAGTTCTCAGCGAATACGAGGTGATATACAGTAGGCTGAGTGGCTGCTGAACAACTTTAGAGGAGTAGAGTTGGATATGTTTAAATTCAGATCTTCTGTGTCTTGCACTGCAGGGCTTGGAGTAGAGTTGGATATGTTTAAATTCAGATCTTCTGTGTCTTGCACTGCAGGGCTTCAATGCCATGTAACAGATTTTCTACATGTATCAGCGAATTCTGTTTACTGTCACACATACTGTATAGTATCTTGATAGCTTATGTCACACATATAGTTATTTATATGTACTGTATAGTATCTTGGTAGCTTAGTCCTAGCTTGTAACTTTGGCACACTTTCTTATTAGCAATTAAGTTGCTTACTGACAAACAACCAAACAAATAAACACCATAAAAGCATATGAACTAATTTCAGTATTGCCATATTGAGGAAGCTCCTCATATAGAGTAGAAGGGTAGAGGAGAGGTGATCTTATGAGGGGAGGGGGGGGGGATAGGAGAAATGACAAGTTCCCACTGATTTATATGCACCACTTTGTCATATGAGGAGGGTTTTCTGCCAAGTGCCCCCCTCCCCCATGCCTTTCCCTTCTGATTCTTTGGTGACTAAATAGTGTAGTGGATATTTGAAAGTGCATTAGTATATTTGAAGTATAAAATCAAAGTAATTTGCTTTATGACTAAATATTACATCAGACAGTGATGGACACTTTAAATTTGAAGTGTAAATAAGTGAACAGCTTATATATAGGGTCTCTAGAAATAATGGCAAATAAAGAGAAATATGGCATACTAAATTCTTTTATGAATTTTGTTCATTTTTGATATTAGCACATTTAACACATTATTTTAAACTAAAAACAGTATAAGAATGTACATCATCTCAAGCCATGGTCATGTACTTGAAGTTCTCTCCTACCCAGTCAGAATGGTAGAGGATCGTACATTTTGGCTGTGGTTTGCGACGATGAGGACTGTGATTATTTCATCATGTGTTGTTACTTGTATACATATTTATTCCATAGGAGGGAATTTCCCAAAAGTAGTATGACTCATTGGATAATACATATCTGAACTCTGAAAAAAAAATATACATGTAAATAAATATAATTTTGTCTTCTTTTTTTTTTTCAGATGATTAACAGGATCGAGTTTGTTCACAATAAGAATTTCATCCACCGTGACATCAAGCCAGATAACTTCCTCATGGGGATCGGCCGACACTGCAACAAAGTAAACACAGATTATACTTAAAACCAATATTAAATGCCTCGAGTAAAATAAAGCCTTTTATTGCAAAATACACATAAACCAGGAAACTGTTTTTTCTGTTTCAATGGCACTGAAATTTATAGACGTGACACATCCCAAGTTTTTACAGGAAGAAACTGCCAATTATTCAAAGTGTCCTTCAAAGAGACATATTGTGACCCTTAAGATTAAGTACATGTAATTGTTAAGAACTAAGCTGTATGAGTCAGCACAATTTGAGAGGAAGTGATACATATGGTAACTGAAATATGCAAGGAAAAATATCGGGGGTTATCCTAAAAATTTCTGACAAGGATCCAAATGAAAAAAGAAATGGGGTCAAAAATATAATTTGTTTTTCAATAAATAAACATTATTCATTTTAATAGGAGAAAAAAATTAGCTGAGCATTTAAAAATATTCTGCTCTAGAATTAAATATTTATATATTATGGCTTTTTTTTCAGGTCTATTTGATAGATTTTGGCTTAGCTAAAAAATATCGAGACAGTCGTACAAGACAGCACATTCAGTATCGAGAGGATAAAAATCTGACGGGGACAGCTCGATATGCTAGCATTAATGCTCACCTGGGTATAGAACAGAGCCGCAGGGATGATATGGAGTCCTTAGGTTATGTTTTGATGTATTTTAACAGAGGTTCCCTCCCTTGGCAAGGGTTAAAGGTTAGTTTGAAATGTTGATATCAAATATTAATGATTTATAGGCCTTGATCATAAATATCTGCATGCATGTATTATTCTATAACTTAATTTACTTGAAATGACATTAAAAATTCTTTTTCGGGAGAAAGATATTGAGTTACATGTGTATTTTGAACAAATATATTTGGAAAATACCAATACTGTTTGTCAATGTGATAATATTTACTTTTCAAACCGTATCAACAAGTTTTAGCTCACCTGTTTGTCCGTCATCTTTCTGTCTGGCATTTGTCTGTGAATTTTTCAAAATGTTTTCATCTCAAAGAACAAGAGGAGCAATTTCAGCAACTCCAAACTTGCATCCTTGAGTAAATGGGTGCATATTTGTACAAATAAGAAACTCATCAGAATGGAGATAATGGAGATAAGAAATAGTTAAAAATAGAGTTTGATCATACAAATTCATCTCAAGAATCACCGAGCAAGAGAGAAAGCAAAAACCTAGAAGAACACTTTCTTTATATGTAATGTAGACTCAGATTTAAACAAATCATGACCCAATGGACTTGATGGGGGGGGGGGATTAAATGGTCAAAGATTTGAATTGGAAACTCTTTTAAAATTCTCTTCTCAAGAAGATTATGGCCACAGTAAGTTAAAATTGTATGTAAGCATCCTCATATAGTGTCAGTGTATTCAATTTTGGTCAAACCATGCCCCCTCCTCCTCCCCATCTTGGATGGAGCTACACCAGGGGCTCCAATTTTGTTGTAGGAATAGAAAGTCAAAATATTTTTAAGCTTCTTCTTTTCAAGAACAACTTGGCTACAATTAGTCACATACACAAACATCTGCATATTGTGTTGACCTTGGTGATATCAAGGTTCATGGTGCTTGGATGGAACTGCAATAATGCTCGAAATTTAATATTAAAAAATTGTTTAAATAAAATTTATCTTAAGTATCTTCTTCAGCTTAAAAGTAAGACTACAAATGATTAAACTAACATACAACATCCCTGATTTTGGGAAGTCTTTGCATTAGGAGCCAGGGTAAAAGAAAAGAGATGGGTAATTCAGGTGAGCATTATGGCCCATGGGCCTCTTGTACCTGGTAATTAAGATCCTACTTCTTAAATATCTTGGCATTACCATTAATGTAGGCTGGAACTAAGAAACAGAAATATGAAAAGATCAGCGAGAAGAAAATGTCAACCCCAGTGGAGGTGTTATGCAAGGTAGGGCATGAATTATCAGTAACAAAGAAGTTAGCCAATAGGGCATTGATTATTTATCAGACCATCTGTATAAATATCTGAGTTTGCCTTCTTTCCTGTCCTTAGATGTAAATATGTAGATAGGAATAAGACTTTTTTTTTCACAATGAAAAATATATGACAGAGGTTGACTTGGTCTCCCTTGATATTTATAATAACATATCAATCTGCCAGAAAAATTGCTCTGGGAATTTTTATGCTGGCTAAAAAATACTAGATTTTATGTATTAAAAAAAATATTATTGAGAGGAAAAGACCTGAGTCAGTTTAATTTATTCACCATGTTGGAGCTAACAACTTTTTTTAGTACTTTCATCTTCTGTTTAAGTCCAATATTTCATGTATATGATTATTTTGAACAGGGGTACCCTGCAGAATTTGCCATGTACCTGAATTACACGAGAGGCCTGAGATTCGAGGAAGCCCCTGACTACATGTATCTACGACAGTTATATCGAATTCTCTTCAGAACATTGAATTATCAGTATGATTACGTGTTTGACTGGACCATGCTCAAGCAGAAGGCAGCAAATTCAGCCACTGTCATGAATGGAGGGACCACCCACATGGCCACTGCTGGTTAGTTTTAGTACAGGACTGGGTTTCTCAAAACCATGTATAGCGCTAACCACTAATTAAATCCCTTATCCAGTGGATAACTGTTAACCATTGGTTAAATTCTGTTACTCAAATTTTATCCACGTGTGTAATTTCACTATCGAGCGGTTAAATAATTGCCATAGTTAGCCAGTCCACAGAGGTGGGTTAAGTCTCTTATTCAGTAACTAGGGCTTCCTTGTTATTATTTGTTGTAAAACTTGGAGGATAACAAAAGAAACAAAAGGTTTATAGACATTTTAATCATGAATTTGATGTTGATGAGTACCCAAAAAGACACAAATATTCTTAGAACATGGTGTAGTAAATGACAACCCTAATAGAACCACAATTATATCACTCAGTCAAAAGAGATAGTGCCTCCTTTCAGTCATGAATTAGGTTGAAATGGCTTTGCAGCATTATTGAAGAGGGCATAACAGGGGTTATTTCTCATCCTCGTGTTTCTATTGTGTAATGTTTTCTTTTTAAATCACTTGTCTAAATATGAAACTGACCCAGAAAGAATTGATGTTTCTATAAACAAGAATCTTTTATTTATCTTTTTTTGCACCTTTTGATTCAACTTACAAGTTTCAACTTCCCCAAAAAGTTTATGTTTAGTTACATGTAGATAAAAATAATTTCCATTCCCACTTATATTACTGGTAATATTATATTATCCAGAAAGAGTGGTTCTAAACTAATTGAAATATTGTACTTGTACATGTATGTAAAAATGTGTTTTTGTGAATTTTAATATAAGCAGATGTAACTGAATATCAATAATCTTGATTACAGGGCGCTGAAGAAAAAGAAATCAAAGAAAAAAGGCATCAACAGATCAAGACATATTGAAATCAAAACCTTCTTCTCGTACCACCTTTGGCTGGTTTATCCCAATTTAAAAGGTCGTATGACCCTACAAATTGTCTGGTGATATTGGACAGTGTGTGATTTTGAAGAGACTGCTCTCCATTTTAAAGAAGCAATGCTGATATATGTGTGATTCTGGTCTTGAAGACTCTAAAAGTGTGTAAAATTGGGTACATATACATTGTATTTATTTGTATTCATTTGTGCTAAAAGTTGGCTTTCTTATCCAGGGAGTGGTTGTGCTATTCAAGTTTCTGAATATTTGTTGACTACTGTATTATTGATTTTGACCTGATTTTTAGTTCTTTCATTTTCATACATTATGTGTATATTTTTGTTGAAAAAAATATTGGAACTACATGTATATACATATGTACATAAAAGTGGATGGGGTTGCAAAATATTGTGCATTTGAAATTAGATTGGTAGCCTAATTAATTAAATAATTTTGCGATGTAGATACACATGAAATTTGTGTTCGAGTGTAAAAATATATTGTGTACACATTTTTTAATGTCTTGTTGGTAGTACTATTACATTTGTTAAAATTACCACAGTTGAAAGATTTTAAATTGAGAATTATTAGGTTGAAAGATTAAAAAAAAAAGCACTTTTGTTTACATGTATTTATATACATGTGTAAAGATAGGTTGATCTCAGATTTTTCAAAGTATGTGTATGTTTTTTTTTTTTCCCTTGGACTTTTTTTTTTCATATTCATTGGTTTGTTGGCTGTTACTCACTGTTCACTACACAGTATCATATTTCTATTCAATTAAAAAAAATCTAGTAAATGTTATTATCACAGAATGGAAGATCCTGCACAGGTTGTATCATGGCCAGTCATTATTTTGTAAATAATCTATTTTAATATATGTACATTTATTGATTACTGAGAAAACCCCTTGATTTTAAAGTGTTTTATTTGCCAAAAAGATGTGATTCTTTAAGACACATTATAGATCATATAGTGAGATTGAGATTCAAAGTTTGGAAAATGGATCTGCATAGTTCACTTTTTTTGATGTACTGGAAATTTTAAACAAATGTGAGAGAATTTTTTTTCATTGTTTGTATGTGTGTTTTACAATTTTTATATCAGGTTTTGAGATTTACATTTTTTGTGTAACTGCTGGTTTGTATGATAATATTAGCTCTTGTGTGTTTTTCTTTTATTTCCTCATTATTTACAAAAAAATTGATTGCATGTTTTAATTATATGACATGAAGTAGATTCAATGAACATTAGTTTAAATTTAATTTTTCCCAATGGGAGCTTTTAGTGAATGAAAGATAATTATATAACTTTGTTGTAGGTTTGTATGATTAATTACACATGTTCTGGAATGTGAGAATTATTTTGTTAATACATGTATATATTTTTAATTAAATGAAATTCTCCCATAAGCATTCTAATGATGTACATATTCATGTTTGATATGGAGAAAAAAATGTGTGGTTTTGTGGTGTTATAGTTCTTAACAGAGAATTGAGTGTTTGAGATTTATCAAATATGTATATTTTTAAAACCGTGAAATAATCAAATGTGTGTGTATTTTTTATCAACACTTCTTGATCCACTGTGCTTTCATATTTCATTTATCAATTCTTTTAACTTGAAGTCACTCATTTTTCTGAACAACTTTACACTTGTTGATGTTTTGACTTTTTCCCTCTTGATTTTAATGGATGAATTTTTCAACCACTGCCATGAAATATACGTGTAGTGATTTCCCCTTGTTATAACATTGTGATGTACATGTTATAAGGTTCAAAATGTGTTTTCTTCAATATTTTTCCATCTTTACTGCTGATGCCTACTTATACATACATGTATGTTTTACAGAAACTTGTCATTTTTTTTTTCACTTGCTACACAGATACTTTGAGAAATTTTGTTTTGCTCACAATTTTTGCAATGGACACTTTTTTTTTCTTTCGCAATACAAGTTTTCCAGCAGACAATATATTTCCTTTGTTTTGCAATATTTATTTCAAATTGTGCAATATGTGCATATTTTTCAAAGAAAAAAATATTTTAAAAAAAATTCATTGTGCAAATAAGAAGTATAGTGCAACAAAGTATTTTCTCCACTGAAAAGTAATGTTATATATATTAATAAAATAGTTATCATTTTTCCCCAAGAAAAAAATTCTTGTAAACACAATTTTCAAATTTAGGAATTAAAATGATTTCAAACAATTTAGTACAGTTGTAACAATGGGTTGGACTTGAATAACCTCAAGTCACAAACTCTCAAACAGTGATACATGCTGTATATTTTGTGTTAAAGCATTAATAGCATAAGAAAAGTTGGATGCAATTTCATGAGTTTAATGGGTGCCTGGAGTTGCTTCTTTAATCAAAATTTGGGGATTAGTTAATCATGTTATTCAGTTATTTTTTTTTTTTTGTATGCAACACCTACAGGTCAAAACTGTCAGTGAAAATTGTTATAGCAAAAAAAAGTGGAACATTGAAATGTAGAAATCTTGTGAAATAGAAGATTGTCGTTCATGAAAATGTCTTTGATACATGTATTTTCCTGGGATAGATCATACATGTATATGTTATTATTAAATTGTATAATGATTTGAAAATTCAGGTCAATTTAAGTTGTTACCATACTTTTCCTCAGCAGTCATTGGATTATAATTGACATCATGAATAGTATTTTTAAGGGTATTTACAAACCAAAGAGCCAAAAAAATGAAAATGTTTGATGCCTACATTCAACAAATTGTTAATTATTTGTACATGTTTGTTAAGCACATACAATATTCACCAACCTGATTATTTTTTTCCTTCTGATATACCATATTAGATTTTTAAGAATAGAATGCCATGTTATTTACGCTCCTTTTCTTTTTCGTATTTGCTGTGGATACGTCTTGAATTACATATTTTGAAAAGAGAAATACACATGTAATTGCATTGATAAAATTGGCAAAGAATAAGATAAGACACCGTTTGGGCATTGAACCACATGTATGTCTACTTTGAAATAAGATTTGTCATTTCACTTACTTACATTTTGCCAAAATTTCTATTTAACAGTATAAAATGTCTTATAATTTGAGGTATTAAAATTTACTTGGTTGACATACAGTACATAATTTGTAGATTTTAGTTTCCTCTTTATCCCTATGTTGAAGTGATTCTTGTTTGCCCACTTTTTTTCACTGTGTGTCTAGTCTCTATCTTCCAGAATTTATTTGGATTCAAGTGTGAAACTCAAAAAGCAGTGCATTTTGTGGTCACTGATAAAAGGATATTGTCAGTAGTTTTTTTCCCCTTCATTTTTCCTAAAGTCTCATTGCGTAATGTTAAAATTATAGGTAAAGGAAATTGATCATGGTATTGTTCTGATATTAGTGGTTAAAAATACAAATGTATCTTGTTTTTCCTTATAATGACTAGGACTTTGTTGATCAGAAGTCAAGCAAGTTATAAATAAATCTTGAATGATTTAAGTGAATTTTAAGTTGTTCTTTTAAAAACTTTAAATGTGCGACACACATTCTACTCAATATGACAAAGTTTGATAATTCTATGCCTCATGGTATTAAAGTTATGCACCAGACACAAAAAAGCTAACAGACAGACAGACGAATGGACATGAATGCCATTACATCTTAAGAACAGGCGTATAAAAAGTAATAAGTACAATAACTATTATTTATGGTTTTTCACATTTATTCTGAGACAAATACACAAATATGGCATTTTGAAACATTTTCACATCATCATCTCACATATTGATAAATGATTCTACAGTTCATATTTATGATCAGAAAATGTACCACAAAATACTGTATATAGGGAAATTTTCGCCCTGTTTTACTTTCGCCCCTTTCACCCTACTCAAAGGTGGGCAAATTTAAAACGAGGCAAATTCAGAGAACACGGTATAATTTCTTAAACAGAACTGTGACTGGGGCGAATTTAAAATGGGGCAAAATTGCTTGCAAGTGTGAATGGGCGAAAATAACATGGGGCAAAAATAACCCTGTATACAGTATTCAGAGTTAGGAACCATATCTCATAAAACTCCAAAAATGAACACTGTAAAGGTTTCTAATTCAATTTTGGAAAGCAAAAAATCCTGCTGGTACATGTATTTCAAAATCACTGATTTTTTTTTTTCATATTGATTTCATGGATTACTTCAAAATCAGATATTTTCATAGGGTCAAATTTTCGTGGTTTGAGGAAAAAATATTGTTTTGAGGGGATTTGATTTTGTGGGTGAAGAGAAGACTTTATACTGTTGTACGGAATTTTTAAATTTTATGGGGGACATGGATTCATGGCTCCTCAAACCACTTAATCAACAAAAATTAAACCCCAATGAAAATTAGTGATTTCACAGTACGTTTTTACCTAAATCTAGTCAATAACCCAAATTTAGATTTTACAAAAAATTAACAAGGAAAAACAAAAAATAGCATGAAAGGAAAAAAGAAAAATTTGGCAAATACGGATCAGCACCATGAAATCCTATTTCACAACCCAATACACATTCTTGTCATCTATAGCTGGACATGTGTCAATATTGTTCAAAAAGCCACAATAAATATGCAGTGAAGAATACTAATATCTTAATTAAGTTTCCAGTTTTATGAAGTACCAGCTGTATAGCCTTTAAAATCTATATGATTATCACAGTTAAATGATTGATGTGATCATAAGGCAGTCTGAAGGGGTCACATGAGTGGGGGAAAAAAACGGAAGCCCCTGCCCTCTCTCTCTATACTTCCAATATTAAAGGTATACACTTTGTGACAAGCCAAACTGGTTTTCATGTACAGTTGAACTTTGGTATCTCAAATATCAATATCTTGAATACCATGGATATGTCAGATTTGGAAATCCCAAGCATTTTTTATTTATCATGAATATGTATCTTACAAATTCAATATCTTGAATCACAGGATATCACATTGATTTCTGTCTCAATCTTTTCTCCATCAAGTTTGAGATAATAATTAAGGTTTGACTGTAGTCATTCACTTCAGTCTATACCGACAGGACCAAGTTAATTGACATAATTGTAAAATAGATTGCATGGCTTTGCTAAAATACAAACATTTAAAACAAAACAAACTGGTTCTGGTTTTGGAACAAAAACAGCTGCAGATTAAAAGTGTTTCCAACTGGCTTACCCCATTCCCACATGACCCCTTCCCAGTCAGCCACTGTTGAATTAAAATCCACAGTAGCGCTTTACCACATTAATGGTTGGATTATCACAGTTTAAATTAGCACTTACTTTCAAACAATCAATACTTTGTACAAACACAAATCATCATTTTTTCAAGTGTTTTAGAGCTTGATGGAGAACTCATCTTTGAAACAATATGTTCATGTATAATCAACCCATTCTCTACTGGGAATCGACACACTTTAACAAGTTACTTTATATCATTCATGGATGTTTGAAATGGTTCATACATAAACATCAACTAAACTTTTGTTCATGAAGAGTTAAACATATTGATTAAATATTATTAAATATATATGGATGAATTCTTAAACACCTCAGCTGTAGACTCTAAAATTTATATGGGATCAATATTCAGAGAATGACATTGCCAAGTAAACACATAAATATACTTTTCACTGAGAATGAATTCAATAAGTATCCATACATCATATTCAAGAATTATGGGCACTTATTAAATAAAATAAATAACTTTCAAAATAATTATTTATCATAGCTGTGGATGAAATGTGAATAGGCTGAAATATTTTTGCTATTGTAAAACATTTAAAGATATGAAAATTTTTCCAAAATGTCCCTAAAATTTATAAACGTCAAAATCAAGCCGGAATTTTTATATTGCCCTCCCCTCCTTTGAAAAATTTCAAGTAATTATCTCATAATGACTTTGAAAATTCAATGTCTTAATTAAAATACCATCAAGTGTATGATTTAGAGGTCAAAGGTTAGAAAGGTCAAGGTCAATCACAGCAGACATCTAAATGTTCCACTAACTGTGCATGACAATCAGCACTAAAACTTTGGCCACACTTTGGACAAGACAACATTTGGCCATTACCAGTTTCACTTTCTGAATCATTGATTTCATCAAGGTCATTTAAAGATGGAACTTTAAGTGATAAACCTAAATCAGTATCTCCTTTATCAGGGGGAGGAAACTCATGACTATTTTTAGGAAAACTAGGTCGGGTCAAAGGTGAGGTACTGTCCATCTGAGGAGGACTGTCTATTTCATTCATGTTCTGCACGGCATAAAAGGAAGAACTGACGGTTTGACCAGAGTGACCTTGATCCATTGTCCTTTGACCTTTAATTGGGTTAACATCAACAGGCAAACTCTTTGGTGGCTTGAGTTCTGGACTTTGGCTTGGACCCCTTGCAGCAAGCTGAGTCTGAAAAAATTAAAAAAATTTCATTAGCTGATTATGAGCATGATCAGATTCATAATTTCTGTTTAATGGTTTATTACTGCTCCATGTTATGTTATTTTTGCCCTTCACTCTTACAAACTCTTTTGCACCATTATAAATTTGCCCAGACACAGTTGCATTTTAAGGAGATATACACCCTGTCCCCCCCCCCCCCCCCCCCCCTTGTGGATAAACCAAGCCCAAGGTGTTTTTTTTTAAACAAATTGTTTAAGTTTATTCTCCTCTGGACCAATGATTCTATAGAAGATAATAAATAACCCCACTCTTATTTTACCATTTCTTTGTATTCCCTTTGGAAAGGGGATTATCCTTCCCTTGGACAAACTTGATTCTTATTTGTAAACTCAAGGGTTCTTGTACTAAGTATGGTTGAATTTGGCCTAAATATGAAAAATATGAAAACTTGCTATTAATTAAATCAAATAGTAAAGACAGACAGATGGTAAGCAAACTTTGATCAGGGCTGTGTTCAAGATTATTATAGCTATCTAGCCTTGCAGTTAAGCTAGTGCTAGGTCTATTGCATGAACACAGTGTATGAATTTACACTTTTTATCCCTACTTAGGAACTATAGACTATAGCTCTACATAAAGCTAAGATCATGAATGCAGGCTAGAAAAGCTAACCTCATGCTCTGGTGAGCAAACAAAATTTACATTGTATCTAATGTACATATACATACCTCCATAGAATAGCCTTGGTTGACTTGATTTAGATTGAAGTCATTATAAAGTGACTGGTTGGTGAGAACGTTATATTCCATATTTACTTGAGGCAAGCGGTTTCGGCCAACTGAATCTCTCTGTAATTATAAAATCATGAATTAATCACATGTTAATTCAATGTAATTCTGTTGCGCATATATGGAAATCACTAGACAGACAGATACAGTGGGGTCGACATTGGACATTTTAGCAGATCGACCTGACATTTTGGCCAAATTGCCAGTAAAGTGGAGGATTTATAGGACATTTTAGCAGAATTTTAAAAGGGAAGTGGACATTTTAGCAGGAGAGTTAGGTCAAATTTATTCTGAATCATACACTTCTTCTGATTACCAGACTCTGCTACATCTAACATCTCACCTTGCTATTTTCAGACTCGAGCTGAGACAGTCGAGTTTTATATCGATCTCTCTCAGCTTTAATTTGTCTCATTTCTTCTTCGAGTTGAGATATCCTGTGTTGAGCTTTTTCTCTGTCACTTCGTTCATATTCAAAGTCTTCAGTACATATCTGTATTTGGTGTTTCAAAGCCTCAATTGACTCGGAGTTGCTGCTAAGACAAGTTCCCTCCCGACGAGAGTTCACCTCCTCTCGGAGTTTTTCTACTTCCTGTGTTAGGTGGGAATTGTATGTCAGGGCCTCATTTAATTTGGTTTCAAACTGATAATAGAGAAAAAAATGCGTAAGTCATTGCACAATTTGCACTTAGCAAACATGTCATGAAAACAATTTAGTATGTTCCATAAGTGAGATATGGTAGAAGTACTTTTTTCCGCATGGTATTAATTTATGCTATGTACACGGTCACACATTTTCCACGGAAATTTGTCCCATCGTACTTAATATACATGTGAGGCATATAGTGAGAGTCTAAGAAATCCGCGCAATTTTCTACCCATGGATTAAACAGAAATAGAGATTCTGTGGAATTATGACCCCATGGAAAAAAGTACGTCTACAGTATGCCTGAGTATGATACTGGGTGAACCAGTTAGAAGAAACTAGAAAACCAAACAGTTAAACAGTTTTGTATACTGTAGGTTCGTTATTTTTTGAGAGAACTTCTCACGAAATTGCTCTTTAATGTCAAATCGCAAGAACAATAATTCCTGAGTGGACGGGTGATCAAGAGATTTTACACTGAATTTTAGCACCATAAAAATAAAAGCAAGTAATTTTATTTCGTGAGTGATGCTTCTCACGAAATTATGCCTCACGTATATTTAAGAATCTACAGTAAAGTTCAGTAAGCTGAGGAACAGAAGGGAGTGTGTTGAAAATTCACCTCTTAGCTGAACATATTGACTTGACTTCAAACCTGGCACACTGGGAAATTTGAAGAAGACTGTATACAGTGAAATTTTCAACCTGTTTAATTTTCACCCCTATCCCCTTATCACAAGAGAGCAAGTTTAAAATGGGCGAATTCAAAGTAAATAGTATTATCTCTTTAACAAATCTGTGTCTGTCCGAGTTTTAAATAGGGCAAAATTTGTATGTAAGTGTGAAATGGCATATAACCCTGTATACAGTAAGTCTGTCACTCACCTCTTTCTTTTGATTTTCCATTGACTGCAGCTTTGTCTTGGCCTCCTCTAATGCACGGTTGATCGATTCCTCTCGCTCAGGCGTGACCATTAAAGCCTGGTTAGCCTCCATTTCAGCCATCAGCTGTTGAATTCTCTGCTCCTGCATTGTGTTGTAGGATTGCCAGCGATGGTTCATCTTCGTTACCTGTCAAATATCTTTGTTTCATTTTGTTGTCTAGATAGAATGATCTAGGATCACTAAAATGATAAAACCGGGATGTCCAAAGCTTGGAACTGTTTAGTGATGTCTGCAGGAATCAGAACAGCCATAATGATGCAGAAATTTTCCTCTTGAATTTTTTTTCTGAATTTTTAAATTTTAATTTGGTAAATAATAATATAAATATATAAAAATTAGGGATGTCAAATTGATCAACTTTTGATAATCGGTTACTCGGAAGTTTTTATGATCGAGTACCCGGGTACTCGGTAAAAATATAAATACAAGTGTGTTAATTTTCATAGGCGTCGGTACCGGGGGGTGGGGGTGGGGGGCTTTGTTCCCCTCCCACTTTTTTTGCAAAGGTAGACATAATATAGGCATTGAACATTGGGGCGTAGGTTTAGCCCCCCCCCCCCCTTTCAACAGCTAGGCACATTGCAGTCTAATATAAGAAAGGTAAGTGGTGGCGTTTGAAAAAAAATGGTATTGAAAGAAGTTCAATCGTACCCCCCCCCCCCCCCCCCCCCCCCCCCCCCCCCCCCGAAATAGGATTTTCGGGTTTGGACGGACGATTTGCAATTTTCATTTTCCTTTTTTTTTTTTTTTTTTTTGCTTGTTAAGTTTTTTTCAGGTTTAATTTTTTTCTCTTTCAATTAGCCCTCTCCCCTTTTTCAAATTGCTTTCGACGCCTACGATTTTCTTGAGCCCCGTTAAGCTCTGTTAAACTCCAAAGCTAATTTTATCACGTTTATATATGTATATAAACATCGAGTCCAACGGGAATGATTTTTTGGTACTAAATTTATTTATCAAATAAACACAGAAGACACAATTAATACATCAAAAATCAGAATATTGTTTAGGATCTATTTCATCAACGCAAAAGGAGGACAATCTGTTACGCAGGTTTGTGATGATTAAACTAGCGAAAGAGAAGGTACGGACGTTGTTGGGATCGCTAGTCTAATATTATTTCATATGTTGGTTGTTTCCCCCGTGTACACTAAACTTACTACGCAAACTGACTTTCAACATTTTTTGAATCTTTAATTATTTCTAAATATTTCTCAACTTTTGAAGTGGGTAGCAGCATTTCTATGCATGTCCGATTTCGCTGCCATATATTAACATTAAAACTGATTTTAAGATAATAGACCATACTTAAACGATGTTCACTGAAAACAATCATTGAAGCCATCCAAAAATTATGGACCACAATAGGTGAGAGCAGCTGTGTACCAGGTGATTGGTCACTAATTACTGTATATACACTGCCACAGGCGATAACGGGTGTTTTACAGGTGTAGATGACAACACGCTAAATACCGTATGCATATTTAAATTTTTTTTTTTGATAAGTTTTTGATAAAAATATGTTCTTTGAAATAAGAAAAAATACACATCCGAGTAACCGAGTACCACTTTTAGTATTTGATACTCGGACGTTCGATCGAGTACCCGGTTAACCGGGTACTCGTTGACATCCCTAATAAAAATATGTGTGTATTGGTAGAGAGGGTGAAATCTACCGTCTGTTAGTGTGCTGTTAAATTTTAATGGTAGAATTAATGTTGAACTCACATAAGGTAATATACTTCATTTGTATAACATTACAATTCTAAGACATAGAAGTCTTGAAAATGAATATACAGTCAAACCTTGTTATCTTGAACTCGATGGGACCGCGAAAGAACTTCGAGACATCCGAGGATGTATCGAGGGTACCAGGTACTTAAAGAATAAGGGGTTGTGACTTCCAAATCACTTCAACATATCCGTGGTATTCGAGATATCAGAGTTCGAGACAATGAAGTTCAACTGTATTTTATCTCTTCATTATTCTACATGTTCATTTTTAACCTTTTTCTTCCTCCCCTTCATATTTTTTTAAACATACCTCTTCTAGTTTGGACTTTAATGAAAAGTTTTCCTCTCTCAGTCTTTCTATTTCCTCTGAAAACTTGTCTGATCCCTTTTTGGAAAAAAAAACTTAAATTAATCATTAGAAAAATTAATAAACATTTCAATTGCTAGTAGTTATGAATAAAAAGCTTGAATTAAAATTACAAGAAAGATAACTTAGTAATACACAAGCTTGCAGTCATTTGCATATAGTAACTGTACATAGCCTGTTCTTCTTTAGAGTAAAAAAGTTTATTAATTCCTTTGTCAACCTGTTTAATTAAATAATATTTAATAAAGGTACGTAAATAATTAGGTGGAGTAGGTCTGACCTTTATTCTTTATAGTCAGACCTTTCACATGGGGCAATAATTACCTTGAGTTGTGCCCCTTGTTTGGTTTTGCTGTTTTCCAGACGTAAAGCCATTTGTTGGCACTGGGTCCCCACATCTGTCAGTTGTTGTTGTAAGTTGTTTTTCTCCTCTGCGAGAGATAAACACAACACATCTCGCGTACGTGAGCTCTCTCGTAGTTCCTCTACCGTGGTAGTCAGCCGTCGAATCTGAGCATCTTTCTCGTCTGCAGAATTTGACAGAGCTCTCTCAAGGTCATTCAGGCGGGAGACCTTCGATTCGAGCTGTTGTTGAAGGGTGGAATTTTTCTGGGTCAGCTCTTTGACTTTCTATAGAAGAAAAGTAAAACTGTATTAGATTATGATCATATACGGATGTAGAAAAAGAAACTCATAACTTAATAACCCTGGTATCCAAGCTGGATTTTCCCTCTAATTTTGAAAGTTCAAGCACAGGATCTATGATTTTGTATTAGAGAGAGTGCTATATTATATAGTATAAGAGTCTGGGGTTCCTTCGAGGTCCAAGCAGGTCAAGGACAACTGACATTTGCGGGACTTGGGAGGAAAACCCATAAGCCTCTGATAATTGGCAATTAGTATACCTTGTTTTGACACAGATAAATGACTGTAATTTTACCTTTTTTACATCAATGTATGTCAGTGAAAACTTTGACTGAGATACAATTTTTTCTGATTTAGTCGGGGGAGTGAGCTAGAAGCATCCCCGCCTGAGTCCACACCTGAAGTTAAAACACTAAGCAATAAACTACATGATCAGCTTAGATATTAAATTCCTCTGAACTTTTCTAATAAATGAAAGTACTTTTGATTTTGAAAGGGTTGAAGGGTTGAAGTGGGCAAGCAATCAAAATTGAAGTAGGATAAATAAGTTACGAAGTAATGAAAAGAGGAAGGAAATGGTGAAGGTAAATTGGATTCCATTAAAATTAGGGATGGCAACGAATATTCGAACATTCGAATATTCATTCGATGAGTTGATATTCGAATATGAATTTAAGATTCGAATATTCGGTGTGTTTTTTTCAGATTTCATAAAAAGAACTACTGTGATAATAAATTTTGATTAGAACAATGCTGGAATTATCCCTGTTTAATTTACTAGCAATCAATTTCCATCGACTGATTTCTTTCACTACTTTCTTATCTTATAAATCTTCTAAATTACATGTATTTTGTTTCGAGTAAGGTGTTATAAAGAATTGAACAATAATGCTTTATGTATAATACAAAACGTACTTTCATAGTTTTTATTAGTTAGATACGATCGGATCAAGAATCAAGGACAACAAATGAAATCTAAGAATGTCTAAAAGGCGTGAAGAGTATACTTATCAAAATAAAATTAATTGATCATTGAATGAATGTCCGATAAAATTAATCTGTAATTAATATTGTAAAGGGCTTAATTTCAGAATAAATGTGTAAATTACTTGATTATCTCGGGTTGTATATAATTTATATTCATTATCGGGAAAAGAGTTAATTACCCAGGAAAATTGTCTATGAAAATATTTGTTTACATTGTATCAAAGATTATAATCATATCTCTTATCAGGCAGATAATTGTAATTTATTACACGTATTGAAAATGCGTTACAGCTATCTTGCCTTTTGTGAGACGACTGGTTCCTCAGGTGGGGCTACTATAAATAAACGTTTCATTTGGTAAAATTATACTTTTCTACATTTAAATCAATTATTTATTTCAAACATTGACAAATATCAAATGGAATTTCTTATTGTACACCTACAAAAGTCTTCATACAATTTTACTTCCAATATAAGTATACCTACACTAATCCTTTCATGAGAGTAGGATGATGTATGTTTAAAATAAAACAGATTTTATTTATTTTATCGAATATTCGAATATATTCGAATACTTTCATTGAATATTCGAATATGAATTATTGACAAAATTGACATCCCTAATTAAAATTGATTTTGGGATTACATATTAAAAAGGATCTCACTGCATATCATTTATGTTTGAGGAGTATGTGTTGGAATGGTGTCACTTTAGATGTGAAATGAGATACCAGTGTGCACACAAACTAAATTTGTGCATTACATGGTGTAGGAGCTAGGGGATTCAATAATTTTGCTGATATACTGTAAACCAACTTTTATTCGTGAGCGAGAAATATCCGTCATGAACCAAGTTATTCACCTATGTATTTATGTAGACTGCTGCCTTCATCGAGAAAACAAGTTGTCGCGGATGGCTTCCAAACTAAAGAAATGCGAATAAAAGATATCTTGAACAAGGCCAACAATAAAAAATGATTTGTTTGATGTACTCCGACCAATCCATTAATATTGCCCCTACCCAATCATTTTTTTCAGTACTTCTAAATCAATTTCTTTCTTTTTTAAAAATAGACTAACTGTATTGTTTTTAATGTTAAGGTCTATCAATTTTCTAAGATACTTAAAAGATTTTACAGAAATAGATAATTTATTTAATTTGTTTAAAATTAGCTGTCAGGTGTCTATGATGAAAATTTCAAAGTCTGTGATTTATAAGCGATAGTCAAAATGTTAGAAAATATTTTTTAAAAAAAACTATCTTCCCACCTTGAAACATTTGGGTCGGAGTACATCAAACAAAAAATTTTTTACTGATGGCCTAATAGTTGGTTTACAGTATATTATACTATAGAAATAGAAAACATAGCTACAATAACTATATGCTTGTGTCCCCTCAATAATAATGTCTGGTGAATTTTTTTGCTTCTATCAAAACGATTTTTGCTTGTTAGTGCCTCCACCTCCCCACCCCTCAACTGAAAATGTTTTGTTATGCCCCCATCCCCCCCCCCCCCCAAAGGTGAAATTGCATCCTATGGGCCTGCACATAATAATAAAAATTGTGTATGTATATTACATCAAGTGTTAATTAATACATTTGCTGTTTTTGGCAGCTATAGCTCCACAACATAACTTCCACGTACCAGTATAGCATTAAAATGATTAATAAGGGTAAAAAAAAATAAATGCTAATTTGACCAAATATAGAGAGCTATGATATATTTAGATCATATTAAAATTATGTCATCAAAGAGACTTTAAATTTGGAGACTTTACAGGCCTATATTTAAAATAAGTCAATGCAGAAAGGGATAAAACATTGATCACATGTTGATGAGAAAAAAATTTACATTATGGTAACCAGTGGTACTTTCAATGTATATTTACAAAATTACCCTTTCTTTCCTCACTTCATTTTTCAGTATTCTATAACTAGACAATATTATTTTCCAGCTCATTTTCAAAATATCCAAAAAAATATTCATTATTTGTGATATATGTACTACACTGTAATCATTCAAAGACAATAATATATGTATATACCACACATGTACTAGTATTTAACAGTACTCTTTAACATTAAATAATGTGAAAGTTGGCGAGTGGAAACTTAATTGGCAGTTATTAGAAATTTGCCGTTTACACATTGTTAAAGTTTTTACTTTTACAATATAATTAGATCTATATATAATTGATTTGATAAGTACATACTTTAAACATAATTAACATTTAAATTAATATAATATTTTATCTTTCCTTAAGGGGATAAAGGACACATGGTCACATGTTAAACTTTGTTAAACTACGTCATAGTCTCCATTTATATAAGTGCAAAACGTGTAAAGCATCAGTTCTTGTATAAATTTTTGACAATTTTTTTTCATTAATTACCATCTTATATTAAAAAAATGAAAAGTTTAACATTCTTGTAAACATTAACAAATTATGAAAAAAGATTGATCCACTCTCTGTTTCTTTAAACTGTGCGTCCAACAAGTCGGTGACGTCATACACGATCTGCTAGTACAGCAAGATCATACTCGGTGAATACAAGGGTGGTATTATTATGTAAAAACAGGTCATAATCAGTATAGAATGAAGTATTTTGAGAAACGGGGAACACAAAAATTATTTTTGCATGGCTGATGACGGAAATCTTACGTAGGTATATCTTATTTCGCTTTAATTTAGCTTACGTGTGACGTCATAGTTTGTTTTTCCCGTACTCGAGAAATGTAAACATGACGAGTTTTTGTCCTGCTTATGTCGTCTTTAACGATGTCCTGTGCAATATTAAGGTCAGCTTCACCATTCAAAATTTTTACAGTTAATCAATAATTTGAAGGACTTGCATTTCAACGTAAATTTAAAAATAAAGGATTTTTTGTAAATTACGTTTTTTGTTGTTTAAGTTGTCTTAAAAAGTTTGTAATTTTCCCTATCCAGATGCAGTGTGATAGATGAAACTTGCCTTTTCGAATTTTAAACCCAATTCATACTCTGAAATATTTTAAAAGATACATGTTCACTTACATATTTTTTATATATGCTTTAAAAATCCAATTATGGACAGAGTAATGAGCCCGGAAAAACGGAGAATTAAAACTCCACTTAGATACTTTAGGGCATAATATTTGTCAATTAATATCTCTAAAATAAGGTAAGAAACCTAATGATATAACTGCTTTAAGATATGTGGGACATACTTAATAAGAAATATACAAAATATAAAAAAAAATTGAATGACAAGTATTTTTTCAGCTAAAGGTCCTTCTTCCCCTTACATAAGTTTTTTTTTCAGTTTCATTTTTCGAAAAATAATCAAGTTGAGAATAAAGATTGTGTGAAATTGTAAAATTTCACACATCAAATAAAACTTTGAACCAGGATGTAAAAGATTTGTTAGGTATAGACTATAATATCGACCTTTGTAAAAAATTAATCTTCTGTCAAATTTCTGTGTAAATCTTATTTGAATGTGGTTTAACACTAGACAAATTATTACTATGATAATATATACATGTTACTGTTTTTAGGGAGAGGAAACACAGAATTCTCTCCTTTGGTCGTAATGATTGGTCCTTTAAACCCGCCAATCACGAGGCAAAATACTTACCTGTTGTAAGGTTTGAATTTCTTCCGGGTCGTTTGGGGACGATCTCAAAAGCTGTTTTAATCGAGAGTTTTCTCGAGAGAGGTTTTCAAGAACTTGTTTCGAGGTACCGGGAATAAAAACGTCGCTTTCTTCCAAACTGAGACTTGCTGATAACCCATTATTAATTAATCTACTTTGAAAATTCCGAATTATCGTCTCCAATGTCTTCACTTTTTTAACAAGACCAACATTTTCCTGTTTGGTCTCTTGTAAGAGTCTTGAAAAAGTTTCTACTCCCCCGTGGCGGATCTTATAGGTATGGAGTTCAGCTTGACATTGTTTCAGAAGAACTTTCATGTGTTCTACTTTCTCCTTATAACAGTCCCTTTCCTGTTCAAGACTTTGCTGCACAGACAACGAAGACTCTGTAGAATTATTCCTGGTCATTTCTGTCGCCATCTAAACAAAATATTTAAGCTAAATGACACATCAAACACGGTATATCCAATACTTTCAAACACACCTAACCAATATATGCGAAACCAACACTTTCTTGCACAAATCGATAATCAAAACGTGACACAAGTGGATGTATTGGTCAAGAAATGTCCAGTTTTTATATTCCCGTGTTGTATTAAGCTCTGAAATCGCTGAAACTTTGAAAAATTCATAAAATAGACTCGATGGATTCCACAACTTTTAACCAGTATTGTAGAATTCTTACCTTTAGGCGCAGAATTAACGGGAAATTCCTTTCGATAAACACACAACCCTTACGTTGTAAAAGTAGGGGCTTTTACCACTCATCGACCTCAGAGCTATATTTAGCTGTTCAAATTTCGAGGGGGAAATACCTTATAGTCTGTTTCAGTTTAAAGAAACAAACACCGTAAAAAAAAACCCTTTGTGTGATGAACTGGTGAAAATGTCATTGTCAATCAAAACAATTGAAAGTGGCCACAAAAATTTCCGGAGCAAATCATGTGAAAGAATTTTGATTAAATAGATATGTAACTTCAAAAAAAAGATTTAGAAAGTATTTATTTACATGTACATTGTCGATGTCAAGATTTAGGATATAAATAAGGATAGGCAAATCAAATATTGTGATACTTGATGCTATGTGAAATAGCTATGAAATATGAACTCTCTTTTTTTAAGTTCTGTACAAGTTCTGTGACGCCGGATCTGCTGCCAGGATTTTTTTCTTTCTGACAGTAACAAATTGATAACATGTGTATAATTGGACAAGTTCAGTGTAATTAAAAATGATATTTTAATTAGGCATTTGTCAAATAAAAAGAAAAAAACCTAACCCAAAACTAAGTGCACTATCTTAGGATAATAATTAGATTATGTTTTAAAACTTTTTTTCGATCGAAAACGAGAGTGACCCCCCCCCCCTTTTAAAGGTACGTCAGACCATGCGCGGATCTAGAGGGAGGAGGGGGTTCAGGAGGGTCCGTACCCCCCCCCCCCCCCGGAATTTGCAGTTATTAAAAGTACACTGTATACACTGAAGCAAAAAAAATGATTTTTTTTTTAAATCCACCTCCTAGAAAACGTGGATCCCATCACGAAATAGGTTTTTTTTTCACGTTTTGGAAATGGATTTTACCTTTTTTATGTTAAGTAAGCCTACTTTTGTTATGTAACAAAAAATTGAAAACTACAATTTAAAAAAAAAAAATACATACCTACCTATACCCACTATAAAAATTTTAGGTCGGCAACTGCAAACAAAGAATTTTCAAAGCTTGGCCTTAGATTTTTTTTTTTGACTGGGATGGAACCCCTGGAAAAGTAATCCTGAATCCGCACCGCAGGCGACACCTTCCTCAATAATAATAATATGTAATTTTTCCCGAGGATTTGTCATTGAATTATGGCTACTTTAATAAATAACATTTGTGCAAAATACCACGATACTATATAATACAAAATACCAAAATACTATATAATTCTACTTGAAATCCCTTGAATTGTCAATATCACAATCTTTGGTGTATTTATTTTGTTACACAATTTGAGAACCGTTTAAAAACCACAAAGGTAATTATGAATAATTTTCTATATTTACATTCCACATGTACTTTTCTACGAAAGCCTATAATAACGCCTTTTAGAGAGGCGTTATAAATGCGTCAATAAAGGCGTCAAAAGGCGTATATAACGCCTTTCTAAATGGAGGATATTCAATGTTTTGTAGATGAAATATGAATTTATTTCACGAGTGGGACAGGATTTTTTGATATTTTCATGAGTGCAAAGCACGAGTGAAAATATCAGAAATTCCTGTCTCACGAGTGAAATAAATTCCATATTCATCTACAAAACATTGAATTTTCTGTTTATTACATTTTCTTTGATTTTCCCTTTGCCTCTGTCTTTTCTTAACACAGCGTCATAAGCTTGACGTCTTAGTTGAGCGGTTGAGACGTCATAGCTTAGAAGTTGTGTGTCAGATTGAAAACATTACATAGCATGGATTTTAGCAACATATTTAGGAAGAAATTTGCAGTTTTAGCTCTATCAAGATGCTTAGTTACTATCTCTATCTTATGACAGTCCAGAAATTATTTTTTACTTACTTTGATATCCTTTCACACTGTGAGAGAATATCATTTTTGGTATTCTTTCACACTGTGAGAGAATATCACTTTTATTCAATAAATAAATCACAGTATTTCACTATTGAAAATGTAATAAAGGGCGTTATTACGCCTTTTTAACAGTGGCGGATCCAGGAATTTCACAACGGGGGGGGGGGGGCAGTAGGAGGCAGGGGGTCTGGGTGCTGCATTGAAGCCCCCAGTGGGTCCAAGGCAAAGCTCTGGTGGGGGTCGAAGGCAAAGCCTCCGTAAGCTGCCGAATTCATTTATCAATTTATGTACTAAACTGAAGGTAAATGCTTGTTATACAAACAAAATTTCAACAACAAAAATCAGACGGGGGGGGGGGCCGCTTTGCCCGCCGGCGCTGGATCCGCCTTTGATTAATACGCCTTTTAATTTTTTCACCCATAGATTGATCCTATAACAGGCTTTCGTATGTGTGGAAAGCTATACAGCATACAAAACATGGAGGGGGGGGGGGTCAAAAGGTTAAAGTATGCGTTTGATTTTGACGTTACAAACGTTTGACGCCGTGCAAGTGCAACGTCATAAGCGAAAATCAAAATTGTATTTGTAACTTACCTGAGGGATAATACAGGGATTTTTAAAAAGCAGACAAAGCAAGGAGTCCAAAAAAGTAAATAAAAGCATTAATTTGAATTATCGTTTTTTGAAAGATGTAGAATCATAACTGCAACGCTGTGTGCAAACAAATTTTCATTATACCAGCTATAACGCGTTACTCAATTCGTTTGCACCGTTGCAGTTACGAGACTATATCTGTCAAAAAATAATGAGTCAGTGCTTTAAAATACCAAGAAGAGATTTGAGGAACGTGTCCTCAGACCTTAAACAAAAGTGACCTGGGACAGTGTTCAATTTCTTTCTCCTCTCTCTCTCTCTCGTCATTTTTTTCTGACTGCCCCCGATCGTCGAAGACCACAGCCAATATGCGGATTACGGATCGTGGTTTGAGACGAACACCCCCACCCCCCTCAACAAACACACACACTTTCAAAAAAAGGATGTCTTTTTTCAATCATGTATTATCATAGTTTTTATATATTTCTTATTTCTATCTGATAATTAATAACAATTAATCTAAGGTTTGCCTCTATTGAAAACATTGTATAATGGCTAACCAATTATCTTCACATGCACACACACACACCCTCACTCTCACATTGACAAATCAAAGTACTCAGAAGTACAGAGAGCCGGGCTCATTTACAGAAAAGTGAACAAGTCCGTTTTATATGAAACATACATTGTAATAACAGATGACTTAAAGAATATGTAACACAAATTAAAATATATTTATGGCATATAGTATAAATAAGAAAAATGTTTAAAAAATTAAATAAAATGCAGTTTGAATTTAACAGCGTAAACAATTTATCACATGTATCGTTTCGGGGTCTAACATCACTTACAGAAGTAAATAAACATTGATGCAGCTAGGTGAAACGTTTATACACAGACGGGTCCTCAGCGGGGAGTTTTGCATAAAGGTGCGCATCGGGTCACGTGCTCCCCGCATTAGTGTTAGCCTGATAACACAAGGTTCTTTATTTATAGAATGTGACGCGCTGACAGAGATTTGATGAAAACCTTTCGCATTTTTTGAACAAATAATTAATTGAAGAAGAGGGGAGAAGGTATATTACCACTAATGTTTTCTTTTTGGGTTTAGAGAATTTCTTGGTTAACTTAAATTTGTTTTATTTAGTGTTTGTATTGCTTCAAAGGTGGTTGAGCATACGTACTATATTCTTACTCGTATTTGATTTGGCGGTGAGGAAGCAGCATTTCCGGTTGAACACCGTAACAAAAGCCGGCTATTGCTCTTCGAGCAATGAGCCCGGCTAAAAATTGAATAAACATAAAAATATAAATCTGAGTTGAAATGTAAGAGAGTATCGATCACTAAATGAGGAAGTGATTAAAAATTTAGGAAACAACGATCTGTATGTTTTTGTTTTTCCCGGTTTCCAATAACTTTATCAATATGATTCATAATCGAATGATAACCAAATGTGTCATGTGCAAGGAAGGGGAAGAATTTGTATTCAGTCATGCTTTTAGCCACATGGTATTTAGTTTTGTTTTAATTTAGAAATGACAACTATAAATAAAAAGGAATTATTGTAAAAAATGTAGAAATATTCATGATGGAGAAGTGGGCCATTTCTCTGTCTTCGGATATTTGTGAATTCGAATGCATCCTACTAAGCTTTTCAGTTCATATAAAGCATTCAAATACAGCGAATGCTAATTTTACTTGTCCAGTAATTCCTAATTGCTATGAAACAACGCAAAATGTAATAATAGCAGTTTTGCGTCTTTATATTTCATTTTGCGTCTTTATTGTATTTTACGTTGTAATGCTATATGACATACTCGTACTTTTAATAGTATTATATTTTCATTCCATGGGCATGCAGTGTCATACTTTTAGTGTAGCCAGAGACATATATATGTCTCTGGTGTAGCCCCATACGTATTACTTCATATTTGGCATATTTTTATCTTAAATCGCAGAAGTTAATGGAAAATTCAGAACAATTTTTTCACAGGGAATGGGGCATGGGGCACCTCTTTTTTTTTTGTTGTTTTGTTTTGTTTTGTTTTTGTTTTTTGTTTTTTTTTTTTTGTTTTTTTTTAGAGTTTACCTATTTTCTTAGAATTAACAATAATATAAACACATTACATAATATTTACATTCCAAAAATAGAGGAGATTTTTTTTTCCCCATAGCATAATTTCTTGCTGTTGTTTGCTACCAGTTGATCAACATTTATTTCTCTCTCCTTACGAGAGGAAAGGCCGGGGGGGGGGGGGCTGGTGCGCCGCGCTTGCTTTCACTATAATAGAAAACTATTGAAAACTTTTCAAATGATTACATTAGCTTAAAATGAATTTCTTGTGTCTTCTTCTTCACAAAGGGAAACATAGTTTTATCCTGAATTCATCCCCCCATTCTGTTCTTCCCGGTATACCAGCGTATCAGGGTCTCTCTTGTCCTTCACCTTAATGCTGATGAAATTTGATTATCATCATAAGACAATTTGTCAGGTACATGTACCACTATGGCCAACATATGATCTTAATCTTTGAACCCGGCCAATTTATGACTTTTCTTTTATAAAGGCAAGAAAATCTGTTTGAAACAGACTTTATATTTTTATCTTTTGACCATATAATATTTGATGTATGTGTGAATTGCCACCAAATGACGACTTTTGATTTTAAACAAGAGATGTTTGTGAAACATTTACCCCCCCCCCCCCCCCAATAATTGGAATTCTTCTAAGTCCAAGGGTATAACTCTGTCAAAAATTGCTCGATAGTACCCAAAGCAGAACTGACCTAGATATTTTTATGATAAATCTGTATACCAAATTTCATTTCACATAGTATGTGCAACCTCTGCAAAGGAAATGATCAGAAACTGCAAATAATTGGAATTTTCCTAAGTCCAAGGGGCATAACTCTGTCAAAAATTGCTCGATTGTACCCAAAACAGAACTTGACCTAGATATTTTTATGATACATCTGTATACCAAATTTCATTTCAGTATGTGCAACCTCTGCAAAGAAAATGAACGGAAACTGCAAATAATTGGAATTTTCCAAGGGGCATAACTCTGTCAAAAATTGCTTGATCGTACCCAAATCAGAACTTGACTTAGATATTCTTATGATAAATCTGTATACCAAATTTCATTTCAGTATGTGCAACCTCTGCGAAGAAAATGAACGGAAACTGCAAATAATTGGAATTTTCCAAGGGGCATAACTCTGTCAAAAATTGCTTGATCGTACCCAAATCAGAACTTGACTTAGATATTCTTATGATTAATCTGTATACCAAATTTCATTTCAGCATGTGCAACCTCTGCGAAGAAAATGAACGGAAACTGTTTGTGGACCAACAGACAGGCCGACAGTAGCAAAGCAATATTCCCTCCCTTCTTCGAAGGGGGGATAAAAATGTGTTTTGGCAAATAGATTTGTCTGGAGTAGACCTTTGATCTTTGATCCAGGATTACAATACATGTAGTTGGTGTATCTGCATACAGGAAATCAGTCTGACCCTTTAATGTGAAAAAAAAATCATCTAGGCAGTGGGATCATCATCAGTGAATCTTGGGTAGGCCTAATGATACTTGTGGCTGTCATCTGTGTATGTGCCATTATGACCTTTTTATACTACATTGACCTTGACCTTTGCATTAAATTGAAGAAAAGTTTTATTGAACTAAAAACAACATTATAATCCAAAATTAAATTTATTTATTGAAAAATAGAATAACAAAAGAAATTGTGATGAAATATACAGGTAGAGCTGCTTATCAAAAAAGTATATAATATACAAGCACTATACACGAAGTCCTTATGTTAAGAATGCGTAGGAATGATGAACATTTGTGAAACAAGAGCAAATAAATATTGGGACTTAAAAAATATGAAAAAAAAATCTCATAAGATTATGTCTATTTTTTTCAGATCCATATTTACAATAATATCATAGATATGTAATAATCCATGGATTATGCTTTCTCGCATAATCACCGGTGTGAGATTGACTTGTCCGGTGTGAGACAGCAGTGTGAGATTTTTCTGTCTTACACTGTGTATTACTACGCCGCGAACGATAACGTAAACATTCCGTCTTTATATAAAGAAATTGTAACAATGTTAAAAAATATTACATATACTTAAAATGTTGTCATTTGACTTATTAAGATAAACTTATTTTCATTCAAAATATTGTCGTATTTTCACTTTTTAAATGGCACTATTTTTAGATCGCGGAAGGGTCTTCTTGAATGAATGTGTACGCTTTCGGATAGATAAGTTTTTTTATTCCCAGTTTTTATCTATCTAATTAATTTACATGGACTGAAATTCATTTTATCAGTTTACACTGCGTGTAAACCATTTTCAGGTACGCTCTCTCTGATGGTGTATTTAGATTTTTAATTAGATGGAAAATTAAAATATATTTTTAGCCCTATCATAGCGACGTCATTGACAGGCCGTTATTTTGGATAAAATAATGCGAGAAAAATAATCATTCATTACATACTCGTGTGGGAATAGTGAAATTCCACATCGGGGCCAAGATTCACGGTCTAGGACTCGGCAAAGCCTCGTCCTAGACCGTGAATCTTGTCCCCTTGGTGGAATTTCACTATCCCACACTCGTTGTAATGAATGATTCTATTAATCACAGTACAATGGAAGTCCAAACACATAATATTATGTGGTCACTGATGAGACATATATATGTTACAGAATTTAAATTTTACATGGGTTTCCATTACATTAAACAGGAGACTTTGCATATAATTTAATATCACTTCAACATGTTGTAAATGAATAAACAAGAGGCCCAAGGGCCTTAACGGTCACCTGAGTATAATACAACAATTTAGAAGTTAAATACACTGATAGATGAAGCATTGTTGCCCTAGCCCCCCCCCCCCCCTCCTCAAGAACCCCAAAAACTGAGGCCATATATTTAAAAATTTTGGAAGAGGCATCCTTGTCTATCATAATCATGCACTTAGTTTGTTTAAATAATCTCCAGTAGCAGAGAAGAAGTTTTTCAAAGAATCAATGCATTTTCACTATATAATCAATAGAGCCCCGCCCTAACACCAGAACCCCTGACCCTGGGGCCATGAAATTCACAATTTTTGAAAAGGCATCCCTATGCGTTTAAATAGTCTCCAGTAGCAGAGAAGAAGATTTTCAAAGAATTAATGCATTTTCACTATATAATCAATACAGCCCCACCCTAACACCAGAACCCCTGACCCTGGGGCCATGAAATTCACAATTTTTGAAAAGGCATCCTTATGCATCATAATCATGCACTTAGTTTGTTTAAATAATACCCAGGAGCAGAGAAGAAGATTTTCAAAAAATTAAAGCATTTTCACTATATAATCAATAGAGCCCCGCCCTAACACCAGAACCCCTGACCCAGGGGCCATGGCTTTCACAATTCTGGAAGAGGCCCACCTCCTCATCATAACTATGTACTTAGTTACTTTATTAAATACCCAGGAGCAAAGAAGAAGATATTCAAAGAATTAATGCTTTTTCACTATATAATTTATAGAGCCCCGCCCTAACACCAGAACCCCTGACCCTGGGGCCATGAATTTCACAATTTTGGAAGAGGCACTCTTGCTCATCATAACTATGTACTTAGTTCCTTTATTTAATACCCAGGAGCAGAGAAGAAGATTTTCAAAGAATTAATGCATTTTCACTATATAATCAATACAGCCCCGCCCTAACACCAGAACCCCTGACCCTGGGACCATGAATTTCACAATTTTGGAAGAGGCACTCTTGCTCATCATAACTATGTACTTAGTTCCTTTATTTAATACCCAGGAGCAGAGAAGAAGATTTTCAAAGAATTTATGCACTTTCACTATATGATCTATATAGCCCCACTCTGGGGCCAGAACCCCTGACCCTAGGGCCATGAATTTCACAATTTTGGAAGAGGCACTCTTGCTCATCATAACTATGTACTTAGTTCCTTTATTTAATACCCAGGAGCAGAGAAGAAGACTTTCAAAGAATTAATGCATTTTCACTATATAATCAATACAGCCCCGCCCTAACACCAGAACCCCTGACCCTGGGACCATGAATTTCACAATTTTGGAAGAGGCACTCTTGCTCATCATAACTATGTACTTAGTAACTTTATTTAATACCCAGGAGCAGAGAAGAAGATTTTCAAAGAATTTATGCACTTTCACTATATGATCTATATAGCCCCACCCTGGGGCCAGAACCCCTGACCCTGGGGCCATGAATTTCACAATTTTGGTAGAGGGCTCAATGCTTATTACAATGATGCCAACAGTTTGACTGCTTCATGTCCAGGAGTAAAGAAGAAGATTTTTAAAGATTGCATTATTTTTGGTGGTTTTAGCCCCACCCCTCAGGCCCCGGGGGGGGCAGGGACCATGAAATTCACAATTTTTGTTCCCCTTCACCCATAGATGCTATATACCAAATTTGGTTGAAATTGGTTGAGCGGTTCTAGAGAAGAAGTTAAAAATGTTCAAAAGTTAACGCACGACGGACGACGCACGACGACGGACAAAAACAGATAGCAATAGGTCACCTGAGTGACTCAGGTGACCTAAAAATTCAATTTCTCTCATGAAATAAATTACATGTAGCAATTAAATGTTTGTGATCAGAAACAAAATAATCAAGTTATGGTAATTAAATTTACTTCAAAGAAGATTTTGATTTCGCTGTTAGCCCAAGTAAAACTCATTACTGGACTTTATTTTGAAATTCATATGACAATATACTGAATACAGGGAAATTTTTGCCCCCGTTTTATTTCTGCCCCTTTTACCCTCTTCGCAAGTATGCCAATTTAAAATGGGCAAATTCAAATAAAACAGCACTTTCTTTTAATTACAACAGTGTTTGGGCAAATTTAAAATTGGGCAAAACTGTTTTCAAGTGTGAAAAGGCAAACATAACCCTGTATACAGTACATTGTTAATATTGCCAATCATCTTGAATGTCACAAGTTTTATCCTGGTAGTTCATCATTCAACAAAATTAAACATTTTAAAGACACAGATTTTCATGTATTGCATAACAAATTATTTTGCGATGAACCAGATTTCGTTATGTCTGTTGAAGAGCTCATATGGACTGTTATATCCTGCAGTGAAGAAGAATTCGGTGTGGAATTTCCCAGCTTCCTTAGCACTGATAGCCTGTTCTAGCTTTTTGGCTTGTTCCAACCATTTATCAATACCAATCACGTAACCAGAAAAGGACCTGTAATATAAAAAATATTTATTACAACAAGTGAAGATAGCGAAAAGTGATCGTGCTCCAAAGTTCATCTAAACAATACACGGACCTCTGAAAACAGAGGTCGGAGCATGTGCCATGGAGGAGTAAGCATCCCCTGTTGATCCACTGTATGCCCCGTGTCCAGATCATGTAAACAGAAAAATTAATAGGTAATTTAATGTTTAAATAATGGCCTAACATCTGTATGAAAGACATTGGTCATCATTTGACCTAACGACAGATTGTACATGTATTTGCAAAAAAGGTCATTATATCAACCACAGAATTTGGGAAATGTTGACTTTAAATGAATTTGTTGATATCAATGTATCATCAACTTATTTGTCAATCTGCTGTTTCCTTAAATGTATGAAATATTGTATCAGTGTTGTTCTTGGGGATTTCACATCAAATGCACTTATTGGCACAATTTGCCCATAAATCTTTATCTGATTACAAGTACTTGGATGATCCATTATCGGTATGCATGCACTCTGTGTACACATAGTAATAATTCTACATAAATTGTATTTTATACAATTTTCAATGGTAGTGCATGATAAGTACATGTACTGTAGGTTCCTAAATGTAAGCGAGGAATTAATTATCGCGTAATTTCGCGAGAAGTACAACCCACAAAATAAAATTACTCGCTTTTATTTTTGTGGTGATGAATTCAATGTAAAATCTCTTGATCAACCGTCAACTCGCGAATTATTGTTTTCGTAATTTGACGTTCAAGAGCCATTTCGCGATAATAAGTGCTCGCGAAAAATAAGGAATCTACAGTATTTAGCTCTTACCTCACATATACTTTCATCTGTGGCATTTTTTGAGGGAAAACCCCTTTTTCTGTGGGAGCTGGGGGATTTGTGACTTTTGGAGACATAAAGAATGACATGGTGAAATTATTCTCACAAGCTGGCCCAGGGCCTGGCTGAACCATGATCAAAACTGGGGCTGTCATGGCTATCTTTTCAGCTGTAAATAAAAAAAAAATATTATCATGAATTTCAAAAGAGGCAATTCTGAATAAACAGTTAAACATTGGTACCACAAACTACAATATCTCTAATATCAGGGATATGCATGTTGAAGTGAATTGGAAGTACCAGCAACTTTTTCTTCATATATTTAACCTCGAATATGTCAAATCCTTGGATTTTTTTTTTTTACGATAACAATTTGACTGTAAATTTTAAAAGACTGTTTTTCCCTTCAGTATTATGTGCTAGAGTTTTCCCTTGTCTATTCGAGTGAGTGATATCTGGTTTTGCCCTCCTTTGAAGTGTCCAATCAGGATGGAGGTCATTTCAGATCTGATATTGTCTCTACAGCTAAGACAAGTTATGACAAATTTCATTCTTACATTTTTCATTGGTGCCATTTATGTATCGAAACAGTCTCATGAAGTTAGTATACGATGCTTTTGTATAGTCAATCCCTGCTGTGTTTGATGACATCCACCCTGATGCTTCGTACAGGCGTACCTCATAATCCTATGTAAAAACAAGCACATGGATTTCAATCAACAAATGGTGAAAAGAAAAAGGTATCATTTTAAGGTATCATATTCAAACTATTCTTTTTTTCATTTTTCTAAAATGTAGTTTTCATAAATTATATTATATAGCTAAAAAGGTTTTTTTTTTTTTTTTTTTTTTTAAAAATGTGAAAATGATTACATTAAGTCACTAAATTGATCATGCTGATGTCAAATGCAAAGAACAATACATACAAATACATGTATTTAGAGGGATTGAGTTTTGAAACTTAGTCTGCAATACTACAAAGAACCTTAGTCTTTCCAAATGAAACCACCTGGTCAAGTGAAAATATGATAATCATTTGTAGAGTCAAAGTGCTATGTGTATTCTATGGGTCATGAAATTTTTTTTTATCTTTAAACACTGAATCAGGCGATTTGAAGAATCTGAATATTTTTCTCATTTAATCTCCCTCTTGACCACTGATGATCAAATGTAAAGCATGATTTAAAAGTCTATTTCTTAAACATTGGAAGAGAATGCATGTGCAAGATCATGAAAATGTAATCATTTTGGGCTGATTATGAATGCTGCTTTTTATTTAAGGAATAACTGTCTAATTTTTTGGATTCATGATGTGATCAATCGAGTGGCTTGCGTGATAATTTGCATAAACGCCGAAGGCATTTATGCATAAAATTATCATGCAAGCCAATTGATTGATCATCGTCATGAATCCAAAAAATCTGACAGTTATTCCTTATATTTACATGCTCCTGATTCTGCAAATTCCCGTGCTAATAGCCCCGCTTCTGTCTTTATTTGTCCCGCCCCGCACGTGATTTTTTTTAACCGCGCCTATCGATGAACCAGTAGATTTATGTAGAAATAAAGTATTTTTACGATTTGTAATTTTATCTTAGACAAAGACATTGGAAATGTAAATATTTGGCAATAAATTCAGGTGTTTTATATTCTTTGCTGCTCAAAGAAGTTTTTGTCCCCAGTATTTTATTTTCACCCCTTTTGCCTTCCTCACAGGTGGGCAAATTTAAAATGGGGTGAATTCAAAGAAAACAGTGTAACTTCTTATAAACATGTTATGATAAACAAAACAGTGACTAAGTGGATTTAAAACGGGGCAAAATGTTTGCAAGTGTCAAAATCTAACTTTCTGCAGTTTCAAAACCGGAAATAAAAAACACTTAATAAAACTTAAATCAGATCTAGACCGATTGTGATTCCGGAATCATCACCACATTTTAAAAAAAGGATCATAATCTGATAAGAAAAGCATCAAATGACAATGATTTTATGTTTACCTTTTTTATTCACTACGTTTAATAAAAACAAACGTGATAACCGAAGATCTCTGCTGCAGTACTGATTTTTCTTTACATGATCAAAATGATTTTTGAAATGAAGTAATTAACTGACGCCATTGTGTAAATAAATGGTGATTGCCGGCACTTTACGAGAACCCTGTACCAGTACTTGTATTGACACTGTCAGACCTAAAAACTTACAGATAAGTACTTGGGAAGATGTCTTCAGGTGATAAGAAACATTGTTATTTACAAAGGGTTGAAAATATAGTAAAACTAGATGGCTTGTGTAACAGATTCAGGTTTTTGCCTCCATTTGGGATTGAACCTGGAATGTTTGGCATGCCAGTCTAGTGCTCTACTGAGTTAAAAGTTAAGCCACTAGTCCATTAGCTAGTAATAAGCCATGTATCACACACTACTACATAATCCCTCTCCAGAGAAAGAGGTGTCCTCATTTCTTTTGGAGTGCCAGTACCTGTGGGGGCTAATTGTATTCGGCGCATCGGCGCGCTCGCGCAACAGATTTTGTTTATTAAATAAATTATCGCTTATACAATTCTGTTAGCATCGGGCGCGATATCATAAATAATCAAAGTACTGAGAAGTACAGAGAGCCGGGCCCATTTACATATGTACAGAGAAGTGAACAAGTCCGTTTTATATGAAACATACATTGTAATTACAGATGAATAACAACAAGACACTGGAAGAATATGTAACACATAAAAATATATTTATGGTATATAGTATGAATAAAAAATGTTTAAAAAAAATTAAATAAAATGCAGTTTGAATTTAACAGCGTAAACAATTTATCACATGTATCGTTTCGGGGTCTAACATCACTTACGGAAGTAAATAAACATTGATGCAGCAAGGTTAAACGTTTATACACAGACGGGTCCTCAGCGGGGAGTTTTGCATAAAGGTGTGCATCGGGTCACGTGCTCCCCGCGTTAGTGTTAGCCTGGTAACAGAACCTTTATTTATAGAATGTGAAGCTGGCAGACTTGATGAAATTACCTTTCGCATTTTTTAGACAAATAATTTATTGAAGAAAAGGGGAGAAAGAGTATTACCATTAATTTTTTTTTTTTGGAGAATATTTGTTTAATTAAGTGTTTGTATTGCTTCAAAGGTGGTTGAGCATACGTACTATATTCTTACTCGTATTTAATTTGGCGGTGAGGAAGCAGCATTTCTGGTTGAACACCGTAACATAAGCCGGCTATTGCTCTACGAGCAATGAGCCCGGCTAAAAAGAGAAAGTTTCATAGTTGGAATTATGTTTTGAAGCTTCAACATCATTATTTAACTGCCTGTGGTTTCTTTTATTCATGGCCACTAATTAATACAGTAAATACACTGGTTTTATCAATTTTCATTGGCATCAATTTTTGTGCAATCAGCGAATGACTCAGTATTTCGTGAACGCAGGTCATCATAAAACTTTTTGATATGCTTCTTACTCTAATGACCATCAAATTCTATTTTAATTTTCACTCTGCAAAACACAAAACCTCAAAAATTAATGTTTAAGGAATGTTGATGGAACCATTGTACATGTATTTTATATGATTGGATTTTTAATGAGATAAGTGGTTGAGAAGACTACAATATGGAGGCAGGACTTTATGTATACTGGCACATGATCTGTAGTGCAAATGATCTGTTTAGGTTTACAGGCCAGCCATTTCTGTAACTAAAGTTACTCCCCCTCCTGAAATAAAGACAAGTTAATTTTTAGTAGTAGTATTATTTTAATACGTAACAAGGAATCTTTGTCAAACACTGATACCAATGCGTGGCAGCTTATTGCCATGATAATCAAGTCTCTAAAAAAGGGGTTAAACTCTAGAGTCTAGGGTCATTACGTAATACCGGTAAATTTTTGTGATACATAAAGATATATATATACGAAGGTTGTCCAAAAAGTTCGTGGACAAATGCTTAAATTTCTTTTTAAAGTCCGCAATGGCAAACATGTACGATAATATCTTAATATAGACCATGATTGAGTAAATATACAAAAATTAAAACAATGCACACTATTTACTGAACATTATAGGTGTAAATACTTTGTATATGCAAGTTGCACGGGCCAGTCTGACGTAACGCTTATTTCATGATAACGTCAGAAATATGAATTTTGGATTTTTATCGCATGTTCATAGATGCACGCTATTTTTCTTTATTATGCCACATTGCCAAATGTGTGCAATAATGTTTATGTATAGATTATAATTAATTTAAATTTTAAAATTCAAAACAATACACAATAATTTACCAGCGTCATCAATATGAACACTTCGTAAACACAGGATGCACAGCCCAGCCCGACGGCGTTATATTTATAACAACGTCATGAATAGAAATTTATTATATACCCAAGTGTGTATCACTCAATTTTACTGTACATTTCGTACAATCACGTGACGGTGTGATCCGACTTTCCGGATCACCACACTGTGGTTTTCTGAATCCATATCACCCCTCTCTGAAATTGATGACGTAGTACACAGAAACATGACGTTATTTTTCATGCGCATCAAAAAGTTCCTGGACAAAATGCTTTGTTTAATGTAAAAATCTTATATAATTGATCTCAAAAGTTTTTAAAACTATATTTTGCTAGTTGAAAGGGGGGTATATAATAAATTTATCATTATAACAGCAACTTGATCCGAAGAGCCGTATCACGTCTCGTTGACAGGCGTGGATCATCAGATCAAACTCGACGCTTCGCGTCTCGTTTGATCTGATGATCCGCGCCTGTCAACTCGACGTGATACGACTCTTCGGATCAAGTTACTGTTATAATAATGTATATATATATCCTATTTTCATCAAATAACAGTGGTTTTCCACTTCTTGTATGTCTCCAAAATTTTACACACCGTTGAAAAATCGTTTTCACAAATTACAAATCATTAGACTAATATTTTCCAATAAATTTAGGTTGTTTGAATAAATATTTTGTTTTTGACGACTTTTCAACCATATTAACCATAATTGTATGATTGGACGCTGTCCCGTTCGGATGGCCGACGTCGCTTTTTCTGTCAATTTTTGAAACATACTTTTTGCGGTTTTCACTTAATATTTTCATTGTCTATTTAGTAAGCGATACTAAAGGTATCGGAAAATGGCGATAACCGTTTTATTTGTGATATATTAAATTTTTATTCAGCTTTGACTCGTTTTAAAAAGAAAATGATCATTTCAATCAGATCACTTTATTTAAAAGTTCATGGCATTTTAACCCTGGTCCGTGCGCACTATCGGCGACCTTTAATGACCGAGATTCTTACAAAAATATAACGTTCAAACAATAAAAACCAAACTATTCTGACTTGGATTTTCATAACTACCGTATAATGGGTATTTTCTGCGGTTGGAAAATTTTGCGATTTGACCCCTAAAAAGTAGTAAATTAATTTCTGCGTTTTCAATTTCTGCGGTTGCATTATGCCGCAAAAATTAATTTACAGGAAATGACAACCGGATGTTAAGGGAAAATAACAGTTCAAAGAACCAAACACGCATATTACAACCTTTTTATTTCCGTATCATAAAATGACAGTCAAAGTGATTAAAATTTTTCACACTCAAACGCTGAAAGTTAAAAGTATACAACTGTAAAAGTAAAATTTATCGATCATTAAAAAACGTCACAGTCAATGACCTAGTTTATTAGCTCAATACCACTGATAAAAATGTGAAAGAACAAGATCTATTTCACAATTCACAAGATGGGAACGTATATCCAACGGCTTCAGCAATTCCACTTTTTTCGAATCCTTTGTACACAAGCTTTTTGTCCGATTTAATTTCAGAATGAACTTGTACCATCCATTCTGCAGACAGTGGCTTCAGAAAAGATAGTCGCAGATCAACAGGGGTCAACGTTTTGTCTGTTTTACCTTTCTCTAGCTGCTTCGATATTTGTGATGCATACCATTTTTGAAACCGATCCTTTAGTTTGTCCTTTACAATTTTTTGCACTGTCAGATCCATCGGTTGTAAACGATCAGTGCAGTTTGGAGGTATAAACACAATGCAAATTCCATTTTTCTTTAAATCACTAATAAATTCTTCTCCCATCTGCGCCCTAAATACATCGAAAATGCATAATGCTTTTTGTGAGTCTGGAAGTCCAAGTCGTTTTTTTGTTTTTCGGATATGGGGCATGAGAATCTTTGAAGTGTACTCAAGCTGTGTCATGTTATTAGCCCAGTGGTTGGGACTTTGCGTTATATGCCAAGCTAATGGAAAGTCATAGGCCGGGTGGCATGCAGAAGTTGTCCCCTTGTAGATTAGCTGTGCAGGTATAAATTCTCCTGTTAGAGTGCCTACAAATTACGGGAAGCTAATTAAGATAATTGTTGCCCCGGGTGTTATTTAATGAACCTTGATACAAGTATAAGGGATGTTTTGTTTGTATAGTAAAATTTAATGAAAACGTGATTAAGTGTGAAAACAATACGTACCTGCAAACACTGCCGTTATCTGACGCTTGTCATCCAAGCCTACTATCGGAATTTTTGTTGAGCCCTGCACCTCCATGGTCCAGTTTGACACAGGTACGTAGTGTAATCCAGTATGGTCCCAGTTGTAGATAAGTTCAGGTGGAATGTCATTTTCGGAAACAGCGTTTTTAATTTTTGATAGAAATTCAGATTTAATCTGTTCAAATTTTTCATTAGGAATATGGGTCTTAGCAGTACAGCTCCCCCGGCGCTTAACAAAACTCATTCTTTGCAATAAAGAATAGGCCCAGGTTTTTGTAAGAGTTATGGGACCACCATTTTCTGAGAGAAGTTGCTTATCCTCAGACATGACAATGCCCATTCCTACCGCGCGCACTATTGCAGTATTTACAACACCACCAGATTTTCTTAAGTTTGTTATGTATATTTGTACTTGATTGTCCATTTCATCTGACAACAGAGTTTTACGACCTCGTTTTTTAGCTTGAATTTCTGTGACGCGACACTCTTCCACATCATCAAAGTCAAGTTTTCTCTTTCGATTTGTTAACTCATGCTTGTAGGAATCTCGAAAATATCTGGTTGTGGACTCTTTTAATTCGGGAAAGTCTGTTTTAAATTTCCTAATAGCAGCTGCTGGTCCATATTCGGCTGCGTATTTCCCAATTTTCGCTCGATCGCCGGGAGAATATATCGCATAGGAGCCTCGTTTTTTTTTACTGGAATCTGGGGTTGATGATTTTTCCATAACTTCTGAAACTCGAGAATTGCATTCTTCTATTGATCTTGGAGACATACACACCGATAGCTGGCCATTTGGATTTGGAAGAAAATTGCCACGTTTTACATATTTTAAAATCGACATGCTGTGTTCTTGCTAAACCAGAACTAACTGAGCTCAAATACTACTGCTTTATTGCTTGTGAATTGTTTTCAACTCATTTTATTTCAAACCACAGTATTGTACAGTAAACAGTTATCAAATTAGGGGTTAATCAGGCGTAACACTACCTTGACCAGATCTATATTACATCTAAGGGCAGATCACTCTAATTCACAAATGTACGCGCTTAATTTCAGCTTTTCCAAAGAATATTTTGCGATTGTATTTTTTGCGGATTTATTCTATCCGCAAAATTCCGCAAAAATTGGACAACCGCAGAAAATACCCGTTATACGGTAATATTTTGGTATACAATAAGCATATCTTGAACCATTCATTTTGACAAAAGCGCCCTTGTCCACGAACTGTTTGGACAACCTATATATATATATAGAGAGAGAGAGAGAGAGAGAGATATCGAAAGTAGGCCAACTAAAAAAATTGGGGTAAATTTCAGATTACTCTAGCACAAATTGTGGTAAGGCATGCAGGGATCAAGGGGATCCAGATCCCTGGAAAATTCAAATTTATTTAAACTGACATAGTAAAATTACTAAAGCTATGCCTCGGACCTCTTTCCCTTGCGATTTGAGCCAACACCTCCTAAGGAAAAATTTCTGGATCCACCCAACAAAAAATTACAATCGGGCTCGGGCTGTCGACTTGAATATAAGCGATAATGCTTAAATTATTAAGAAAATCGATGTCATTTGAGTGTTTTAATGCAAGGAGAAAATACTTATGTGATATTGGGATGAGATGGACGCGCTGGCGCGCCGACGCGCCGAATACAATTAGCCCCTGTGGGTGAAGGTTTGGCACAGAGACTTCTGGGGTCCCAATGGGGACACCAATGTAACACAGAGGTTTTTACCTCCGCTTGGGATTGCACCCAGGCCGCAGACATACTAGTGCTCTACCACTTAACATGCTTAAAGGGTTAATTCACTAGCAAAAGCTAGTAGGAAGCCTAGTATCAAGGTATGATGCACTGGATGCATTGTATATTACATTGAAACCAAGGACATTGCAAAGCAGAAAATTCCTCAAGACCTTAATTTCCCTACCACCTGATTACATGAATGGTATATCCCACCTTGTTTTTCTCCAGTACTTCATACTTTGGACAGTCTAACTTGTTGCAGAAATCCGGAGGCCATTGTAAGCGCGGGACGTATTTCAGAACAGCTCCTAGGGTGGAAGAAATGCAAATTAAGAACAATACAAGGTCAATGCGCAACATGTTGATGATGTCGATCTATCTCTGGTCCTTTTTAGTTTGCAGGATGAACTTTCTAAAGTTTCTTATGTAACAAGCAAGTTTTGGAGTAGTTGCGCAACATGTGTAAGGAATCCCGGGCCCGATTCATTTTGAAAATGAAGGCTAAACAAATGTTTTCTTGCCAGAAAGAGTACATTTTACGGTTTGGGGGACAATAAAAACCACACAGACTTGTAATTCTATATTAAAAATCTCCAATTTATCTATTATTAGTTAAACACACGTTAAAACGCTGTAAAGATCGAGCTCGACATCCTATGTCAATCACGTTGACAAGCATGTGTTGAAAACTTAAGGTAGTCCGGTCCTAAATAAAAATTAGTAAATCTCAAATAAATTTTCAGGAAATTCTAATAAAGACACCTACTATGCATTTTCTGATTGGAAATTAATCAGCAAAAATATTTTAGGATAAAAAAAAAACTATAGGTATCCAGGCATTTGAAGAAAATTGCATGATTTTTATACTTATACAGTACTTTAGTTTCATCTGTGTACTTCAATTATTTTATAATGCATAGTTTAATATGTTGACGGTGCGACCGTTAGGGCGAGCGCAGATACCTTTCAGTTTTAATTTAGAGCGGGCTCGTCAAACCGCACGTGACATTTGCTACGTCTAGACTTTGACGTCATATGACGTCGTATGTATGTTGCATAACCAAAACAAAGTCTGAACAGTGATATTTTTAATCTAAAACGTTTAATCTACTATCTGTCTGCTATATATCCATTAAATCAAGGTGATTTCATATTTTGTTGAATTTTTGTTGCTACCGCGAGAACGTGGTTTGCGGCGAGATGCAATTCGCTAAGCATTATGGGACCACAGGTAACTGCGGAAAAAAAATGTGCAAAGTCCGAATTTTCTCTTCGCCCAGGCGTTGCTTTAAGAGCTCGCAGTGACGAGCGGCGCTTCGCGCCGCTCGCTATAAAGCGTTTTCTATCAATGCAAAACACCATTATCACTTCTTATTTCATATCATGCTATTTAGCTTTGGTATCTAAGGCTAAACTATTTAAGAAAAAGTCGATTACTTTAAATCTGTATTTTTAACATACATGTACCTTTATCAGTTTGTTTATAGGGTAAAAATATCAACGTTTTAAAAGACTGTTTCTAAAACTTCAAAGAACCTTGAATCACAATGAGATGCCTAAAACGAAAATTGTTGCATGAAAAGATTTCATATTTAAGCTTCATTGTGAAACTCTTTGAATTAAATAATAAATTAAAGAGTTATCCTTCCTGGCTGAGGATCAGATATCCTTAAGCAGTTAATGTTAAGGACATAAGCAACGTAGTGGTTGAACTTTTTTGTCTCTTTCCCTGGAGTTGAAGAGTTCAAATACTTGAAGGGTCTGTGTGCTACTCTTTTTCATGTCTATATATGATGCTGTACACCTCTTCTAAAACAAAGGATGACTGCACACTTAAGGACATGCGGAATTTGCGACAAAATAAACTTTCAAAACAAGCATTTTTCTTTTCATTGCAAGAACGGTCAACATCCAATCTACAACTTTATATAATTCCGTTTAATAAAAGTGTGTATTTACGAAGTTCGCAGCTACGCAGCTCTGTTAAGGCTGCATAAAGGGGGCGGGGCCTAATTTATACGGGAAAAGTTTACTGTGACATCACACAAATATAGCAATTCCTCACAATAACAGAAAATGAAATAATTTGCGAATCTAAACATGCCCGCAGGAACCGGGGGGGGGGGCACGGGGAGGGGCCGTGCCCCCCCCCAATAATTTTGCCGATATATAGATTACTATAGTAAACATAGATACTATAAGCTTGTGTCCCCTCAATAAAACCGCCTGATGACTTTTTTTATTTTTTATTTTTTTTTTTTTTTTGCTTGTCAAGGAATAATTGTTGGTAGTTGACGACCTTTTTTTTTTTTTTTTTTTTTTTTTTTTTGCTTGTCAGAAAATTTTTGGTAGTGCCCCCTCAACTGTCAACTGAAAAATGTTTGGCTGTGCCCCCCCCCCCCCCCCAACTGAAATTGCTTCCTACGGGCCTGGGACATTGTGTTCAAACACGTTAAGTCATCTGGCATTGATATAAAATCTGCTTTAATTGCATTGACGTGCTCATATTGTTAATTTCGTTTTGAAACCTTTGTCAGAAGTGTATTTGTGCCATACAGAATGGAGAGGGAGATCGGAAAGAGTGATCACGTTCGCTTTTCCAAACATGTCATTGTTATTTATCAAGTCTAATTTTAGACCCATTCTTACAATGTTAGCCCCACCTCTCATGCATATCTAATGTTCAATCAAGGGCGGGTAAGTGTAAATTCTAAATATCTGGAAAGCAGCAAGGACAAAAAACATTGAATCATTTTATTGTATCACAGTCTAAAATCATTTTAAGATTTAAATTTGGTTCCAAATTGACAGTATTCTTTCATAAACATACAAACGTGAGATAAGGTTTAGATATAAAAGCAACAGAAGCAACGGAAAAAGACCCAAAAACAGGTGTTAAGTGCAGTCATCCTGGATGAAAAAATATCTAGAATATATGTTTAGTAATTTTTGTATATTTTTCTTTCAATAATACAAAAATTTTCATCATTTGATTTCTATTCAAAACCCCTGGTAATACATGCTGATTTTTTGTCTGCGAAGATCTAATGGTAATATAATTTTAAATTAAGAATATCTTGAAAAATTATCAGTAGGTACGTTGCGTATGTCCTTAAAAATATAATTATGATAATAAACAAAAAACCCCCCATAAATTTCGCATATCTTGCTTCATATCATACATATAAATGCAACTAAATGCTATTAATGATATATAACTACATATAACAAATATATATAAACATGACTGTAAATAAAAAAAATCTAATTATTCAACGATTTTCAGCCAAGTTTTACCGGCAAGTGGTGGCGTCTCCATATGAGTGAAAAATTCTCGAAAGGGATGTTAAACAACACACAACAAACAAAACGTATTCAAAAACATGCGATTCTCTCCAGTTTAAATGCCAATACACCTACATTTTTTTTTTCTAAAATATAATTGTTGATAAATTTTCAATTAGAAAATGCATATTTGGGCTTGCATTCGCGTTTCCTAGAAATATTTTTTGCGATTTGATAATTTTCCCTTTGTTAATATGATCGACAAAAAGTGATGAATTTTGAAGAGATACCACAGGTAAATACACATTACTTTGTGAATTCAGAGAATTTTTGTGAGCATCTTCAAGTACTTAACTGCTGAATAGCAGACCTTGAGGATATCCCCCCCCCCCCCCATAAATAAATAAATAAAACAAAACAAAACAAGCCAAATAAAAAAAAACCAACCATCCCCTCCCCCAAGAAAAAAGAATCATTATTTTGCATTTTATATATTGGGAAGATTAAGAGAGAGTGAAGGGGGGGGGGGCTTTTAAAAATATTTCCCGGAAACATCATTCGTTTAGGTTCGCATTTTATGTTACAACTTTTGTTTCCGGTAAAAAAATTGATGGAAGTACGGAGGGAAAACGGGCTACTGAAAACTAAACAGGGACTTTATAGACGTGATTTGTATGAAAACTTCATCAAAGTTTCTTGCTGAAGTATTGTTAAGTAAGAAGTTCTTCAATATTTTATCTAAAAACCGAAAACGGTTCTTGTTAGCATATGGTATTTTTATCGGCTGTTTCACTGTTTCAGTGGTTGAAAGTCCGTCAATGAGGGTTAATATAGGTCCCTTGAAAACTGTACGTGTGCAAGACTCACTAAGAGCAGTGTGATGAAAAAAACTAGGAGATAAACTTAGAGCCAAACAAAGAGTTAAATACTGAGTCTTTGGCTTTGATTGTAAGTTATTGCAAATGTGGCACAGGCAGTCAACTTCAGTTAAACCTGTCAACAGGTCCAGCAAAATCTCTTGTTTAACTTTATAGCTCTATGGTACCAATAAGCTATTCAAAATAGCTTGATTAATGTTTTTGATGTTGCATAGTTATGCCTTTGATATGAAATAGACAAAAAGTTGTAAAGTGACCATTTATCTTTTTACAACAGGGGCTAGGTTTCTATCATGTCTGCCTCAATATAATCATTAAAAACCTAAACCCAAAACTGCTAATAGCAAGCACAGCGAGTGTTGCTTGCACTGCAAGCTCTTACAATAACACCTGGCTGAAGAGAATATTAGAACTACTGTACATTGATCCAAGAAATTTTTTTCTGCAGTAAATTCTTTAGATAGAACGTTCTATTGTTAAAATGATATTGTCTGGCTTAACGATAGAATTCATTCCGTGTATTGGCAATGTTGCAAAATAAACACGGGCGATAACTCGAACTCTGTGCATTTTCTTTGAACAATCCAGAGAGTTCCCAATGTCAACATGGCGTTAAATTTGAAGCGAGGAAAAAACATTGAGAAAATGAGTTGAATTTTCGTATTTATATGGATTATTTTTTAGGTTAAAAGGCATATACAATCTCAAAAAGGTTTGTTATGATTAATTTGGTAGTTATTTTCAGTGCAACTCCTTTTGTACTCGTCAAAATCATTTCGGAGTGGATCCACTCCGATTTGCTACATTGCAAGTATATGGGACATATTCTAACTGTGGGGAGGGCTTCTCTACCTACAATCCTCCATAAATTGCATATGGATGCCAAACTATGTTATTGCAATAATACAAACAACGGGTTCAAAATTCCTCAAGTTCGATGTTCAGGACTTGGTAAATTTGGGTTTGAACTCGGCATTTAGAATTGCCAAGTCTAAGACTTGGCATTATTGTAATTACTAATTTTATAAACCCTAGAAATATAGGTAGAAAAATCTGAAATAGTATGATCATCTCTTGATTGTTTCATAAATGTATCATTTTGGGGAATTTTTTTATCGCAATAGTTCGAGTGTTCTCAAAATCACAAAATGAATCTTTTTATTTTCTGATATGACCTGCATTAACTCAATACCACATGCTTCTTCCATGGGTTGGGGTGTCAGAAGTTGAGTTTGGTTTAAAGTCTAGCAAACTGCAAAGTTAGAGGCCTCTTTATGACAGCAATGTCAGCTCTTAGTGATGAAAATAATATGTTGAAAAAGAAAAGAGGCCGTCATTTTTAGATCCACTGCTGAGGGAATGTGCTGATGTTATGTTATATATATTATGTATGGAGAAAAAATAAAGATATGCAGTTACATTTTTTAATTCATTCATTTCAAATAAGTTCTAATTATTTATCTCAAAATGATGCCATCATTGAGGGTTTACACATTTCTTTTTCAGACTTGTCTAAAATTCAACCTTGAAGTCCCAGACTTAGCATCAAAAAAAAAAAAAAATTTGAACCCCTGAAACAAAGGTTCACAAATTAAGAAGAAAGTTACCTTGCTTCTATGAAAATCCTAGAAAGATGGTAGATTAAACCCTCTTTGTTAAAAATTTGCACTTTTTAGACTCGATTACATGGAAATAAACTAACATGGGCCATCGTGACATCACAGTTTAAACTGAGTCTTGTGCGGTTTGACTGAAGTGGCAAATCTAGTGTAGGCTATGATGGTATCCAGTAATAAAAACAAACTGGGCTTGCCCCAACAGTCATACTGTAAAACTTATGAGCAGTTTTTAAAATATACATCTGCATATACTGTGGAATCATCATTGTTCGTGGGGGATCTATGTTCTTGGATTTCGTGGGTAACCCTTACCCATGAATTTACATCCCCACGAACAATTATTTTGTCAACGTACTAATTAATTAAATCTACCAAATAAACAAGCTGCCCACGAAATTACATCCCCACGAACCAATAAAATTTTGCTTGCCCACGAACATTGACCCCCACGAATTTAAATGATTCCACAGTATTTAAAAATTATAAAGGTATGACACAAACGCAGAGGCAAAAAGGGTTGCTTGTAATATTATAACTTTTTTATATGCTAAATTTTGAACAGTTATATTTTATTTTCTGATATGAACTGCTATTGACATGTATATGCAATATGTGCAAGTGTTTACAAATATTATGACACATTATTCTTTCATGCTTAATGAATTACCAGAAATAAGAGTTTAAACACTTCCTCTCCTCTCTCTCCACTTAACCCCCCCCCCCCCCCCAAAAAAAAAAAAAAAAAAAAAAAAAAACTTGTTTCTAATATCTCCCTTGAATGTAAATCTGTCTCATTGTAAGTATTGATGAAGACAAACGTGTGGTTTGGGATCCCACAAATATTCTCGATCATGGGATTTTTTTCAGTATCCCCCTTCCCAGATCACCCTGTAACTACAAGTTTGCATGTAACAAGATTGTTAAGAATATGAATTAAGGTCAGACAACATGTTCCTCAAATATATATTTTGTATACCTTGGTATTATATCAAAAAAATATTCATAATTGTCATTCTCCTGTGATTTCTAAATTGTTTTCAATATGTTTAGATAAATAAGTACACCAAGAATTGTGACATGGGCAATTCAAAAGATTACCCATAAGGATTATATAAGAAATATCACCCTCTGGCATCTTGCCCAAATGCCTGGTAAGGTACCTCAATTTTTGGTGAGGAAACTTGTTTTGGAAGTTAAACTTCAATGACAAATTCTTGGGAAAAATTATATATTTTCTAGGAATGTGTTGTCTGACCTTAAAGATTACAATATCTAGTGTCTGATGTTTTGTTATGTGCCACATGTTAATAAGATGCTTCTCTTTCTAGGACGGTAGCACTTACACCTGACCCAATGTTGTAGTTCATTTTAAAGATCCATTCTTGTCAGCAGCCAGAAAGATGGATATAGCAGAAAACTATTTAGGGCAGGTCACACATGTGATTGATCCTGATAATTTCAGCATGCAAGTTGGTACAGGTAAGTAGATTTTTTTGTCATGATGTAAGTAATGTTAAATATAAGAAGAGTAAGGTAATAAGCCTAACATTTTCAAACTTGACGAAGTTTTGTGTATATATCTGGTAGATTATAGCTTTTTGTTTTTGAAGTTCATTGATTTTGGTGACTGAAAGATGATTTGAGCAATGCTTGAATGCAATGCTGTGTATAAATTCTTAATAAAATGTGAAGAAGTTCATGAAACTTGTAAACTAAACCACAATGCAATGCATTTTTGTGATAATGTGAAGAAAGCTCTTCATTTCTGATTTTGTTTGCATGTTTTTGTATATATGCTGATCTATTAACCACAGTATTACTTTTGGTAGATGAGTGTCTGGCAGAATTTATACAGTTTGAGATGAGACTGGAAGATTTTGGTCAGACCTGTGACAGAGTGAGTGACCTTTCTGCACTGGAGATAGGACAGATTATTCTGGTGGAGTGTATGGAGACCAAAGAGGGATGGAGGAGGGGACAAGTGGCCAATGTTAACAGGTAAATTTCAAGACATTACTTCTTTGTACATTTAACTATTTCTTGGCCATGCATAAACTTAGTAATTAAACCTCACTGGTTTCATAAGTACATATGTAATTTCAAGAAAAGGAAAAGGGGTATTATTCAAGGTCTTAATTGTTTTTTTTTTTAATTTAAAAAAAATGCATGTGGCTGATCTGCATCTTGTCGTTTGTTGGACAGAACTGTTGAATTGAGGTCTTTATCCTCTGAACATGACAGGTTGTTATGGCAGAATTGCTGTTAATGGATTATTTTTGTTTGATTGTTGCTTCTAAAGTAGAACTGATAAATAGATATCATTATATCCCCACTCCGAAGGAGGGGGGTATACTGTTTTACCCTTGTGTGTGTCTGTCTCTGTGTGTGTATGTATATTTGTCCCTAACAAATTTTCTTCACAGTTTTCTCAGCAACTACTCTTCAAATATGCTTGAAATTTTAGCTTACTCTTTGTTTAGGCATGCCATATGGTGGGATTCATTTTTGTACAAATTCAATGTCAACTTACTGTTTAGCTGCGTGTCTGTCGGTACCAAATTTCCATTGCAGTTTTCTCAGCAACTACTCAAGGCAAATGCTTGAAATTTTAGCACACTCTTTGTTTAGGCATGCCATATAGTGGGATTCATTATTGTACAAATCCGATGTCAACTTCCTGTTTATGCAAGTGTCTGTCCGTACCAAATTTCCGTATATTCACATGAGAGCATATATTCACATCGGGGGTGGGGTAGGGGTGGGGTATTACTAGTGAACAGTGGCTCACAGACTTCTTGTTTTTCTTTGGAAATCTTATAAAATATAAAGAAAAAATGTTGCGTAGGAATATTTCCTCTTTAGCAATCTTTTTTGTGTTGTTCATGCAGCAGAGCTATTTAGCAGAGCACTTTTTGTCTGGAATATTTGAAAAAGTCTTTATAGTTCTTTCAAAAACATTATGCAGAAGTTTTTATTAAATTCATGGTCTTTCAATTTTTGAAAAACTTTTAACTTTCTCTTAGCATTTCATGGACTCATTAATTTCTAGTTAGCTCTACTGGTCAGAGACCAGAAGAGCTTATGCGATAGTAAGGTGTCCGTCGTCCGTCCGTCCGTCTGTCTGTCTGTCTGTCTGTCTGTCTGTCTGTCCGTCTGTCTGTAAACAATTTTTCAAAATGCTACTCCTCCTACAGTTTTGGTCCGATTTCAATATAACTTGGCACACAAGTAGACTACACTAAGATACATAATTTAGTGCATCGGTTTTTGATTTCGATGGACGGTGTTGCCATGGTTACTAAAAATAGAAATTTCTGTGAAATTCCTTTAAAACGCTACTCCTCCTACAGTTTTGGTCCGATTTCAATATAACTTAGCACACAAGTAGACTACACTAAGATACATAATTTAGTGCATTGGTTTTTGATTTCGATGGACTGTGTTGCCATGGTTACTAAAAATAGAAATTTCTGTGAAATTTCTTTAAAACGCTACTCCTCCTACAGTTTTGGTCCGATTTCAATATAACTTGGCACACAAGTAGACTACACTAAGATACATAATTTAGTGCATCGGTTTTTGATTTCGATGGACGGTGTTGCCATGGTTACTAAAAATAGAAATTTCTGTGAAATTCCTTTAAAACGCTACTCCTCCTACAGTTTTGGTACGATTTCAATATACTGTGGTTTCATTAATATTCGTGGGCATCAATTTTCGTGGATTTAGTAAAAATCGCTGTTTCGAGGATACGTAAATTCGTGGATAAAGATCATACAAAAAAAAAAAAAAAAAAACACTTTTTAATTTTTTTTTTACTCTCTGTATGCTTCAGCGGGAATCTTCACGCCATTTACAATGTTAAGAGTATGTTAATATTTTAAAACAATTACTTACAGGTGACAACTCTTTAATTTATTTTTTTTTATATTTTACTCATCTGTATTTTGAACCTTCAAGCATTTACAACGCAGTGTACATGGTATAATAATAAAGGATGAGAAATTCCAAACACCGTCTCCATTGATCTCAAATAGCAAATACATCGTTTCCATTGATCTCAATTGGCAAATTAAATATCGGACATTGAAACAGATTATTAAAAACAATTAATTAAATAGACTTTAATTTAATCAACGTTTCGGTTAAAAGGGGTGCAAGTATCTTAAAATATTAAGACAATTTGGATTTTATCTTTTAGGCACACATACGGACGATAATTAAGTGTGACACCAGCGTATTAAAAAGTAACAAAAATAATTAAGTACTTAAATTCTCAAAATGGTGTTAGAGACTTTTTTCACATGCACAACGTGTTGTTTTTTGGACTCGTCTGTGACATCCAGACCCCCTTGTTTGTAGATCTCTGAACAAACACATTCGATCACGCTTGCTGGATACGACTCAACGCTTAAACATGTAAAATGGATGACAAACAAGTCTAGAAGGGCTTCGAAATGGCAGAACTTCCGAACATACATACCCGCTTTCTCATGTGTAACAAAAAAATTGTTTCCAAGTCAAATTAGCATTAAATTGTGTTTATAATTTGTATGATATAAGTCAGTTATGAACAGAGAGTATAGTTAATTATTTCTACTGAAATTTATTTACGGTAATTTGTGTTTTCATTGTGCAGGTGATAATTGGTGTTGGACCGTTAGATTGTTTGAGAATAATAAATTTACACATTTAAACCTGATTATCATAATCCTTTGTGTTATACCACTGGTTGGTATATGAACCGCGTTGACAGTTCTACGTACAATTTGTTTGTTTATCTCCGTGCAGAATATTTAAACATATTTTGCTAAAAATTGTCAGGTAATTATCTAACAGTATTTTTTAAATATTCTTTAAAATGATAAAATACATTTATAAAGCTATTCTGTTGGGGAAGGGGGGGGGGGGGTTATTCACATATATTAACGAAAGTAGGCTTTTTAAAGGTTTATCATAAATCAAAATGGAGACACCAAACTTCGATGAACATTTGATTTCGTGGATCGACCCAACAACGAAATCCACGAAAATTGGTGTTCCACGAATAATGATGAAACCACAGTAACTTGGCACACAAGTAGACTACACTAAGATACATAATTTAGTGCATTGGTTTTTGATTTCGATGGACGGTGTTGCCATGGTTACTAAAAATAGAAATTTCTGTGAAATTCCTTTAAAACACTACTCCTGCTACAGTTTTAGTCTGCTTCTAATATAATTAGGCATACAAGAAGACTATACTAAGATACATAATTTATTGCATTGGTTTTTGAATTCGATGAACAGTGTTGCCATGGTTACTTAAAATAGAAATTTCTGTGAAATTCCTTTAAAACGCTACTCCTCCTACAATTTTGGTCTGATTTCAATCTAATTTGGCACACAGTTAGAATACACTACGATACATAATATGTATTTCTGTTTTTTTTTATTTGGGTAATTGGTGTTGTCATGGTTACCGGTACTAAAAATAGAAATTTCCGTGAAATACTTTCAAAACGCTACTACTCCTAGTTTTCATTTGATTTCAATATAACTTGTCACAAAAGTAGACTACATTAAGATACATAATTCTATTTATTGTTGCATGTTGCAATGTTTCAAATCCAAGTGCTACTTTTCTTTTGTTATACAAACAGACCAGTAGAGCTACAGTCTCATCAGAGACTTCTGGTTTTTTAGTTGTATTTTTTCTTTACAGTGAGGAGTCTGGTGTTGATGTTGTTTACATTGACTATGGGCACTCGGAACATGTGGGCAAGTCTAGATTGTGTACAGATTTTCCTGAGGAGTTTGGTCAATATCCGTCCATGGCTATCAAGTGTCAGCTGGCAGGAATCAAACCAGTAAGACTGAATCTAGTTACCATGTGGTGATGTTCAGACGTAATCATTCAATACACCTACTTTTTACTTGTGAACAAGAAATATTTGCAAGATTCCTAAAATGTGTTTCTATATAACTACATGTATATACAGTTATGGATTGTTTAGAAGGGCGACATCACCAATTATCAGGTCTGAGTAGGGTTGTCACCCGAGGATAGGACTTGTGCCAAAGGGTGACAACCCTACTCAGACCTGATAATGGTGATGTCATACATGTACAAAATTTGGTTCACAGACTGTACATATGCATATCATATAAAGAATTTGTCTCTCTTTGGAAAGTTATTTAAGGTTAAAAGTCAGAAAAGACCAAAAACCTTTTTAGAAAGTTAAGACAATTTTTTTTTTGCCATGTCTCATTCAACTTCTGTCCTTCAAATTTCTGTTCATTATTTAATAAAAATAAAACTGTTTATGATACTAATATTAAACGCCAGACTTTATTACATTTTCAACAGTGAAATACTGTGATTTATTAATTGAATAAAAGTGATATTCTCTCACAGCGTGAAAGGATACCAAAATGATATTCTCTCACAGTGTGAAAGGATATCAAAGTAAAGTAAAAAATAATTTCTGGCCTGTCATAAGATAGAGATATTAACTGACCATCTTGATAAAGCTAAAACTGCAAATTTCTTCCCAAATATGCTGCTAAAATCCATGCTATGTAATGTTTTTCAATCTCACAACTGCTAAGCTATGACATCTCAATCGCTCAACTATGACGTTAAGCTATGACACTGTGTTAAGAGAAGACAGAGGCAAAGGGAAAATCAAAGAAAATGTAATAAACAGAAAATTCAATGTTTTGTAGATGAATATGGAATTTATTTCACTCGTGAGACAGGATTTTTTGATATTTTCACTCGTGCTTCGCACTCGTGAAAATATAAAAAAAATCCTGTCCCACTCGTGAAATAAATTCCATATTCATCTTCAAAACATTGAATATCCTCTATATATATCTGAAGTCATTCACCTCCTTTCTCTGATTTATTTACTATTCTGCTGTAGATTGCCAGAACATGGACAACAAAAGCTGTCAAGATGTTCACAGAGATCACCCAGGGCCATGTCTTCTTTACTTTCTTCCTGCCAACGACTCACATGTTTAAATCAATGGTAGCGCTCTACTTTCAGCAAGGGGGAGACAACCCAGACTGGGCAGGGCGTTCACTGTCTCATGTTCTCATGGACCAAGAACTTGGCATTGTGAGTGGCCATTTTTTATGAAAGAAACTGATAGTGAATAGATATAAATATAAGTGCAAAGAATAGTACTGAGATTTATGACTGACTCAAGCTGGCAAATACTCTGTTATTTTTGAGAACCCTTAGATAGGAAAGGATGTGCTCAAAAGAAAGCTCAACCACAAATATTAATGATGCAGCAAGTTTATTTAAAAATGAATTTGGCACAAATAATAGTTTATTGACACAGCTACATGTATGAATCATGAAAAATTATTTTGGCATGTTTGAGTAAATTGAAGAGGATTGGATTTATAGTTATATTGAATATGTTGGCATATTTTGATTTATAGTTACATGTATATTGTATATGTTGGCATGTTTTGATTAATGGATTTGATGAAAACAAAGTTATTTCCACAAAATAAATATAATGTAACTTTAAGCATGGATTTTAAAAATTTGGCTTGTGCCATTTTTTTCTGTCAGGTATCAGAAAATGAAGTGACTGAATATTTGGAGAATGCTGCAGAGTTTTGCAAAGAAAAATTCCAGCTGGCTGCATATTCGGAATCCATTGAAGGTAAGAACAGTTTGTTTTTATTAATTTTGTAAAAGAGAAACTTTCACATTGTCGAAAATTTAGGTCACACTTGGATTGCATCGCTGTGCAGAAGTTGAAGAAGATACTATAGGAATACAGTTGAACTTCAGTATCTTGAACACAGATATCTTAAAATACCATGGATATGTCAAAGTCATTTTGAAGTTCCAACTACTTATTCTTTAAGTATTTTACTCTGGATATCTCGAAGTATTTTCTTGGTCCCTGTGAGTTTGAGATAACAAGGTTTGACTGTAATTTATTTGATAGTCTCTCTATCTCTGTAATAAATGATAAATCCTCTGAATATAAGATATATCACCTAGCAATGCAAAATGAAGGTTGGTCTTCTACATGTATTAATACATATATGTTGTCTTATTGATTTCATGATGATGCAGTTTTTTTTATACTAATACATGTATTAGTGCTTATCAGTATTTAGTGTATTATCTTTTAGCTGATTAGTACATTAATATTATACCAATTGTTTATCTTTAAAACTTAAAGTTGAATTTGTAGTGGTATTGCAAGCAAGAGAAGAATCATGAATGCGATTGAATCTCTTAGTTTTGATCGGGATTTTGATTATCATTTGAAATTTCAGGCCCTTGTGTTTAGTCTGTGAAATCTTTTCTATACTGGGGAAAAATGCATTACCAAAACTTAGATTTTTGATTTTTTGAAATTATGTTTTCAGCAAATGAAGATGTAGAAGTGCCTGATTCAGATTTTATCTCAGGAATGAGGTATGTACATATGAACCTTTGAAGATCAAAAAAAATAATTTGAGAAGATACTTTAATATTGTCCTTATTATTTGATAGTATTTAAAACATTTTTATAATAACAAAAAAAAGATAAATAACTAAAATGAAGCAACATGAATTAAATATTTTACATTATTGTTAACTTTCCCTATTTGCGATATTGATCACATAAAATTCAAATTTTGCTTACTATTTAAGCTTTTTGGACATTTTTTCATATGGAGATCAAGGTTATGTTTATTATAATTTCAAGTCCTTCACCTATGGGTTGTATATGTTATATACATGTAATCACATTTAAAATGTATTAGACATGGTCTTTATGGTATTCTTGTTTGAATTTTTATTAGCAATGAAGAAGAGAATGAAGATGGTGAAGATTTCCTCCCAGTTTCGGGGGAATCTCCTGATAATGCTCCCTCAGATGATGTTACTGAGGAATCTCCACAAGAAACAAATGAACCGTCCACTGACGAGGGTACGTCAGAATACACTAGCTCACCGGAGGGTCCATTGGACCATTCATCACATATAGGGTCCACTAATGGGGAGAACAAAATCGTCATCTCAGACTTTGATTTTGATCGGATTCATCACACTAAGGATATATGCACAAATCGCTTGGAGGAGAGGAAAGCTAAACAGACGCGTCAGGAACTGGAACAGGAAAATGAGAAGATCTTGGAAGACGTGAAGGAATGTAAAAGTCTGGCTGTAGAGGCTGGTTATGGTAAGTAGAGTGTAAAAGTCTGGATATAGAGACTGGTTATGGTAAGGAGAGTGTAAAAGTCTGGCTGTAGAGGCTGGTTATTGTAAGGGAATCTAGTGAAGTTTATAGAGAGACTTTTAAGATTTCATAAAAGCATGGCAGATATTGTTTTGTTGACAATTCTGTTCAGAGAATTTCTAGATTCAGAGAAAAATTATACCTGCACAGGGATATAAAGAATTATTCACCCTCTAGAATTTATATTCCCCTCTTGCATAGTGATTTTTCTTTGTCAAAAAAAAATTACAGTTTTCTGTCATTACGATGCATATTTAGAAAAAAATGATAAAAAGAGTTCATAATCTATAAATTAGAATTACTAAATCCTGTTTTTGCAGGCATAGCAGACCATTTTGAAGATACTTTGCCCCCAAGATTTTCTCAAGCAGGTAATATACATGCATAAATCTTTTTTTTTTGTTTTGTTTGTATTAGCAAATTGTATATATTCCTGTGATTCAATCCTCAGTTATTTATTAGAATTCTATCACTATTGATCTTTAAAGCATAAACAATGTGCATTGCAGTAAATTCTTTATTAAAATTAGTTCCTTGATTCATCACTAACAGGGGGCAATGCATTACCTTTGATCCCCCTGGGAACTGTGACCCCAGGGTTGGAAAGACCCTCCAGTCAGAATGTTATTGATGACCGCATGCCTAGTAAGCGCTACTCACGGACACGCAGAGAGGCCAGGCCAGGGGTGGAAGAGAGGATGGAATTGGGGCCAATGAGGGGTAGAGGAAGAGCCAGACCAGCAATACCACAGCCATCAGGTAGCAGCCCTGTGATTGGTTTATCTGGGATACACCCCTCCAGAGACAGCCCTGTGATTGGTTTACAGTCCTGTAGCAGCCCTGTGATTGGTTCATCTGGGCTACACCCCTCCAGAGGCAGTCCTGTGATTGGATCAAGTAGCAGTCAAGTGATTGGTTCACGTAGTAGCCCTGTGATTGATTTTAGTGGTTATAACCCTGAAACACCTCCAAGTAATAATAGACTGGACTCTCTATACAAAGCATCCCCTGAAAAACGAGAGGAACTTGTACAAACACTTAAAAAGGTAGGTTTAGTATTAGATTATTTTAAGACATTAAAATATACATTTAATGATTTGATTTAACTTTAGCGTACAATATACTAAACCAACTTTTTTCGCATGAAGAAATATCTGAGAGTTTCATGACCTACTTTAACTCGCAAAAATTAATTGCCGCCAACCATTTATTTTGCTTTGTACATGTATTTGTAGAGAATATTCCCTCAGTCATGAAAATTAATCATTACGGATTGATTTCAAACTGACAAATCGCGAATAAAAGATGATGAGAATAATAGTTGGTTTACAGTAATGATTTGGTGTACAGAATATGTATTTGAAAAAAATTTTGGATGGCTGTCCATAAAGAAGTTAAACAGTTAAATAACAACAAAGTGCAACTTCCTAAAGTTTTATAGGATGGAACAGTGAAAAAAATTTTAAAGAATGCTGAATTCCTAGTGTATTTTTAATCTCCCAGACAATTTATGACAGATGTTTATTTTTTCTCTGGAGTAGATCTTTGCGGAGGCAGACAGAGACACAGAAGAAGAGACCAGGGCTCGATTACAGAGTCTATTCTTTACAGGTACTAGTATTTTGGTAATGCTTTAATACAAGTGGTTTTTTCATTTCCTAGTCTGTATACTGGATTTAGAATCGATTTAAAAGAGGATTAGACTTGTACTATAGTGAGCCTGATATGCAGAACTGTTTGTCTTTCTGTTCTGATAGCTTGCAGTTAAATAGTCGGGCCAAATTTGGTAATCATAAAAAGTACATATATGATTGTTAATATCTGGCCAGACCAAAACATTTGAACTTACAATTAGGATGATGCGTACATTATTTTGATAGATGTTTAATCCGTAAGTAAATGCTAGAAATGCCTTTTCTTTCTTAAATAATAAAAAAAGATAGCTGAAATTGCAGAGATATACATGCAGCTGGAATATTTTGGCTATGTAAAGTATGATTGAAATTAAAAAAAAAAACAAAGCTATAATGGTCGGAATGATTTGAATTTTCAGTACAATAAATGGTCAGCTGTAAATACAGTTTTGTTGATTGTAAAGTTTTCCCATCCTGATCTCAAGAGTTTATAGCAGGGGCTATGTTAACTAATAGGTGACACCTTATCTGTTTGTGGGTAGGGCTACATTTACTGATGAGTGACAATTTATCTATTGACAGAAGAATTTGTTTGTGGGTGTAAATTTACTGATAGGTGGCACTTTGTCTATTGACAGCAGAGTTTATGTGTGGGGCTACATTTACTGATGGGTGGTGCTTTTATCTTTTGACAGCAGAGTTTGTGGGCAGGTCTACATTGACTGATAGGTGGCACTTTGTCTATCGACAGAGTTTACTTATGGGGCTACATTTACTGATGGGTGGTGCCTTTATCTATTGACAGGATAATTTGTGGGTGGGGCTACATTTCCTGATTGTGGTGCTTTTATCTATTGACAGCAGAGTTTATTGTGGGGCTACATTTAATGATGGGTGACACTTTATCTATTGACAGCAGAGTTTTTGGGTGGGGCTTCATTTACTGATGGGTGTTGCTTTTATATATTGACAGCAGAGTTTACGTTTGGGGCTACATTTATTGATGGGTGGTGCTTTGTCTATTGACAGCAGAGTTTATGTGTGGGGCTACTTTTACTATTGGGTGGTGCTTTTATCTATTGACAGATCTTTTCATGTACCTGGACAAGGAACAACTGAAAGAAGTGATCTATGTTTTGTTGAATCGAGCCGTTCGTTACTATGGAGATATTCATGATGTGTTGCTGGACATCATACAAATACTTAATGGTGAGCTTGTTATAAGTATTATAGAGATAGAGGAAATTGTTAGTAGAAATCATACAGAGGTTTAGATTAGTCATGTTTAATTGCAATCATCCTTAAGGAGGACCAAATTCAAGTTTGTTCAAGGAAAGAGTGGGCCACAGTTGGGGATCTCAGAGGAATTCATAGGAATACAATATACATGGAATTTTTAGCAAGACACAAATTAAGCGATTTTCCCTCAAAAATCGGTATTTAATGTTAGCGAGATATAATTTTAGCAATTTTGTGATGTCTTGAAAGATAACGGTTATCTCAAATGTGGGAATTAATTGTTAGCAATATTTAATTTTAGCGATCTCAAGACCCTTGCTAAAAATGCCAAAATTGAATCCTTGCTAAAATTTCTGCTTATACGTTACACAGGGAAAAAATTTCTTAAATCTTCTCAAGAACAACAGGGCCAAAAAAGAAAAATTTTCATCATAGAAGTCAGATACATTTTCATGCATAGTTAAGTATGATCATTTTAGGATCACTTTAAGGCAGTCATCATCACTAGGTGGCCTATATAACAGTTACATGTATTGTCTTATAACCTAATATTAATTTTTATGAAAAAAAAATAGCCTGATGAAAACAAACATAAAATGAATCAAATAAAAAATATCATAAATGAAAAAGAGGAATGAAGTTCCGGCATTTTGAGTTGGACTAATTTTTGTGGGTTGATTGGCTAAGGGGCAAGAAAACAATATTTGACTTAACATGTATATCTGTATTGTTTTTAGTGACAGAAGATTTTCCTGACTGTCTCTACCTGTCCTGTAAGAAAATAGAAGAAAACTACATCAAGGTAAAAAAAAAAAACGATCCTAAATATATCAGACCTTGAAAATTATGCAAGTCACACTGTGAATATTGTACTACTGGGGTGGCTAAATTATCGTATTGATCTCAAAAACAAAAAAATTGTATATTTTAAAGTAGTTACTTACCTACAGATCCAGATGATGGGGAGTCCATTTCATGTCCAGGCCAGTAAGGTGTTAGCACACATATTCATCATGAGTCTCCATTGGTCCTGCAGGTATGTTGTATCTTTGTGAATATATTTAGATTCTAATGCAATTGTCTTGTAAAACACATTTTGATTGGATAATACACTGACGTTTGAGGCAGTCAAACGAGGATTAACAAGAATGAAAGCTTTTCATTGTGACATCATAATAGAGGGGCGCAAAAACACAATGCTCCATGACGTACTTTATATAACAAATCTCAACAAAATAAGACAAGAACATCAAACAAAATGCATATATTGCATTAGAATGGGAATACTTATCTTCTAATTTGGTATTTGCGACCATTAATGCTGATTTAACGATTGCAAACATCCTTTTTACGGGCTCCGCTTACGTGTTGCCGGTAAAACTCAGTTTGCGACCATTAAATCAGCATTAACGGTTGCAAATACCAAATCAGAAGATAGTTATTCCCTAAGTATACACTATTTGACACTTGATCAGTAATTTTAGTAGATAAATTGATACCCCCGCTCGGAAGGAGAGGGGGGAATACTGTTTTACCCTTGTGTGTCTGTCTGTGTGTGTGTCCGTCTGTCTGTCTGTTTGTCCATAACAAATTTTTCGTTGCAGTTTTCTCAGCAACTACTCATCGCAGATGCTTAAAATTTTAGCACACAATTTGTTAAGGCGTGCCATATATTGGGATTCATTTTTGTACGAAACCATGGTCAACTTCCTGTTTATCCGTGCATCTGTCCCGTACATAACAAATTTTCGTCACAGTTTTCTCAGCAACTACTCATGGCAGATGCTTGAAATTTTAGCACACTCTTTGTTTAGGCATGGCATATGGTTGGATTCAATTTTTGTATGAATCTGATGTCAACTTCCTGTTTATCCGTGCATCTGTCCGTACCATGCATAACAAATTTTCGTGACAGTTTTCTCAGCTACTACTCATGGCAGATGCTTGAAATTTTAGCACACTCTTTGTTTAGGCATGCCATATGGTGGGATCCATTTTTGTACAAATCTGAAGTCAACTTCCTGTTCATCATGTGTCTGTTGGTAACTGAACTTGTTTATATTCACATCGGAGTGTATATTCACATCAGAGCGGGGGTATTACTAGTGAGCATTGGCTCACAGACTTCTTGTTTTTGCCATTTTTAATCTGAATGAATTTTGTTTTTGATAAATTTCGAATAGCAACCAGATTCAAGAAATGATCTTATCAGCTCTGGAGAAGTGGATTATATTCAATAAAACAGTAAGAACATTGTTATCAGACAGGAAACTGGATTTTTTTGTTGTTGATAGAAATCCTAGATTTTTAAGTAACAATTAATTAAAAATTCAAAGGAATATGTAGATTTTAGATATTATTATATGTCCATCAGTCAATTTTTTTAATATATAGTTAAAATATTGAATTGATAGGGCTCCGCTCTGCGGGAGCCCTATAGTGATCAGTCTGTCCATCTGTCCGTCAATCCATCCTTCCGTCCATCTGTCTGTCCGAGATCTCTTGTCCGGAGCATATCTTCTCTCTCCTTGGCCCAATCTGGCTCATACTTCACCCGCAGAGTGTCTTTGGGTAAAAGGTGTGCAGTGACCTTGAACCATGTTTCTAGGTCTAAGGTTAAGGTCATAGCAGAATTATATGAAAAATCCTTGTCCGGAGCATATCTTCTTTCCCCTTGGTCCAATGTGGCTCATACTTCACTCACAGAGTGCCACTGGTCAATGGATGTGCAGTGACCTTGAACGAAGTTTCTAGGTCAAGGTCAAAAATAGCCTCTCTGTTTAAATTCTTGTCCGGAGCATATTTTCACTCTCCTTGGCCCAATCTGGCTCATACTTCACCCGCAGAGTGTCTTTGGGTAAAAGGTGTGCAGTGACCTTAAACCATGTTTCTAGGTCTAAGGTTAAGGTCATAGCAAAATTATATGAAAAATCCTTGTCTGGAGCATTTCTTCTCTCCCCTTGGTCCAGTGTGGCTCATACTTCACCCACAGAGTGCCACTGGTCAATGCCACTGGTCAATGGATGTGCAGTGACCTTGAACGAAGTTTCCAGGTCAAGGGACCACTTTTTGTCCCCTTTAGACTCAAAAAAACACATCCCTTAATAGTACACAAATGTTCCTTTTCAAAATAAACCCTTTTCAGCTACCTTACATTTTCATGTTCGTTTGCTGAAAGCAGGGCCCTTTGAGATGGCCACCATCTCAATGATATCTAGTTATCAATGTAAAACCCTTTGCGATGAGAAACATGCTTGTCATTTTAAAATGAATCTTTATTGTTTGGAGGTGAGAATAACAATACCATATGTAAAATTTCATCTACCATTTAAATAGTCTTGATTGAATAATCTGAAAGTAGTAAGGAAATGTCCTTAATATCTTTCTTGTTTGTCAGGCTCAACAGCTGGGACAGGACAGATTACAAGAGCTTTACATTGAATGTTTCAATATTGTGTGGTGCATTGTGGGATCTCACATTTGCCGACTTTATCCAGAACACAAAGCTCGGCTGCAGAAAGAGTGCAGAAATAAGATTCTCAATGACAATGTTTCCAGGTATGTAGAGGAATTCTTTTCTTGGACAGCTACGTTAAGGACACTCTGTACCGTACACACTAAAGAGTTCTAATTCTCTGGTATTTTTTGGCAGAAGGAATGATTTTTTCCTTTGATCTAAAGTGAAACAAATTGAAATCTACTGTGTAATTACTCAATTTGTAAGCAATTCAATCATTCTTATTATTTTATTAGGCCAAGATTAATTAATTGAATACTTTATTTGCTTGTATTTTCCCGATTTCAGTATTAAAGCTACCATAATTTCTGTTCATCAGTACTTTGTTGTCTTTGAACATTTTTCCTGGGGGGTAAATGGCTTGTACCCTATGTTAAATATTAAATAGATAAACTTGATAATTTCACCTTTATACATTTTAATTTTCTCAATATCCAAGAAAACATTTTTCACAACAGCATAGAGTGTTCTTAAAAGCAGGTATGTTCCACCCATGTTTATCTGTCAGCTGTTCACAAGATGGTAGACCTTTGACCTTTTTAAGGGGCTTCATATATCTATGTCAATTAGATACAGCTGCAAGATTTGGTTGATTGCCGTAGCTCATGGGCTTCTTGTTGAAAGAAAGAAATATAATTGATTCAGACATTTCAGATTTTTAATTTGATTGTTTGTTCCCAAGTGCTAGAGACTAGACAAGATTTGTGGTACATTTATTTCAGGTTAGTGAGGTCGAAGTTGTTAGACCTTTACATAGAGAAGTTTGTGATATCACCCACAGCGAAGAAAGAGGAAGTACATACATGTACACAGACCAAAACTCTGACACTGGTAGACAAGGAAGTTCAGACAGACATGATCAAAATAACAGGTGAGGGGTGCAAACAGAAAGTGCAGAAACTATACCACAGGTGAAGGATAACTCAGAGTTTATAAATTCTTATTCTTCAGTAAAGTGGAAAAGAGGTCAGATTATCTGTACATTTCAATTTCTGGAAGTTGTGTTCTCTAGGGCATGCAAAAATTCTAAAGAGTTTAATGGAGAGCTAGATTTATTACTATGTAGAAGGAGGAAGTTTTTTAATGTGTTAAAATACTCATTAAGATTGATTCTGAAATCGCTTATTGTGCAAGCTGAGACCAAAAAATAGATATAAATAGTGCATTCTGTATCCACACTTACTAAATTTCAGATTTATTTGTTTTCTTCTCAGGTAGAAAATCAAACTTGAATGGATTTTATTTTTAGATTTTGCCCTTTCAGAAAGACGATCACAGGCAGAATCTCCATCTCCAGTTGCAACAGCACCTGAACCATGGAAAAAATCCAAAACAAAAACATTGAATTCTAACAAAAAAGCCACCACTGCAGAGTCAAAGAAAGACATTGAGTGGCCAAAGCTCTCAGGTCCAAAAGTGCCCGATTGGACAAATAGGTTGCTGGACAGTCCCCGACTTCCAGACTGGAGCAGCCCAGAGGGAAGTAATAGCAGTGTTCGAAAGACTCCAGAGTCACTCTCAAGTAGTTTGTATTTCTCTGCAGAGGATAAGTCATTTCAGAGTTCCCCAGACATCAGACAATCTTCATTTCTAAATTCTCCAGACAATCTCAGAAAACGAAATTTGAATCAGTTGAGGAACCCCATAGACCCCCCAGTAGTGACAGAACCCATCCAGACCTTTACAAACTGGTCTGACAATATGGTGTTTGGATCTAAATCAAACTTTCTTTCCAGTGATCTTGCACCAAAGAAATCAGAAGATGAAAGAAAAAGCCAACTGTTGAAGAACAAACTTTGTGCTTTGGCAGAGCCCAAATCAGATTCCACAGGATTGAAAGCTCAGAGTTCCACATTCCAGCAAAATAATTCCAAAAAGGAAAAACATCAGACAAGGCAATCAGGAGGAAAGGAAGTGTCTAATTCCAGCAGCAGGAATACAAAGGATCTGAAAGAGGAGCAGAAATCTAGAGACAAGGAACCAGTTTCTTGGTGGGATTCAACAGGCAGCTTAACTAGATCAAATTTAAAGTCTCCTTCTTTTGGTTCAGAAGATGATTCAAGTGGTAGTGAAAAAAGACCAATGGGTAGAGGTAGGGGAAGACGTGTCAAAAAAGAGTTTCCTCCACCCCCGAGTTCAACATCTCTTGTTCAGAAATCAGACATTTCAGATGAAATATCTGAAAATCATGTTAGCTCTCAGAAAAGAGTTAATCCTTTAAGGGCCCAGAGAAATGAAAATCCATTGCGCTTCCAAAATCAGAATGCTAATTGCAATAAAGTTAGTGGTGCTACTGGTGGGAAGTCTCCACAAAAAGTAATGGACTGGTTCTCTATGGAAGAGGTAGAAACTGGTGATCAGCCCCCAGAGACAGGCAGCAGAAATGAGGACAATGTGCCAGATCACTGGTTTCTGGTAAGCGATGATGAAAAAAGTGCCAAATATTCTCAAAACAGTGATATGCAAGCTTTACCAAGTCAGGCGAGTGATATTTCAACAAATCAAAAAAATGCAATCAAAGGCCAGGTGTCACAAAATGGAGACTCGCCATCACAGACGGAAGCTGATACAGAAATGGACAGCAAATTTGACGAGGAGGATGGCAGCGGTGACTGTCCCACAAGACCCACCCACTTTTCAGACGAGGAGGGTGAGGATGATGGTCTTTGGGAAACAGAAAGCTCTGATGATGAAGTGTATATGAGGCCTGCAAACACTGCCAGTTCTGACCAAGCATTTTCAGGAAGCACCGGTGTTTCCAAGTGGGTTCCTGGGGAGAGGAAGTGTACACTGTGTGGTGCAACTGATCACGTTATATACAAGTGTCACAGGAAAAAGGACAACAGCTTCTTTCTGTAAAAATGTGCCATTTTATAAACTTATATGTAATCTTGAAGTACAGGGGTTTTGTTAAAATGTGTTCTTGTGTGAGAGAGCTTTTATCCCTATTATTCACTCGATCTGAATCCTTCATTGAACTTGCGTGTACAGTGTATATCTGCATGTGTTTCTGTACCCTCTAGTGTTGTGAAGGGGTCAGTATTCAAACATGTCTTTTCATGATTAAGGTAAATTTATGAAATATTGTCTGATAATTAAATGCTTCTGCTGTATATTTGATTCAGTGTGTGATATAGGGATGAGGATTTTTTGGATAATGATTTGACAAAGTCAACAAGCAATAATACGTTGAAAGGACTATATTCTGTTTTGGCCAATATCCCCCCCCCCCCCCCCAATAAAACTGATGAAGAAATCTCTCTATTTAAATATGTTGAAAACCAGGAGGGTTTCTGAAGACTTCAAAGCATTAAATGTTGTCATCAATCATGATTTCATAACTCAAACATGACAAATGAAAATGATGTTAATTCAAAATTTTAATGATTTGAGGAGAAAATAGTGTATTTTATGATAATGGTAATTCGAATGGGAATCTTTGAGAACAGGTCTGCTCAAGCTGGATCTTTTTAAAAAAAATGAGAATAAGTATCAAAGAAATAAATGAATATTGTTCCTGAGCAAATTTGTGCTCCATATACTACTCAGTAATTTTTTTCCAGAATTGTCTATTTTGTCCTCTCTCTCTTAAAAATATCAGAAAAGCTAAATAGTTTGTTAAAAATTGCCAGTAATCTAATTCCAATCCATATGTTGTTTATTCAGATTTTTTATACAAAGTAAGCAATTGTGCACTTTTCAAAAAAAAAGTTCAAAAATAAAATTTGACTTTTTTAAAGAGGACAGAAATATGTGCTTTTACTGAATATAGTTCCTTGATCCATGTTTCCAGGTCAAAACAGGTCTCCATGTAAAATCCTTGTCCAGAACATATTTTCTCTTCCTTTGACCCTTTTTAGTTCATATTTCACTTACAGAGTGTCGGTGGGTGAAGGGTAAACGACATTGAACTAATTTTCAAGGTCAGAGGTCAAGGACAGTGCAAATTCCTTGCAATAAAAAGGGTTACATTTTAAAACAACAACGATCAATTACATAAATCCTGTAAAAAAAACCTGGAAACACCAGAGGTGGGCTCTGGTGCAAATGAACTAGTTTGGTCCCGTTTTACCTACAGAGTACCTTTGATTAAGGATGTGCAGCATTTATTCCAAATTGAATGTCAAGGTCAAAACATTTATTTGTAAACACCACAGAAGGCATGATTATTTTTGATACAAAATTCTGGTTGATATTATCTCATTAGAATCCTTTTTTGAATCAAAATTGAAAAAAAGATGTTTTTTTTTCTCTTTTTTAAAAAAAGTACAAGTATTATTCTTCTTTCACCAAGTTAAAAATTGATATTTAATATAACTTTCAATGATTTTAAGGATATCCAATTCTCAGCCAGGTAGGATAACTCTTAAAATTGTTTGATTAAGAATGTATCAACATGAAGCTTGAAATTGAAAGCTTTTCATGCAACAATTTTTATTCTATGCATCTTAATATGATTCAATGTTCTTTGAAGTTTTAGAAATGGTCTTGTTAAAAGTTGACACTTGTTCCCTATAAAATTCAAAAATAAATACAAATTTAGAGAAATAGGATTTTCTTAGATATTAATGCTTATTATAGCATTATATGAAATAAGAAGTGATCTGTGATGTCTTGCATTGATAGCACAAGCTTTTTACTCAATGTATTATGTAATAATGGATTAGGAAATAGAAGACCTAGAATATCGAAAAAAGTATTTTAAAAAAATGCAAATTTCTCTGAATGCCTGGATAACTATAATTTTTTAACCTAAAATATATTTGTTGATCAATTTTCAATTAGAAAATGCATAGTTGATGTCTCTTTTTGCCTTTCCTGAATACTGTATGTGTACTTAAAAATGCGGGCTTCATATTTTAGCGGTTTTAGCGCAGACAACAATCCGCTAATTCATGAATACCGCTAAGAAATCACCTATAAATACAATATAAAGCACGGACATGTAAAGCGCTAATTCATGAATAACACTAAGAAATCATTTCTAAATACAATATACAGCAAGGACATGTATAGCGCTTATTCATGATTTCGCCAACAACTCCATACCCAGTGATTGCGCTAAATTTTGAATATGCCAATTTATGTACATGTACAGTATATATTGAAGATTTAATAATTTTCCCTATATACTGTTAATATGATTAACAATAATGATTAACTTTGAAGAAATATTGTAGGTAAATATACATTACTTTGTGAATTCAGAGATATTTTTGTGGGCATTTTTAATTACTTAACTGCTGATTTTATGAACCTAGGATCACACTGCCTTAACAAGACCCCTATTGATTTTGAGGTCTAAATGTCAAGATCAGAAGTTCATAAATGGCAGAAAATGGTTTTCTGATGATTATTTTTCCTTGAGCTTTTCCAGTGAAATTATATATTTTAACAACCAGTGACTTAAAGAAGACCCCTATTGATTTTTAAGGTCCAAACTATCATGGTCAGAAATTCATAAATTGCAAGAAATTGTTTCCATATGATAACTTTAGTTCTCTTTGAGTTTTTTCAATAAAATTTCATATCTCCCAGTGAATTAAAAAACTCCTTTTGGTTTTGAGGTCAAAAGGTCAAAGTTCAAGGTCAGAAATTCATGTATTGCATAGTTGCATAGTTTTCAGATGATAACTCTTATAAGATTTCTGTAAGCTTTTGCGATGAAACTTAGTCTTAAATTTCTTAAACTTAAAAAGGACTCCTATTGACCTCAAAAGCTGAAAGGTCAAGGTCAACTATTTTTTTTTTCCATTTGCATTTTTTTTTCAGGTTTTCCACCCGCTTTTTTTTCCCAAAGTTGGTGACACTTATTCCCTGAAGTACCTTGATGGACTTAAATATGAAATTGCTAATACAGCTACTTTAACATATAGAAAATATTTCATCACTTCAAAAAACAGCTTTTCTCTTCCAAAGTAAAAAAAAAAAATGTAAATATGTACAAATGTACATTTCGAAGCAAAAATGCATTTAAATGCTGTGTATTTGTTTCTGTAATTTAAAAACTTCAGTGTAAGTGGATTTTTCCAGAACTGTATGTATATGTATATCAGCTTTAGATCTTCTGAATTAAGAATTTTGTTTATTGTTAAGTTTTTTTTTTACACTATGTGCCAAATTTTCAGTAACAAATAGTTATAATTATCAAGTTTTCAGCTACAAAGGTTAATACATTTATTGAAAGTTCAGTTGGGTTTTTTGTTGCCTTCCTCTTATTTATTATGTGTAGCTATTAATGTTCATTTAATGCTTTATGACCTTAAATGATTATTAGTCCCCAATCGTTGAAACAGGAGGGGACTATAGTTTCCTCCTGTGTGAGGGGACTACAGTTTCCTCCTATCCATCTGTCACTCTCTCTGTCCCACTTGGTTTTCCGCATTTTTATTCCCAAATGTTTGCAGTTATTGAGCTGATTTTTTGGTATTTGAGTGTACCTTAAAATACAAATCAAGTGTGCACTTCATTCTGCTTCCTTGCATTTTGACGGATTTACAATTTATAAGAGGAACCAGGTTATACTAGCCGGTAGGAAACTTGTATTGCCTATGCAATACTCTCGGAATGCTTGTTTCGAATTTCATGATTGATGAAATTGTCATTAGTAAATGTAAAGGGATATTAACTTTATTGTTCAGTATACCTTTTTGTAATTTAAATATATAGGGTGCATTTAGAATAACTAAAGATTACACCCTGCCCCAAATAAATGTTATAAGTACCTCTGCATTGAGGTGGAAATTTGTGTGGATAACTTTTTTACAATGATTGATAGTCAGTGTTATAATGAGCTAGTTTACTGATTTCTGAACTCTTTTCTTTTAATTACAGCAATATTGCACCACTCTATAGGACATTCCTCAGTGATTTACAATCATCTTGTGTATAACTTCTAAGTGGAAAACTAAAAAAAAAGTTCTCTCTCAGAATCTCTCCAACTCAGGTAAATCTGTCCAGTTTGCATTTAAATTTGTTTTATTCCTGTAGATAACTTGATGTAAAACTGAAAACAGCTTATTAATAATCAAATGCCAAATTCCCCTGTAAGGTGCAAAATCATGTGTGACTTGCGATAGCATTGCATTTAATGTCAGTATTTGCAAAAGGGCTCAATTTTGAAATCTTTATCATCATTTTCATGTGAAATAGTTTATATTAAATATTGTAAAGTACAATCTCCATATTCATAGGTCATGTACTACATTTTGTATTATTTTGGACACTGCAAGATATTTAGCAATAAAATGAATATCATTCATAATTTTCAATAATTAGCTCACCTGAGCCAAAGGCTCAAGTGAGCTTTTCTGATCAAAATTTGTCCATTGTCTGTCGTCGGCGTTGTCATAAACTTTTCAAATTTTCATCTTCTCCAGAACCACTGGGCCAATTTGAACCAAACTTGGCACAGAGTATCCTTGGGTAAAGGGGATTCAAGTTTGTTCAAATAAAGGGCCACGCCTTCTTCCAAGGGGAGATAATTATGAATTCGTGAAAAATGAATGGCATCATTAAAAATCTTCTTCTCAAGAACCACTGTGCTTGAAAATATGAAACTTTTATGGAAGCATCCTCAGGTAGTGTAGATTCAAGTTTGTTCAAATCATGACCCCTGGGGGTAGGGTGGGGCCACAATGGGCGATCAAAGCTTTACATAGGAATATATAGGAAAAATCTTTAAAAATCGTTTTCTCAAGAACAGCAAAGCCATGATTGGTCATATTTATATGGTAGCATCCTCAGGTAGTGTACATTCAAATTTGTTCAAATCATGACCCCTGGGGGTAGGGTGGGGCCACAATGGGTGATCAAAGTTTTAATTAGGAAAATCTTTAAATGGGGAAAATCTTTAAAAATTTTCTTCTCAAGAACAGCAAAGCCATGATTGGTCATATTTATATGGAACCATTCTAAGATAGTGTAGATTTAATTTTGTTCAAATCATGACCCCTGGGGGTAGGGTGGGGCCACAATGGGCAATCAAAGTTTTAGATAGGAATATATAGGAAAAATCTTTAAAAATCTTCTTCTCAAGAACAGCAAAGCCATGATTGGTCATATTTATATGGAAGCATTCTTAGATAGTGCAAATTCAGGTTTGTTCAAATCATGACCCCTGGGGGTAGGGTGGGGCCATAAAGGGTGATCAAAGATTTACATAGGAATACATAGGAAAAATCTTTAAAAATCTTCTTCTCAAGAACAGCAAAGCCATGATTGGTCATATTTAAATGGAAGCATCCTTGGGTAATGTAGATTCAAATTTGTTCAATTCATGACCCCTCAGGAGAATAGAGGGGCCATAGCAGGGGATCATAGTTATACAAAGGATTTATCAATAAAAATGTTCTTCTTAAGAACAGCAAAGCTGTTATTTGTCATCTTAATTCAAAAGCATCCCTATGAAGTATAGATTCAAGTTAGTTAAAATCTCCCCCCCCCCCCTTTTTAAATTTAAACTTTTCAACCTTTCAAGACTGAACTGATTTCTGCTTTTTCCTAGCTATAGTGCTCAGGTGAGTGATGTGGCCCCTGGGCCTCTTGTTATAAGTATATAAAACAAAAAATCTTGTAGTCTTGTATTTGAAGTTATTAAATGTAATTTACAGATAATTATGTGATGTTTCCATTTTGTTTGTTTTTTCTTAAAAAAAACCCCATGACATTTAAAAGGTAATGAGTTGTTTGTTTCATGAGGCACATTATTTTTTAAACAATATGATGTTAGAAAGCGACATGAATTTCTGTGTTTCTTTTCATCTGTCCTGCAGACTCTCAAAGAATCAATCTAATACATGTACCTACTATCAGAGTTATGTTTGTCTGCATCTTTTAGTTGATAACATGAGGAAATGAGTGTTTGAAATTATAATAGTTTGTCTTTGAAAAGGTTGTGAACTTTATATTCTCTGTGATAATGTTTAATGATAACTTTTGCAAGACCTGACCCTCATGTATTTGTAAGATTACATTGCATTGTCATGTAGGCTACCTAGATTGTATTCTGTGCCCACATGTTATTGTATGTTTTGTTATGTACAAGTTTTTAGCAATTTTCAACTTTATCATTGGAACTTCTGAATATTGGCATGTATATATTGACATAGGAGTTTAACAGAGCCAAAATTATGGATTTCAAGGTTTTTGCTTTTTTTTGGAGGGGGTGGTGGGGGTGTTATTTAAAATCACCTTTTTAACAAATGAAATGTACATGAAACAATTTTTTTTATATATATTCTTATTGGGGCCAAATTTTAATGATACAAAAATTTAAACTTGATAAAACTGGGATCAACAATCAACCATTGGTCTTGCTGACTTCGAGCATTATTTAAGGAAAGTTGAGGTCTCAGGAAGTATTAATTGTAAAGTATGTCAGGAGGTTCATATATGGAGTGGAAAAGTTAATGTTTTTCTGTCTTGCCTAGGCTAGTTAAATGATGGAAGCTTATGGTTAATACAGATATAATTCTTCTAACCTGGGGTTGTACCTTGACCTCAACTCAAGATCATTTAAGCTAGTGAGTTCAATGACAGGTTTCAGAAGCAAAACATTAAACTTTCTTCTCCACACCTTTGTATTAAATTAAAAAATAACATGTAGAAGTGCAAACTTCACATAGTTTGCGAATGGCATGAGAATGTGACAGTACTTTGATTCAAGGCCATGCTTGTCATAATGGTCAAGTCAAATATCATTGTTTGAAAAAAGGTTCAATTTATATGAAATGAAGTCTTGATCATAGTGAATGCAATTTTGGCAAGTTCAAGGTCATTGATGGATGAATGTTAAAATTCGTTCCAAAGACATTGGTAGATCATATTTGACCAAAAAAAAGTCCTTTAACTCATTGGTGTCTTGAATCTGATCCAAATGTGATGACTGAAGGTCTCTGAAGAAATATGGTGGGGAAAGGAATATCAGCAACTGTAGTTTGATCTACCCAAGCTTACTGAAAGATTTATAAAGATTTATAAAATTCTCTTCGGAGAATTGGAATATGATCTTCCTCAAAGTGTGCCTTAACTGGTGAAGTTCAAGGAGAGGAATTGTCTTAGAGTAAACTTTTTAGTTCAGATATTTTGCACAATATTGTATAAAGGTCAAAGATAGGTCTTTTTAAAAAGTAATGAGTTGTAAAAGAAGCAAATTGGAATTGTTTTTAAACAAAGACATTTAAGTGTTATATTGTATGAGAAGTTAGTAGTTACAGGTGTATCTGTTTTAGCCGACATTGTCCCTGTATTAATTTGATGAAATGGATCTCCTTAAGACTGCTGTTAAAGATTTTGAATCCAATTAAAAAAAAATAAAACGATGGTGGCATTTTTTGGTCATATTCTGCAGAATTATTTGGGGAGGGGGTGGGGGGGGGTGATAAAAAGCTGTTGTATTATAATTTTACACTCATTCAGAGTTAATGTAAGTTGGTTTTATGAATCTCTCTCCTGTGTATGGTGTGAAGAATACGGTATTATTAATTGTTTACTCAATTATTAGGAAGTAGTAGAGGTCTTGCATATGAAATCTTTTTTTTTAATTCATGCTGTTATTAAATTTTAAATTTGCACATACCATAAAATTTTAATTAAATTTATGTAACAATTATATTCAATTTACAAATCATCCGAATAGAATACATTTCATCAACTTATGAATAGGGTATAGTTTTAAATTTTAGAAGAATGAACTTGCTGAAACATGTATCAAAATGCCAATAGCATGTGCTTCACATTAGAAATCAGATTGTAAGAATCTATCTAAAATTTAATTAAAAGTATCTTCAATGGGAATTTGATTATTACAAATTTATTGTTTAATATTTTCCATTTTAGATCTTTTTTTTTAATTGTTGACAGTATTTTGGTTTTGAAAACTGCATTGATATCTGAATGAAACAATATAGCTGTTCCTTTTTTGTTGTTTTAACAGTTACGTGTACTATATGCGCATACATGTTTTATTTATATGGAGAAAAATGCAATTTGTTCACCAAGAAAATAAAGGTTTTTACCTGCTTTGTTGTTTGTTTCTGTTGTTGAATGTTTCAGTGTTTCCATTTAAAAAAAATAAAAATTGGAAACTTTTTATTAGATTTTTTTTTTAATATGAAAGAGGAAAGTTGTAAGATATTCTGAATTATACAGAGCATCTTTGGCATCTCTTTATTAAACAAATGTTTGAACATTGGAAATCTTAATTTAAGGTAGTCCGATCCTCAGGTTCTGAAAAGCTTTTAAGTAATTGAAAATGCTCAAAAAATGTCTCTGATTTCACAAGGTAACGTGAATTTACCCATGGAATTTCTTCAAAGTCCATTATTATAGGTAATCATATTATATAGGGAAAATTATCGAATCTCAAATATATTTTCAGGAAATGCGAATAAAAACACCAGCTATGCATTTTCTAATTAAAAATTGATCAACAAATATATTTTAGGATTAAAAAATATAGGTATCCAGGCATTTGGAGAAAATTGCATCTTTTTTAAATACAGTATTTTAGTTCTTCTATTTACTTCAATTGTTATATAATACACAGTGTAAAATGCTTGTGCTATCATTGCTAGACATCACAGATCTCATTTAATTTCATAACATGTTAATAAGCATCGATATCTAATGCTAGATTAAAGGAAATTCGATTTCACTATTAATGAATTTATTTTTTTCTTTTATATGGTACAAATGTCAACTTTTTACAAGACCATTTCTAAGACTTCAAAAAATTTTGAATCATATTGAGATGAATAAAATTAAGATCGTTGCACGAAAAGATCTCAATTTCAAGCTTCATTTTGAGACTTTTTAAATAAAATAATAAATTTATGAGTTATCCTTCCTGGCTGAGAATCGGATATCCTTAATACATCATTAAATTTATTCAAAGAATGAGCGCCTTCTCTAGAGTCATAGAGTAAGGGGTTGATCCTTACGTCGCGGGTTCGAATCCACTGCGGGACGTGGAGACTGGTCCTTTGGATGAGACCGTATAAACCGAGGTCCCGCGTCGTAGTAGGTATTGGCATGAAAAAGATCCCTCACTGCTCAATGGCCCTAAGTGCCGAGTATAGGTATAAATTTGCAGCCCTCCATCGGCAAGTGGAGGCTTCTCCATATCAGTGAAAAATTCAAACAAACAAACAAAGAACGTATGGATTTGGAAGGAAATGAAAAAGTCCTGTACCTATTGTTGTATTTCAGGAAAAGACCCCCTCCCCCTTCCAAATAAACAATTCAGATTTTAAGCTTAATTGAAAGCAAAGGAAAAGGAATGTACTTGAAATGTATTTGGAACCAACTTTAACGTAGCATTTCAAACCAATATATTTGCCAGTTTCTCTTTGCCGACTTTTGTCCATCTTTTGCCCGAAATGAACTATTATGGACAGTATACGTTTTATTTAGCTTCCTATTCAAAAACATATGAAAAGATTTTTTTTTCAAAGCAAACGCAATTTAATCTTTTCGAGTCTAGGTAGATTTTGGGCTTGCTCTTTAAGTAGAAACCACACATATATACACACAGAGTAATTTAGGATTTGCAATGTAGTGCTTGATCATAGCTGGTGAACATTGTTATCACGTCTAAATTCCCATTACACAACTTGCCGCTTCCGAATACTCTCTTCTTCCAGGGTTAATCAAACAAAATGAAGTTTTATTGCATACTTATAAAACCTGAGCACTCTTAGGAAATGGTACACACTCGTTTTTTAACTTTTATATTTGCTAGTTCCGCCTCAAACGCTCCTCCTGTTTTCTCATTCACTACTTGCAAAAGCTGCACTAGATCCGTTTTCACCCGGAAGCAAATGACCTTTTCAGGGGTTGGGCAGCTGCGACCACAATATATGGCGAATTCACGCATTTGTTTGCTGAAGCTGTATCTCCGAATGTCTGCGTAAAACCACATGTAAATCGGCTCGGATTTGGTGGATTTTTCGACTTTTTGCAACCTTGGGTGGAGATTTATTGATAAGTTTCCTAAAACTAGCTTATAGCGACCAGTCAAGCCGAGTTCTTTAACATCCGGTGTCTGCACAACTGTCACATCGAAAGAGTATTCTGGAAATACAAATAATAAACTTAAAAAAAATGTTTTCTTACTTCACACTGAAAATTGAGTCTACTATAAAAAAATCATTGATTATATGATATTGCTTTTTTGTTTTTTTTTTTTGGTTTTTGTTTTGTTTGAAATATCGGTATTTATCGAACCTACTTCTTTCTTCTATACCAAATTCTGTACTACCCATACGGTTACACCAAACAATAAAAGAACATGTAGTTCCTTTTGTTACTAAACAAATTTGAAATGTAAATAAAAAGCAATGTATTTTCATCATGCATGTGCAAAAATATACAAGAGCATTTTGCAGTTTGCTGAAGCAAAAGACCACTTTAAATTTTAGCCTCTTCAAGCTTTCCAGAAATTCAAATCGTGTACTTACAACGGAAGAATGCAAGATCGTAGCGCAGAGACTATCTAGCCTATTAGCTATGCTAGCGACAAGATCGCGACTATGATCTTGTTGAATAGGTCATGTTCAAGATGACGTACCAAGATTAAGACTAACCTTTGATAAGACCTTCGTAAGTAGTAGCACCCTTTTCTTTAATTTGCGCAATTTCGGATACTAGCTGGTATTCATGGGATCCGGACTGGATTGCATCCACAAAGTCATAACTTTGCTTCTGGCCGCTTCCAGAAATTCCGAAATCCTCATACCCTGCACTTCCGGGGGTTTCCGAATGGTTGGTCTTGGCAACCGGATTCTCATCAGCAGCCGAGATGCCTGAAAGTAGTTCGTAGTCTGGCGCACTTGCCAGGGAATAAACTGGATTACTAGTCAAGGGAACGGGATTTTGATGATCTGGGATTGTAGCTGGATCTTCATATTCTTCGGAATGTGTATTTTCAATCTCCAAATTTGACATAATCCTTTAGTTAACGTAGTAAGAGTCACAATTTTTTAAAACTTTTTTTTCCTCCAAACGCTCACACATTTAAAAACAGGCTTACATCATGTACATCCTTATATTTTCTTTCTTGTATACATATGTAGTTTAAAATATTTTTGCCGTCATATTGACGTGCATATATAACACTACAACTAACTTTATCCAGATCAACTTATCTTTAAAATTTTAAAAATGTACTTCTTCTAAATATCCATAAAACACAATTAGCAGTTTCGCGCTACTTGGAAAAAAAAATAACACTGAATTTAGAAAATTTCCTAACACAATTTTCCTGATACGATTTCGATTCACACATAAAACCATACATATCCAAATTGAAAGAAGCCTTGTATAATGGTGTCTGTAGTTTAAGGATGATGACAGATTATCATACAGATTAAAGATCCCCCTTAATGTTACATCAACAAGGATACATCTGCCCTACTGTGTAACATCGCCACCTTAAGCGGATATTGGTTCAATAGCTGACAGCGTTAAGGCGTCACGTAATTGTTTTGTTTTGGTCACCATGCAGATATATATACGCCTGTATGAATTTTATTTTATAAAAGTGCTTAGTACTGCATAAAAATATATTGTGTAACAAACTTCTCTTACTGCGTATACATATACTTAAAGATTTTTTTTTATTTCCATGTTTAAAAAAAGCGAATTTTGAACACTGAAGATTTTTTTTTTATTGTTCTGTAAGCATGCTTAGTAAAATTTTCCAAGGTACGTCTTAAATTAAGACGCGTCCCTGTTAGATATTTCTTAGGACATCCGACTTACATGTATGTATCTTATTCGATACGTCATAACTTCCATCCTAAGATTTTTTCAGGCCCATAGCAACGATTTTAAAAGTGGGTGTTGGGTGGAGGCAATCACTCCCCTTCCCCAAAAGAAAACCCCTAAAATGCCCAAACTCGAAACTCCTATCTCATATTGGGGGATGTGGGTAGGTGGACCTTTGTCTTACTTTTTGATACATTTTTTTCAAATCCTGGAAATTGCCAGTGCTTGACCTTACAGCAACAAAAAGTGGGGAGGGGGGGGGAGCAAACCAACATCTAAATGAAAATTTATTATAGCAAAATACTATACTCAAAAAAGCCCCCCCCCCCTCCGCGTTTTACTGGGCCTTTTTTTTTCCTTTATTTATTTAAAGAAATATTACATGTAGTTCATATCTGTAGTTCCATTACATTAAATTGTAATATTTATCATTCACAAATAATTAAAAACCGAACATAATAAGGAATGAGATGTACAAGTATTTTCAGAATAGTCAACAGCTCTCTCTCTCTCTCTCTCAAGACATTGGAACATTGTCATATCACAAAGTAAATTTACTTTATATCTCAACAGCATAATTATTCCTACGAAAGATATGGATAGACAGCATAATTATACGGATGAACTTGGCGAAGATTTTTAGTAATTTCATCATTGCTAACAGTTAATGAGCTAAACTTGTGACTTGCTTGATTCAGACTTGTTTTATGTTTTCTTCTTTGGTACAGATACATATTAGTATGGAATGCAAAGCAAAATGACAGACAATTTAGTTTTATGGTGAATTCATCATTCTGAAAAAAAGAGAAAAATTTTCAAGCAAAGTAAGTGAACAATTGTAAAAATTATCTGTAATTTGTTCATGAAAAAATGTACTTGGATACAAAGTGCATTCAAATGACTTTAAGATTTATTAACCACCTCTGGTAATAAATATTAAATAAGATTGATTTGTGAAAGTATAGAAATTGTAGAAATAAGTAGCTGATAAACCTAGTTTCTTTTCGGCTTTGAATTCTGTCCAAAAATCATTTACAAGCAAAACATTATTTTACAGGAAATTTCCTGCTTTATGTTTACTGAAAACTTAAATTCTACTGAAAATTTTATCCAAAGTCAATTGGTCATTAACCCAACTCCCCTCTCTAGAATTCTCTAATTCATATCTATCATTGTCAACAGATGTAAAGAAAAAGATTTCTTAAAATTCCTTTGAGCATAGAGTATTAACTCAGTAAAAATTCTGATTTTGATTATCAGGTATTGCCTACAACCTTGTCAACAGATAATAAAGAAGTTTTATTTATTTTGTACAAAGATTAGTTGTAGTGATTTTACCCCCCCCCCCCCTTTCTCTCTCTCTCTCTCTCTCTCTCTTGAAAATTGTTAAAAGTAGTAATATGTCAATCACAAGTTCTTTTGAAAAATTATATGTTATTGAGGAACGTCTTTACCACTGAGTTGCAGAAATCTTGTTTGCGATATGAATTTCTTGCTTCTTTTTTGAGAAAATGGAACATGCGTGATTTCAAGTTAACATAAATGTAGAAAGATCCCATCGATAATTTTAAGACTCATAAAACACGAAGCTAGTTCTGCTCTGATTGACTTAATTGATCTTACCATTTTATTTCAGACATTATTTTTATGAAATATACGAGAATATTTTTTCATGAAATTGGAGTGAGCCGTCGCTCCGTTTGAGTTAACAGGAAAAAAATCATTAGAACTCTTACAATTTATAAAGTTCGGAAGAAAAACTTTCGAAATATGAATCGAGGACTTATTCATATGAAAAACTTTAAATTGAAAGTACATTCAGAGGTGATCAAATGCCTTTACTCTGGTGTGTGCATGTTATTAAACAGATGGATTCTCTCCAAACTAATGAGACTGTGGCATATTTTACAGATTTTACTGTAAGTATATGTTGTCGATGTGTCCAATAAAATTATCATTTTATTATTATTATTTATTATTATCATGATTAAATTATTGTCGCCCGCGTGGCGCAGTGGTTAGAGCGTCTGCTCTAGAGTCGCGAAGTAAGGAGCTGATCCTTACGTCGCGGGTTCGAATCCCACTGTGGGACGTGGAGACCTTCGGATGAGACCGTATCAACCGAGGTCCCGTGTCGCAGTAGGTGCTGACACGAAAAAGATCCCTCACTGCTCAATGGCCGTAAGTGCCGAGTATAGGACAAAATTTGCAGCTCTCCACCGGCAAGTGGTGGCGTCTCCATATGAGTGAAAAATTCTCGAGAGGGACGTTAAACAACGTACAAACAAACAAAATGATTAAATTATCATTTTTCATTTTCATATCAGATCATGAGCATTTTTCTCGACTAATGCGCTCATGTATGGTGTATTCCGTTGGGGTCATTCGCACCTTCGCCTTTAGGGCGAAGATACGAGAGTGCGAGGTTGCGAAGGCGAAAGTGCGAAGTTGCGAAGGCAAAGGAGCGAAAGTGCAAGGGCGAAGGAGCGATACTAGCGATACCTTCGCCTTCTCGCCTGAAAGTTGCACTTTCGCCTTTGCCTTTTTTGAAGAGATCTTTATCGTTTGAAGATAATTTTAGTTGTAAAAATGGCATCTGCATCTCATGCGTACCAATAACATCCGAGAGAAAAACATACTGGCGCAAAAAAGGCGAAAGTGCGAAGTCGAGAGTGCGGTAAATTAATGAACCTACACACAGTACTCTAAGAATTAACTGAATCTAGCCAACTAAAATTAACTCATAACGATAAAGAGCTCCACAAAAGTAAAATGCACAGGCGAAAGCGCCAAGTTGCGAAGGCGAAAATGCCATATTAACATATCACTTCGCACTCTCGTCTTTGCATCTTCGCTCCTTTGCAACTTCCTACTCTGGCGTCTTCGCCCTAAAGGCGAGAGTGCGAAGGTGCGAGTGGCCCCAACGGAACACCATACTCATTTTTTCCCCTTGTATTGCCTCCATTGGTCTTTTTCGACCAAAAGGTCTTACCTTAATACTATAGATCTCCGATAATTAGCTGTTCTAAAATAAGACCTACGTATTTCTTGCTGTGAAAAAGTACTTGAAAATAACAGCTTTGGTAATGAGGCCTACTTTAAAGTGCACACATAAAGGAGATATAGTTGAATAATAATTCATTTTATATACATGAATGTTATAAACACAATAAACACGAAACAATTCTACGTACATCTAATCACATCTCTGAAATAAATGTTTTCATTCTTTAGAAATAATTTGTTTCTTCTCCTCCATAGTCCGTCTTCCACGCCTCGGGGCGACGGGTTTTAGCTCACATGAGCCAGAGGCTAGAGGGAGCTTTTCTAACTGAAAATTGCCTGTTGTCTGTCGTTGTTGAAAACTTTTAACATTTTTGTCTTCTTCTCTAGAACCATTCGACCAATTTTAATCAAGCTTGGAGTATTTTTGGATTCAATGTTTATAAAAATTCTTCTGCATGTAGAACCATGCATTGGACCAGAAAATAAAGTTATAATGAAAGAACTTTTTGACATTATAGTGTAGATTTGATTTTGTTCAAATCATTGCCCCGGAGATAAGAGTGGGACCACGCTAGGGGATCATAGTTTATGTATTGTAAATTAAAAAAAAGTATTAGGTCCGTACGTACCAATTTTCAGACATTCCTAAATTGTATGTTCATATTTTCCCGCAATCTCTCATCAGAGGGCGTATTACGCTCCGCTCTAACGGAGCGCGCCCTCTGATGAGAGATTGATTTTCCCGTTCAAATGCTAAGCCCTGGGTTTATGGTGGCACTAAAATTGGTGAAATCTACGGAAGCCGGTAGGTACCAGGTAGAAAAAAAAATTATCTGGCGGTCGCGAGATAATTTTCTGGCGGCCGCCAAATAATTATCTAGCGGCCGCCAGTTATTTATGTGGCGGCCGCCAGATAAAATATATTTTCTACCTGGCACCTACCGGCTTCCGTAAAGATCACAATTTTCACGGAGTACTTATACAGGAAAGAATATACTGAAAAAAATTAAACACACTGGTATTGACGCATTTGTTTTTGTGTATAGATTAGGATTAAATTTCGTGAATGTCGTGACTCTTTAGGGCTAGGAAGTGTCAAAGGAAGCCCCAAAGATACAATATGAGGTTAAACAAATTCATGGGAATTGGGGATTTTTATACAAAAAGTCTGA